GGTTGAGCTGGATGAGTTTGAAGGAAGAACGAGAGCGATAACCTGAAAAAGACAAAAGTGTAACGTTGGCAGACAGATGGCACACAGCACGCCTTTATTTGAGTTAACGTTAGCTAGCAACCCTGCTAATTATGCTAACATCTACTCCTTAGTTGTCTCCAGAGTACTAGTAACGTTAACTGTTCTAGGAGTGACACTCTACCTGTTTCTTTCGCCAAATGGTAGAATTTATCCCTCCTGGTTTTTCCAACTTTGAGTTTCTTCCCCATGTTGGTTGATGTTTTTTACTTTACACGCTGACAGAAAAATCACACTTGAATCAAGCGTCCATGAAAACAACACGTGTGTCTTTCTCGGCGCACACATTTGACGTCATACTGCACGTGGTGTTGTTTCTTCTTCGTCCTCTGATTTGTTTCTCTGTGGTTGTAGGACGTTGCTGACACCTGCTGTTCTTACTGTGGATCAGAGACGTTTAACAACGAAACTGCTCAATAAAATAGTGATGATGAATATAAATAAAACAGGTTTTTGTTGATATACTCATTGAAAATCCGAATTACGAAAATAACAACCCCTCCAAGAACGTGTGTCCTCAGAAACGGTGTCCAATGTTGCTTTGTGTGATGCCGTACTTTATGGTGAACTGTTTTCCAGCCAAACAGAATCAACCCCTTTGCATTCAGGTGGCAGAATGAGTCTCAGTGAGATACCTGAAAGTATATAAATAGAACTGTCTGCATGACCGGATAGAAGTAACGTTTAATTGAAAAATAAAGATTTAAAAAACCATTTAAATGATATCATCGATTTAACACTTTAAACTTTATATTTATTACTATTTGGTGAAAAAAAACTGTCGGAATCCAATGGTGTAACCAATATGAGGCCAGTTTATGAACAAGTAACACATCATTTTCACTTTTATAAATCATCTTTATTAAGTTTTTATTTAGTCTCAATCACAGCTGCATGAATGATGGGGGCAACAACCCTTCAGTGAAGAACACAGCTGTCAAAAAGGCTTCTTTCTGGATCGTGTGTTGATCAGTCCCAGGACAGAAAAGGCACTGGCGGCAGCCGTCACCAAACTAATGGCCCCAATGGCCCGTGTAGCCTGAGGAGACAAGGAGGACAAGAGGAGGTGGACTAAGGATTACCGCAATCTCAACCATTTATACAAGGATAAAGACTGCCTATGTTCAATGTTTTAAACGTTTTTGCAATATACTCAGCAATGAACAGAAAACATTTTTGAGAGGTTTACATAAGCAATTGGAAACTTATTTAATTAAATGCAATTCATTCCTTTAACACATATTTAACATAGCATAGAGAGCGAGTAAACAATCTTAAGAAACCTTTCAAGGTTATGGGTGTGAGCAACACTAACACATTTAGTTTGGTCTGAGTGCCTTTTTAATGTCCACCCAGGCTGTAGCAATAACTTTAAACAACTCTAAACTTTTTTCCTAAATCTAACTAGTCAAGACTGGCCCACTGGTATTCGGTTCATCTAGTTTTTTCAAAGGCATTAAACTAAAGAGTTGACTTTAGGAGAAAAAATGAGTAAAATAGCATCGCACTATATTACACAATCGGGCATCCACAATGACAAAATTGAAATATACACATAAAAATAGTAAAAGAAAATAAAAAAAAATAATAAGGTTTACTTAAAGACAGCTTTTGTCCTTTAAATGACTTGTCCTCTTCACAGGTGAAATTATGACTTTGCCGACATGTCATCATCAGTCCCTGTGGCAGCTTATGTTGAGTACAAAGATAATATTTCGCCCTGATGGCACAGAAGATGGAAGCAAAACAAACAGCGAGAGACCTGCTCGGAAACTCCTTCCCCGTAGCGCAGAAGAGTGACAAAGTGCTCGCAGTTGCTCCCCAGCAGGTCGTAGGACACCTCCTGGCCAATGAGGACTTGTGCTCGCTGAATGATTTCGGAGACGGGCAGGGGCGTGTGGTTGTGGTCGTACTTGTTGTTGACGCAGTACGAGTCGTTTCCCACCACCTCCTTCAGCAGCTGCATGCGCACCACCGCCTTCCTGCTAAAGACAGACTTCACACTGGACATGGGGGCTGCCTGGTTCTCGTCTGGATAGGAGGAGCAGAGCCTCAATGGGATCACACATATATACCAAAAGGGAACATTGAGGGAGAACTTTGTCCTTGAATCTTGTAGGTTTACGAAGAACACCAGTAGATCCCAAAGGTATTTAGGATCTGCATTGGTTTGAATAATTTCATCAAAACTGATCTGCAGTGTTAATGCCTAAAGTGTGAAAGCCAAAATTATCCACTTAGTACAAAAACCGCCTTGAGTCCGACGCAAAGTGCAGTTTTCAGGCTAATGTTGTGTTTCTGAGCGTAAAACTAAGGATGCTTTTAAACTTCAACTTTGATAAGTCCCAAATATTTAATGTTCTACTGTAACACCCAATTTCCAGGGGACTCTCAACTAAATCTAATTTATGGAAGAAAATGTTAGTATATACATAAGTCAAAATACCACAATGTAAAGAAACGGTAAAAGCCTGTTATTTGAAACACTACTCTTTTTCCTACTTCTACTATCATCATACAGTTAAAGGGTGTCCGAGTCATCATGTTGGTAAAGTCACGTCTTGTTTAATACTGACCCAGAGGAGTTAAGTTGATGATGTAACCATCTCCCAAGTAGAGAGCCCAGTGCTGATAGGCCGGTCTGAAGATTTCAATGAGGTCACCAGGCTGGGGGTCACCAGAGGGGTCAGGAAGGTTGGGGTCATTAGAGGCCATCTGCACACAGAGTGAAAATGGAATGTTGAGTAAATTATTTCATATCATAATTAAGAGACGTCAGATGGAGTGTGCCTTTAAAACTTGAATACATTAAATCGTATTTTTCTAAACACTGCAATTGTTGAATTGTTTGTTGAAAATCTGTTATAATTTAGGAAGATTATATCTGGATTATTACCCTCTTTGAAGGTCTGTAAACGGTAATATCCGCTCCATACAATAAAACTCTTTCTGGACATAATAACAGCCTTTCAGACAACTTACAGTGGAGTTTTGTTGTTGTTTATCCATCCCACATCATGCTTCCACAAATTCTATTAGAAAAATAAAACACAGGTAGAAACAATACAATACAATAACAGATCACTTAAGAGGTCGAAGGCAAAATAATTAAGTAATAAAAAAGAATTCCAAGAGAAAGAGAATGCTAGATGGGATGGTACAATGCAAAGGGCGCCTATGCATAGACACACTGACAATACACATGGGAGCTCTTTTGTCACCTGTGCTAACACAAAAGCATCGACACAACGGGGAAGGTAACAGAAAAATAGTTTGAGCCTGCGTTGTATCACATAATCCCCCGTAAAAATGAGTTTATATCACATATACATCACCCTAATTTTCTGTTTTTTTTCTTTTAGAATTGCCTTATATAACATCAAAACATCTAGATTGTTTGTTAATTCCACAGAGAGAAGAGTTTAGTATCGATCAAGATTATACCTGGGTGGGATGAAATCAATATCTACCCAGGAGAGAAATTAGTACATCCATCTCATCATTAATGTATGATGCTCGAGCCTGGCTGAAAAAAATGCTCCATGTTATTTTACCAAAACTCTAACACGGTCTCACTTACGATATAATTCTTTATGGAATTTACGCAACTATTAAATGAATCATTATTGCAGTAGTGATCTAACATCGATTGCTACTGTTTATATAAAATATTATGTGGAGATATGAAACACATGTTATGAATACATGCCGTAGATACCTTTAAAGCCCCTCGTTATGATGTTATAGCTGTATGATTGTTATTGTATTGAATTCCTATCAGGGGCTCAACACTCAACACAGACCCAGCGCATACGGGGGTAATACTTACTCAAACACCAGCAGCTTTTTCTTCCTCACCATTTTAATTTTCCATCATCGCGTATAACCCCAAAAAATTCTAGTAGGGAAAAGAATAAAAGAAAGAGATTGATTCCAAGTTTCTGAGATGACAGAAAGGTTGACAAATATCTAAAAGCCAAGCTAGACGCTGGAGGTCCTGATGGAGGTATTTCAGTGTCCGATGCTCTGACTGATGACAGTGGGCCACAGTTGCTAAGGTCACACACACACACACACACACACACACACACAATTACGCACATGGAGGCGTTTCCTGCTTACCATTGTCCCATTCACAAGGAGACACGGCACTCTTCTGAACAACAGTTATTGTGGATTTGCAAAGGCAGCCCGTGCACTATGGGTTCCATTTGAATGTTGTCTGATGTCTTTGCTTGTAGAGCTCATAGTGTAGCTGCCCGCGTGGATGTTCATATATTTCCCTCTCATTTGATGAATAAACAGATGGATGGATAGGAGAACAGTACTGTAGCGTTGAATGTGCCAGCTTGGTGATATTGGGTTGATTGTGGGGCTAAAAATTAGATTTCAAGCTTGAAGAGCTGATAACATTATCCAAGTGAAACACACTGAAGAACTGTAAGATACACTATATTTCTTTTGTTTTCTCCGCTATTTTAAATGATTCATAGATTGTATGTATGTCATTCTGATAAAAATCAATTACCAGTACTACCTTTAATGCTTCATGTCCTGTGTGTAATTATCTTTACCCTTAGTGCACTTCAGTCTCTTTACAACACAGAGGCTCTTTAGGGGTCAGGCGGATTCTCTGCGCGTTGATTGGCTACTGCAGTTGGAATATGCGTCAAGCTCCCGACAGTCAATTTCAACACAGCAGAAAAAAAAACATAAAAATGCTAACACTGTTTTATTTAGTGGGCAGATTTATTGGTCAGATTGTATGCAAAACAAAGCTCAGAAATAGAAATAAAAGAGAACCGCTACAAAGGCCATACTCGGCTCAGAGTTAGCAATCGTTGGCGACATAACGTCGGGTCTGTTATGCTTTTATTTTGAAGTGTTTCCGGTTTCCTCTTTGCCCTCTCTTTCTTTCTACGGCGAGCTTTGCTATTCGCCGTTCCAGGATACAAACAGAAGGTTAGCCGAGCCGTCAGCGAGTCATCTTTCACCAGGGAAAGGGATTATCTGCACCATAGCTGTGGATCTATACTGTTGTGTTATGAGAAGAGAACACTTGCTGTGTTTTGCTGTGTTAAGACTGTGGTAAGGAAGCAAAACCACAATCCAACGTTAGCTAAACGTGCTAATGCTAGTTTAGTGCCGCTTGTAACGATAACGTTAGCTAGCTAGTTTCGCATAAGATGTTCTAATGTGAACCATAAGTAATTCACGTTAGTCTAGAAAAGCCTATTATTCACAGTCACTGTTTGGTATTCTCACGTGTCGAGTGTATCGAAGTTGCACGATATCACTGTTAACTTCTATAATGGCTCCAGTAACACTTGCATAACTTTCGTTATTTCACCTGCAGTTCAAGTAAAACCTCACCTGACGTATTAACGCGATTACTACCGCAGACGTCCTGCGTTGAGTGCGACCGAAACGCCGTTGTAACCCGCCTGCTGGTTACTAACGTCGTTTTGCCCTTTCTTGACCCCTCTTAGACCAAACACCATGGCGGCGGCTCCTCATCTCAGGCGGTCGGATTCGGCTCAGGGGGAATTCTCTCCTCTCAAGCGCTTCGTTGTGGCCAAGAAGAAGATCAGCGACGTGTTTGAACAACTGCTGAACTACGTGAAGGAGACCTCGGAGTTTGTGGAAGGTGAGAGGATTTCATTTCCAGTCTTGATTATGATCGTGATGATTATAACGCTACGAGAACAACTGCTGGAAGTCAACATCATTTTGTGTTGTCTTGTCTGTTAACTGTGTGTGAGCGATTCATGGAGTAGGTGGTGGTGTTTGTCTGTTTGTTCTGGACAGAAACCTGTGGGAATAAAGCATTGGAGAATATTGCGAGTCACGATCAAATGTCTGAGATTCAGGGATACGCTGACAAACTGGCTGTCATTAAGGAGGTGCTGGCACGCAGGCACATGAAAGTGGCGTTTTTTGGCAGGTGAGACGGCTACAAACACAACTAACTTGTATTTGCAAAGAGTATTGTCTACAACACTTATCGGATGTGATTCTCAAACAGCCTTTTCCATAAAAGCAACCTTTACGGACATAATTATTGTGATGACTAGAAGACTCTGCAAGTTAAACTAATCCTTCCCCAAATTAATTTAGGTGTTATGGTCTTTAAATTTGACCTATCCTTGTAGGGACGTTTCTCAGCAACGTCATCACCCTGATTGGGTTAAAAACTGAATGTTAATTGAACCGCGTTGTGCTCCGCGCTGATGCAAATGAAGCCTTCGCGTCCAAGACACAATGCGCAGGGTGTGTCACCGGGCAGCATATTTCCTCTGCATGATTTAGCAATGACACGCGGACTCCTGATCAGCCTTCCGGTAAAAACACTACCTGCCACAGTGGAGGCCTTATTATCCATTCTGGAGGTCTGTATCCAGTCGTTTCCATTAGTAGCTGCATATTTATCTTGCATTTACATTTAAAGTGAATTAGGATGTCACACCATGGAATTTAGAGTTTGAGCAAATCATTTGCCTCCAAATAGTCAATGACGTTTTTTTTGTAGGACCAGTAACGGTAAAAGCACGGTGGTCAACGCCATGCTGAGGGACCGCGTGCTGCCCAGCGGGATCGGCCACACCACTAACTGCTTCCTTAGTGTAGAGGGAACTGACGATGACAAGGCCTACCTCAAGACCGAGGGCTCGGATGAGGAGAAGAGCATCAAGGTGAATGTTATTTTAATAACCTTAATTATATGTTGAGCACTTTTTTGTACCTTTTGCTGGAGTAAGAAGGTCCACAGTTTTACTCGTAGTTGATGCGTTTTACACAAAGCAGATTTGGGCCATGTTTGCTAATCAGACAGTCAGTGAAGCTGCACTTCCTCGCGTTCCCTCAGTTGATCGCCCCGTCTTTGCGCTTGTGCAGTCGCACTGAGGAGGAATGTTGTTCATGAGATCTTTTGCTTCAGCTGTTATTTTGTTGTATAGAAGATGAATAATGTTTCCATTTTGGGGTTTGGCTTGTTTTGATTCGCCTCGCCAGACATGTGTGAGTCTGAACCTACAGCCACGGTTCTATAGAAACCGGTATGCAGGATGTTTTCGGAGGTAAAGGGTGTCTGAAACAAAAGTCTCAGTGAGATAAATCAGGTGGAATGGGTTTAAAATATAAAGCATTCTCATTGGTTAACCTGTTCAAATGTGTATACTTATCTTTTCTTAATCTGTCCAGTGTAAGAAATGAATGTGGGGGCAAATTTACCTTAAATTCTGTGTTGATGTTTGTTGATAATATAGGAATCCTTGTAGCCTAATAATAGTTACCTAATAACATTCCACTGTTAATTTTGGAACGTATACTGTAAATGATACTGTATGACGGTCCCCTTTCAGGGCTGTAAAACCTTTAAAAACAGAGGAGACATTTTAGGCATTGTAAAAAGTGATTAATAAAGTGCTCAGTTCTACATAGCAAGAGACAGAAAAGTCATAGTTATTAAAATTACAAGAAACATGTTATCGTAATAATGGCAGGTGAGGTTTTCTTCAAGTCATTACGTTACAGACGATAGATAGAATATATAAACAGATGTGATTACATCTGCATTCATAACGTCGACCTATGCACACCCCTTCTGCAGACCGTAAACCAGCTGGCTCACGCTCTCCACATGGACGAGAGTCTGGACGCCGGCTGCCTCGTCCGTGTGTTTTGGCCGAAGACCAAGTGTGCTCTGCTTCGAGACGACCTGGTGCTTGTGGACAGGTAACGTGATCAGTTCATCAGATCAGATTACACAGATAAAGTGAACGAGGTGTGAGACACCAGACCTAGCTCAAATGGACGTCACGCATTTGACCTCTTGACCTCTCATCCACTGTGGTAGCCCGGGGACAGATGTCACGACACAACTGGACAGCTGGATTGACAAATTTTGCCTGGATGCCGATGTCTTTGTGCTGGTGGCCAACTCTGAATCCACACTTATGAACACGGTAAAAAGTCCTCCGAGCCTCGTGAAACTAACGACTGGCTTCCACACCTACTTTACAGTGATGGAAAGAACTTAACTTTACATTACTCATTCAAGGATTGATCAAAGGACGGATTTTCTTTATTAGCAGTAAATCTGTTCGCTGTCCGGCAGTAAATATTTATTACTAAACCCAAATTTTGCCCGTTGTCTTTGTACACATAAGTGTATAAGTAGTTTGGACCTATGAATAGATATTTACATTAATGTGTCCATTGCTCTTTATCACTTTAAGCTGTGTTTCAGTGTTGACTCAAGGTGACGAGAGTACACTCCCTGGACTTCTTGTCATAACTTCCCCTAACGTAACGCCCCTCGTGTGGACTTAAGGGGCCACTGCGGTGGTTGCGCAGAGGAGGATGTGGCTGCCTGTGTTTGTGTCGAGCCTCACAGGCCCTCTTGTTTCTGTCTGCTCAGGCATTCCTACAATGTGGAGCTGGACACGCAGTCAATCACAGCGCCTAATCCGGCCCGGCAGCTCCGAAAACACATTTCCCTCCGCGCTGTTCCAGGGAAATAAATCCCAGACTTTATGTAAATATTTTAAGATAGCCAAATAGCGGCGCCGCATCCTGCGTCACTGAGCGCCTGATTTCTGACTGGTTTGTGCGGACCGAGAACATTTCAGTTCACGTTAACACGCTACTCTGCCGTTGTGGTGTGCTTGGTTTTCTCCATTTCCATATACTGTGTACCTTTTGTATGAGTTTGTCCCATTCCGTGACCGGTTCGGTAGTCATTTCCATCGTGATATACATACATACATTATATACATACATACATTCATTATTCATTGCGTAATATTCATTTTGACTGATTCATCCTCAAATAATTGCTGAAAAAGCAGACGTCATTTATTTGAACGGGCCTCTAATTTCAGCTGGTATTTTTTGTGATATCCATTGTAGTTTCATTCAAATTCATTTAATTACAATTAAATAAATATGCCAGATATTGGATATTAGATCACATCTAATGTGAAGTGTTCTTCCCAGTTCACCGTGTCAAAACTAACACTTTTTAAAATCTACAATGGCAGCTTATTGGGAAATGAAAGGTTTTTTTAATTGTAAAAGGGAGATATAAAAAGAATATTGCGCTTTTACTGATTTGAGCAACGCATGCCTCTCTCTCTCTCTTCGCCATCATGCCGTCTAGGAAAAGCACTTTTTCCACAAAGTGAACGAACGCCTGTCGAAGCCCAACATCTTCATCCTCAACAACCGCTGGGACGCCTCAGCAAACGAACCCGAGTACATGGAGGATGTGAGTCGGCCCTTTATTCCCGTCTCATGGCAGGATTGGTAACATTTGAGTCTTACTAGTTTGTACAGAATTAGCTACCGGACTTGCTACCACTAGAGGTTAATACAAAAGAAATTAGATTTTATTTTGTAGGGGGGCTTGTAAATTAGCATTGGCAATACATATTTTTGTTATGAAGTCATGTTTAGCCCCACATCCATATTATTGTCTAGTGCACCGTGCCAGTGTGACACCTGTTCTTCCAGGTGAGGAAGCAGCACACGGACCGATGTGTGAACTTCCTGGTGGAGGAGCTGAAGGTGGTGGACCGCGATCAGGCACCCGACCGCATCTTCTTCGTCTCCGCCAAAGAGGTGCTCAACTCCCGCATGCAACGTGCACAGGGGATGCCTGAATCAGGTGAGGATCCGCATTTCAGCGGATGCTTTCTTTTGTGGAGGTTTGAGAAAGCATGCACATCATTATGTTCAATGTCATCACATCTGGGATATTTTTGGGGAACCGATTTTTTTCTGTGAGAGGAAAATAGTTGAAAATCACCAAACTTCATCCACTTTGGAAATGACAAAGAACAATGAAAACAGTAAATTACCAGAACGAAAATGATCCAAATAAAACATAAAGCCAATAAACAACTGTACTTTATACCCAATGTGTCTGTGCTAGTGTTCATTTGACATAGAATGTGATCATTTCATCCAACAGGTGGAGCCCTGGCTGAGGGCTTCCATGAAAGGATGAAGGAATTCCAATGCTTTGAGAGGAGGTTTGAGGTGTGTTTGTGTATCCGTCCACCATCTGTCCTCCTTCCAATGATGACCCACTTCTTAAAGAATAATCAAAAAGTTTTCAATGACCGTGGCATATATTTGCAGTTAGCTACTGGTACATGTGCTACCACGAGAGAAAAGCAGCGCCGAGCCGATAAAACGGCAGCGATGCTGATGGAGTCGCTTACACACTGCGACGGGTCCATCATCAACCGCTAAACCAATCCTGTTTACATTGGCTGTCTTCTGCTGGCGAGAATGAAGTACAACTGGGCAGAGAAGGGGAATCACTATTCAGAGGAGTGAAGCATCTTTTTTTCCTCATTCATTCTGGCCCGGAGATGCAGACAGTCGCTGCTTTATCAGCCGCTGAACCAAAGCTTATTTTATTTGGAGAAATTCCTTTGCTTAGTGAAAACGTCTGTGTTTTTCAAAGCTGAGGTTGAATTTTATTGCATGGAGAAAGATGATGAATTTAATAAAATACACAGCCAAAGTTCTTCAGCAAACAGTAGAAACCTGAGCAGTCGTCTTCTCCAGCCGGGCTCAGTGGTTCGGGTTTCGCCTTCACTCAATCAACATGAAGCCGCTTCCTCCGGGGCTTTGCGGACCAAATCACTGTGCCTTCTCCATCAACCTGCGTCTTCATTGCTGAAGTCTAGATTCACTTAAGCGAGGACATCCGTTTGTTTTCATTCCATTTTGATTTAGTTTTTTTTCTGTGTTTTTTCATTCTAACAATCAGGAATTTACTTGTGTTCATCCTGGGAGGAAATTATCATCGGATCGGATCTATAATCGGTTTAATAATACGTGTCCCGAGCACTCGTTGAGCAGCTGCTTTGTAAGGAACGGAACAGCGGCTGTCGTGTCTGTGTGCAGCCAAAAAAATGCGGTTTTTAATAACTAAATTAAATATCAATAATCAGAGCAACTCTGATCTGGTCGCTTCCCCCACCCAGGTGTGTCTAATAAAAATACATATTGGGTTCCACAACAAAAGCCCCACAGGTTTTTCCTGTGGAATGCTCTGATTCACCACCAGGGAGAGAACAGCAGACGATGAGGACGTGTTAGTGAGATAAAATCCTGCAGGATGCACCGCCCATGTCAATTCCACGACTATTTGAAGTCAGTTTTAACTGAATGCGGGAATCGGGGACGCCACTAACAATTCAAACTACTTTTATAGAATGAAGTGAATGTCAATAAATCCCCCAAATCTGCTTTTGTGGGACCTAAAGTTGATTTAAAGAGGGAATTATCACAATAATTTATCCCAAAATGACACAATATTCCTACTTCTACATGTTCACCATTTTATTTGTTTTCTTTCACTTTCATTTGTGATTGTGTGCCGTTGGTGTGTTTTTTATAATTTTCCTTTTAACAAACGCATTACTGTGACCGTCCGATCGGTGGGCCTCGGGACGCAAGATACACACACTGCTGCCGCCACTTCCCCACCTGTGTTTCTTCTTTTCTCTTTGAGTTAAAGTAGCAGGTGTCTATCTTGTCTTCTGTTGGTCCCTGGTAGCGTGCGAGTTAACGCGCCCTATCCAGCAGCGGCCCCCATAGCCGTCACAGTAACTCGTGTGTTATGGCCTCGCAGGAGTGTATCTCGCAGTCAGCAGTGAAAACAAAGTTTGAGCAGCACACGATCAGGGCCAAGCTGATCGCAGAAAAGGTCAAGAGCATCATGGACGCCATCAACATCGAGGCGGCGGAGAAGAGGTGAGTGTCATTTAGTGGGACGGGATTGCCGGACAATACAATGGTATTCTGATGTTGTCTCATGAAGGGCTTACAGAGGTACAGAATATAAAGAACATGTTCGGGTGACCGGAGGGATGGATGAGATATGAGTAAAATATCAGTGTTACTTTCGGTCGGGTCGTTCTTTGTTTATCTTTTAATACCTGGTTCTTTTGTATTTGGCTGCTGTTTTGCATTTGTGACATTATTTCCTGTTTGTGCGGTGGGACCTCAGAGTGGCGGCTCTGGAGGATCGAGAGTACCAGATGGACCGGCTGGAGTTTGTCAAGAATCAGCTGAACTTGCTGATCGACGATATAAAGAAGAAGATCAAGGCCATCAGTGAGGAGGTGGAATCTAAGGTAAAGACAAACGCTGGTGGAAGGACTTTTGAAGATGGAACCAGCAAATGTTGGGCATTTTCCAGGTCATTGTTTTGTTGATCCTCTAATTATTCCATGCGGTTTGCTCCCGGTGGTTGTTTAAGTAGGACCTCGAAGTCCTGCCTGCTCTTTGCTGCAGCTGACTGATGAGCTGCGGTTGTGTTTCCTCCCAGGTTTCCTCTGCCATGGGAGAAGAGATCTGCCGCCTCCACGTGATCGTTGATGAGTTCCACAGTGACTTCCACCCCTCGTCTAATGTCCTGAAGATCTACAAGTCTGTATGTAGTAGCCCGGGTTCATCGTTAATTAATACAAATTTTAAAAAGGGTTTCTTTACTGCTTTCCCATGTGACTCCCGTTGTGTTTGCAGGAGCTGCTGGCCCACGTGGAGGAGGGGATGGGCAAGAACCTGGCCTTCCGCTGCTCCGACGCGGTCCACGCTTCAGTGCAGTCGTCTCAGAGATACATGATGGGTAACTACACAGGGCAGAACACTGAGAACCTTTCCTTGCAGCAAAGGCCAATAACGTTACAGAGAACAACATCAGCCCAGATTCCGAGAGCCCCCCATTGTTTGTTTTCACTCATTCAGAGAGCGTTGCTAAACTTAGGCCGAACCTTTTTAGCCTCTCGGGCTCTGCACCGTACAGCGCCCCCTGCTAAATTTACCCTCCTCGCTCAACGCCATCATCCCGTGCCCCATTATTATGCCACGAGTGCGTCACTGTGACAGCCACGCATGCAAGCTGTGCTCGGTGACAGTGATGTTAACAAAAGGTGTTAATGTGCCCTCTGATGGAAAGGACTCAGGTGCTGTCCTGACATTGTGGTGTGACTTTCCCTCGGGAGACACCAGGATATTCAACCCAAATATGTGTTATTAGCGGTGGGTATGTATTGTTTATGTTGTATTTCTCATTCTCCAGAGAGCATGCTGCCCCTGCTTCCCTCTGTGGCCCAGAGCCAGGTCCAGATGCTGGTGCCCAGCAGGAAGTTTGACCTGAGTTACGACTTGAACTGCGCCACACTTTGCAGCGACTTCCAGGAAAACATTGAGTTCCAGTTTTCGCTGGGCTGGACGGTGTTGGTCCACCGCTTCCTGGGATCTGTCAACGCGCAGAGAGCACTCAACCTGGTGGACCAGAAGCTCCAGGTACAGGTGGCCTTTTAGTGAGGGTGCTGGCGGACTCGCGTCTGATTCATATTGCGGTGTTTAATGTCTGGAACGCTTGCTACTTTTGGTGCAGCATAAACGCTCACATAAACACAAAATAGGAAGGTACGGTTTTTAAACCCGCCCCCTCGTGCCGTTGCCCAGGGCTCCCGGCCGGCGCTGCCCATGGCGCTCACGCCCTCCTCGGGACCCCCGTCCATTACGGCGCCGCCAAACAACGGGACGGCAGTCATGAGCCAAGAGGACATGATGGTAGCCGTGGCGACTAACGTGGCATCCCTCACCTCCCGCACTTCAATGAGCGTCCTCGTTGTCGGCGGAGTGGTATGTTGTGTCGTCTGGATGTGTGTTGTAAAATACAGTTGTGCGTGATGTTGTTGCATTTCAGGTGAGAGGAGCTTCTGTTTGTAAAATGTTCCGTTTTATCCCAACCTCAACTTAATGACAATAAAAGAAGTTATTTTCATCAGGGAATTGTAAATATCAGGTGTAAAGATATGAATAAAACTCATTTTTCCCTCGACAAATGCTCTGCATTGCTTTGCATGGAAATGACAATCAAATTTTAAGGCAGCTAACCTTATAATTAACACACAAACCTGTGTGTATGTATTAACGTTTTTCATCATTTCCCTAAGGTGTGGAAAACCGTTGGGTGGCGGCTGATCGCTCTGTCGGGCTCACTGTATGGCTTGCTCTACCTTTACGAGAGACTCACCTGGACCACGAAGGCAAAGGAGCGAACTCTGAAGCGGCAGTTTGTGGACTACGCGACAGACAAGCTGCAGCTCATAGTCAGCTTTACCAGTTCAAACTGCAGCCACCAGGTCCAACAGTGAGTCCTGACACCGCAGCATTCCTGTAGCTTCATATTAGAAACAAACAAAGAGTTTTCTCAGTTTTTATCACAAGTACTATATTTAGATGTACGGTCTGTACATTCCGTATGTGTGATGGATAAAGATGGTGACATTAATAATGTTTTGTGCTGACATTAAGGGCTCCTTTCTCTGCCCCATAGATCGACACGCCATAATCTTCCTAATTTACACACACACACACACACACACACACACACCCACACACCATCCCCTCCCTCCTGTAGCAGGGCTAAATAAATAGGCACTGCAACCCTGTGCCCTCTTTGTTTCCAGGGAGATGGCGGCGACCTTTGCTCGTCTCTGCCAGCAGGTGGGCCAGACGCAGAAAGAGCTCGAGGCTGAAATCCGCCGACTGACAGCCACGATAGATCAGCTGGAGACCGTGCAGAGCCACTCCAAGAGCCTGCGGTCAGTGTCCGCTCCTCCTCTCTTGACTGTTTGGGAAGGTGTAGGAGAAATAAACATCCTCCCTGATATTGGTGATATTACGGGAACGGCAGAGGGAAAAAAAGACAAGACCAGATTCAATTTTACATCCAAATTCAAGCTTCACCGTTAACTTTGAACAGATGTTTGTCTACTTACAGAACAGCTCTGCAGATTAACAGTTAGAAATGCATTTTCATTTTGGATGAAGTTGGTCTGACCTGTGTTTGTTTCCCCCCCGCAGACATAAGGCCACAAACCTGGAGAAACAGTTGGAGGAGTTCACCAACCAGTACCTGAATCCTCCGCAGTGAGCGGTGCCCTCCCCCACGCCGCCGCTCCTCGGTCTGGTTCTCATGGTCGTTCTCTCCTGCGGCAGCTTCTGTGAGGACGGTCGTGCTGGAAGGATACGTAGATTGAAAGAACTCTGTAGGTGTTTTGAGAATATGAAAAGGTTTGTCAGACAAGAACACCAAACGTCTGGAGCTCCTCCAGTGCGAAAGATTTGGTCATTTGTAAAATTGTATATGAAGATATTTAGTTGGGTTTTTTGGTCTTGTCAAACCAAATAGTCAACTTGTTTTTGTTTTTTGTAGATGAATCAGTTAATCAAAAATGTATTGATCAATTGAATAAATCAAAAAATAATCTGTAATTTCACTTTTAATGGATGGAAGAGAGTGAACTCGACAGTATTTCCTCCCCCCTCCACTGCCAACTTTGAACTTCAGATGCTCGAGAAACTGCAGTGAACCAACTGCAAAACCAAACCGCAACGTGGACTCGTTGACTATCAGAATCTCGGTGGGCGTGAAATCTCGCGGCCGGGTGCTATATTTTGACACTATTGTGCTTCGAACTGTGAATATGCCTTTTTTGACTAACTTTTTGTGAAGCAAAGTTTTGAGTGTGTGCAATACTGTACATGGATCTTTCCGAGCACATGATCTGTTGTGTTGGCAACAGAACATAAATATCTTTAATAACAAGAGAACATCTTCTCCTTAACTGTAAGGACCTGGTAAAAGTTAACTGAGTGAGAGAAATCATTCGAGGAAAAAGGGAAAGCATGTCTTTCGCATACTGTTCATGTTCTATTTTCTAAATATCCAAACTGTATAGATCAAAAGCTTTGGAAAACCTCTTATTTTATAATACGCTCCTTTATTTATAATCTTTAGGCTTAAAATTACAACAGTCCACATTGTAAAAATGTATTTTTTCCTGAATGCGTCTTGAAATACCTCCAGATTTGCCTGATTGTATTAAATAGATCTAAAAATGACTTGAGTGAATTGATTTGTTTACAACCACCATTAGAGCCTGATGGCCATGTTTATTCATATTGTGCACAAGCACCACATCTGCTTGCCAGAAAACAGGGATGTAGTTTATTTTAAACCGCGAGCGTTGAAATATTTTAACCCAAGTAAACACAGAATTCTGCATCCGATAATTGAATGCTATGCGTCCAGAACATGACTCGAGTTTAAGCATCTGTGACTTACTCTTATGTTTACGCCTGTGTGCCGTTGACGTGTTTTTGTTCCGTTAACGTTATAAATGAGACCGTGACGTGGACGTTCTGTTGGATTCAATGAGGACTAATTAGAAAATGGTGGTCCAGGTGACCTTACATGACACGTTTTGGGCCACAACTTTAATCTGGAAGATACAAATTGACTGGCGGCTGGTTACGAATATCAATATAATTGAACATTGGTAGATAAGACTAATATAAAGATAAATACTTCAAAAGCTTACATTTGGTGTTAAGTCCCTTTCTCAAAGGTAACAATAAGAATACTGAAAAAACTACTACTACTAAATACGGTTTCCATTTCTGTGAACAAAATCGTTGAGGATTTGGATTCTTGGTTAGAAGCTTTTTATTGGTTACAATAACTCATGGCAACATATCGGTATCACCAAGCCACTGTACAAATACAAAAAAAAGGTCTGGTGTGAAAAAGACTATAAAAATTATTCCATAACAAGTGATTATAATTTCACACAATAGCACTGTAAGAGAATTATCATGGCACCAAGTCCCTGGTCTTTCACTGGCTTAACACATAAAAACAATAAATAAAATCAAAATGTCAGAACAGTTTGCTGAAGAGTCTAAGGACAGTGCGTTGTTTTGTGACTGTGCTGTGGTGGTGATCATGTGACATCGATTCAAGTGGTAGGGGAGTCCTTGTTTGCATGTGAAGATTTTAAATTTGGAGTCATGCACATTGGAGCATCATAACACTGCGTGAACTCGTGCAGCAGCAGCGACGACGCTTTCCCATCTGCGCTTCCCAGTTAAATGTAGGTTGGTGACGAATGGCACCACACATACAACGTACCACGCCGATGGTTGACGGGAGTCACAGATCGTTGTACTCGAGGCAGTACTGTAAATGCAACAGATGTCGACATTTTGTAGGAGCACAGAGGTTGATTCAACAGCTCTCTATCAGTTGTATAGTGAAGAGAATACACCGGGGGAGACTTCAGGTAAATACACCAGTGTCAAATTTTAAAAAAAGAAAGAAAAGTCAAGCACCTTTTTTGATTAATGAGTGGACTGCACAGGCACAAAGAAGTGTTACTATTCCAGCTGCTAATACTGCTGGAATACACACGAGAGCGAGGGAATGGTTGCCTGGTTATCGGAAATAAACACAATCCCCCTTTCACCCAGTAACACATGGTGTGTTTTCCTTCCTCACTGTTATACAGTTGAAAAATAACAGGGTGGCTTTTATTCGATTGGTTTTACGTTTTATCTTCTAGTGGACCGATATATATATATAAGCTTTCTTTCTGTCCGTTAAGTAACTTAAGGCGGCTTCTGCAAGCTCAGTTTACCACAAAGAATGAAAATGGAGGGGAACCGGTAGCAGTAACATCTGCAGCATCGCCAGAGCACCCAAATGAACATGCTGCTCATTTAACATGTACAAAAACAGTGTGTAAAAGATGCTTATTGACCATTCTCAGGGAGGGTTTGTGTCCAGCCAACAAGCGGAACTGGAGTTCCTATGTAACCTGCTTTTGCTTTTTTTTTTTTTAAACGAAGATACATGTGTTTGTTAGTAAACTTCAAACAGAGCCGGTCAAACTGTCTCCCACTCAGTCTCCAATCTTTGTGTTAAACTAAAGTGCTGCTGGCTGGAGCCGAATATTCAACAGTGGCACAAATCTCCGGCCAGAAAGCAAACAAAGTGTCAAACTATTTAAGTACATTTCACCGTCTTTGTCTGGGGACACATGGACATCTGGTTCTACTGACCAACTTCAGTCTAATACGCACTGTTAACCTAATAACACAAACACCCATCTTCAAATAGAAGCAGTACACCAGTTTGGTCAGACAACAGACTTGGTATTAAAATCAAACTGATGAGACTTTAATTGATAGATATGGAAAAAAAAAAGCTGGCACTTTGAGTCGAGTCAGCAAACCTTTTTTTTTTTTTTTTCTTTGTTGTCACATTGACAGTTTTCAGTTCACAGCTCAGAGTCCGTGGATAAATGGCACAAAAGAGGAAGTCACAATTAGATCTATGTTATCCACATACATCTGCGCCCCCCCCACACACACACTGATATGCGATACATATCACATCCTACACACCTCAAAGAGATTCTCACACTAAAAACTATTATTGACATTCTCTCAAAATGGATTATTCAATGCAAAGTAGTTGCAGCTAAAACATTCAAGAACATAAAAAGGAAAGTAGAATCACGGTAGGCCTTAGAGAGGTGTCACTGATAGCAGATTGAACCTAAATAAATACTACAGGTGGTAGCGTGCGGTGGAAGTAGAAAGCAGAATTGTATAAAAAGCTCGATGAAGCACTATGGAGCTGCATGTGTTTGCACGGTGTTCTGTAAGCATTTCTTTTTAGTGTTCACTAGTATCAGAATGTGCTTCTATTGGGGAAAATAAAAAATGAGCGATCACTCTTGTTGATCAGCGTTTAAGAGGAACACACGACGGGTCCGTGCTGTTATGAATGGCATCGTAAGGCAGAATGGGAGACAATAGTGCCACGTCTCACAGGAGCACAAACCCTCCTTCATCCAGCCCGTGTGGGTCAAACGTGTATATTCAGAGATAGGCACCCGAGACAGCCGACGTATAGGTCCAACTCACATACATTATGTAGATTCTTTTTTTTTTTTTTTAATTAAGTCTTTTTAGAAGAACCAACAAAAAAAAAAAGGAAGATGTGTGATGAGAGAATACCCTAAATCAGAGACAGCACTTCTATGGGTAAATAAGTCACGTGTTCAATGGTATACATTTGTACTACAGTTTGTGAGTGCATCTCTAGCTCTCTACTAAGTGTACATTTCAGTCTACCAAGTATACTTTCTTCACAAGCAATATTCAACACTTCATAACATGTTTTTGGTGATGGAAAAAAACCTGTTAAACCCCCTTTTTTTTCTTCTTTATCCTTTTTCTACAGGCTTGTTGTGGCACTGGTGTGATTGTGGAGCAGCGAACATGATTTCAGTTCCATGCAGTCACTCCGTTCACACCGTGTTGACGATAAAGAGGACTCGGTGATCCTTTGCTTCCAAAAAAGAAAAAGAAAAAAGGAAAGAATCAAAATGACATGGCGAGACATCTTTTCTTTAGTCCTCAGACAGTCACTGCTGTCTTTTGATGGTCCTCAAGACATCCTCCTGTGATGACAGGCCGCTTTACCATTTGTCCGCACAAGCCTCGGCACCATTACGGGGTCGCAGGTAGAAAACGGCTTCTGATTGAGGGGGAACGCGTCGCTCTCCCCGCTCTGCATCGCTGTCAGATGCTCACCTCTACGAAAAAGTAGATTCTACAGGCCAGACCCTGAGACATCACGCTGCAAAACCTCTATTTAGGACCGTCGGGTTATCCATCGTTTCACACAGCCGGTCGCATGGAATGAATGTGGTTTTTTTTTTTGTTGATATTCAGGCATGTTGAGGATTTCAAACCACAATCCATGTGAGAAGAGGTCAAGGCAGCACCTCCAGTTAAATCAAATGTTCTATCTTAGCCTAAAAGTCACCAGTTTCTACATTGGAGCTAAACTTGAATCCAGACTAAAAACACCACTTGTTTGGTTTTGAAGCGTGCTCTCTAATCATCATCACAGCAGTGTGGTGGTTTCCTTCCAAAAAGGAGAAGACTGTGGTGGAGAATGCCAGGGGGTTCGTGTTCTCATTCACGTGACTTTGTAGATAGATGCATGAATTCCGCCTGCTGACTGTACAATAATACACACTTACTGGTGGGACAAGTGAGTTTAGCCGGGCCAATGTATATTTTTAAAAATCCTTTTTGTTTACTTGTCAAATCCTCTTGTTGCTGGACACGAGGGCTTGATTGAACAGCAGGTTTTTAGGCTTTTAGGTTAAATTATGATACGTTACCGTGTCTAAATAGTATGGCACTCAATCTGGTACTCACAGGGTAAAATGGGTGTGTCTGGCAAGTAATAATGTGAATATGTACATTAGAAATAAAACTACTCCAGTCCCCTAAAATTATAATTAAAAAAAGAAAAGATACTCAAGGGTGGGAAATGAACTACAAAAATATACACATATACATTATATATGCATATATTATGCATATATACACACATAATGTGATACATATATATTGTCTTTATATATACATTTACATATTACATATCACACTGACGCCCATCTTATTTGTTGTTTGTCACGGCACAATATGCTCTCTATCGCCCCCTATCAGACAATCTTTATGGGAGTGATATCTTTTCCGTTTTCCTCTAATCGCTCTAATTTTGTTTGAGCAACTCTACTGAAAGGCTCTTATTTAGGTTCCTGTGTGATGGCTGGGTGGGAAACTCCTGTCACTTCTGTCAAAGCTGCTACTTTCTCACAAGTGGGCAGGTCCCCAGCAGAGAGGAGAACTCAGGGGGGTGAGTAGGTAATTGTGTGTGTGTGTGTGTGTGTGTGTGTGTGGGGGGGGGGGGGGGGGGTAGTGATCGACTACGGTAAGGAAGAGAATTGTTTAGTTCCAGATCCGCAGGAAACTGTCCCAGGAGCCGGTGGCCACGGCCATGCCGTCTTCTGTCACCCCTAAGCAGCTCACTCGGTTGTCGTGGCCGGCCAACACACCTGGAGGTCAGAAGAAAAAAAAAAAACCCCACAATCAATCAATCAATCAATCAATCAAACAGGCCGGCTGCTTTGAAATCAACAACGCGGTCCGTGTTCAAGGCCGTTACTCGCTGCTCATCGGTCGGTTCGTCCGTTCCGTCAGTTTTCACTTAAGAAAAACACGAGAAATGAGAAAAATGAGCGGACTTCCAGCCCCCTCTTACCTGCACGTTCGCCTTTCAGAGTGTCCCAGACGTTGCAGTTGAAGTCATCGTAGCCGGCCAGGAGCAGTCGGCCGCTCTTGGAGAAGGACACTGAGGTGATGCCACAGATGATGTTGTCATGGCTGTACATCATCAGCTCCTGGTCGGCACGCAGGTCAAACAGCCTGCAGGTGGCGTCGTCCGAGCCGGTGCCGAAGGCGTTCCCATTGGGGAAAAACTGCGGGGGAAGAAAATTAAATCTTAAAAAGCCAGCAGGACGGTGTCGTTAAGCCAGGGGGGGGGGCTTCCTGTGTTTCTCCAAGCCTCACGGCTCATATAAGTGAATTCACCTAAGAGAGTGACCTGCTTTAAAAAGAGCACTCATGTGTAAAACTAGAAAAGGTTGGAGCATGATGACCAAATGAAACACCATCATGTAGATTACCACAATAAAGAGCTAATAAAGCAATCGCAATCTGGCTTGTTAGACAAAACAAATTAAATTTGAGTGAGTTTGTCCGTTTTTTTTAAATTTTATTTCAAATCTGGCCTTTCACTGGAGTAATGCCTTTTATATTTCTGCCACAGAAGCAGCGCTTTGCAAGACGTCGTTGGTGGTCAGCGCTCTCTTGTGAAACAGATTTAACAGAATTTAAAACCGCTACTTAGAAAAGCTCGAAACAGTCAGGTGATCAACAATGAATCATTAATGAGAACCCTGAAATACGAGACTTCCAAAAGCAACAATGTGAGATTTTCAACCTTCGAGAGACATTGAATCACTACCAACATTCCACCTGATGGTGAATGGATTGTTTTATTGTGCAAACAAATAAACCGTAAAGGTCTTTGCACTCTTCCTGTAGAGAGTGCGAGCAAGCGAGCGAGTTTTAGAGCGTGACAGAACTCACGGTGACGGCGTTGATGTCGGACACGTGGCCCGTGAAGGATTGCCTGCACATGCCGTCCCGAATGTCCCACAGCTTGGACGTGGCGTCACAAGCTCCGGACACAAAGGTCTTGAAGTCTGGGCTGAGAGACAAACTCATCACGTCCCCCGTGTGGCCGGTGAAGCTGGTGGCCTGCTGGCCTGTTTCTATGTCCCACAATGCACTGCGAGAAAGGAGGTCGTGGTTAGGTGAAATTATAAATGCTTTACTATAAAGCTGCTAAAAGACAACATTCAAATATTGAAACGGCATAATAGTTTCTGATTTATGTGAATTACGCGGATTTCTACCTATCCATCTTTGTATAACAATGCAGTCATGACAATCTAGTCTCATTAATTAAGATTCGTAGTGAATAGAAGTTTTTCTGTATAATCCACACAAAAGGCATCAGACGGCAGCGATACAAAGGGGAAGACAATCAGAGTAAGAGGATTGATATTGGAGAGGAACTCAATGACATTTTTTATTTTTGGTGATTACACATCAACCGTGTAGCATGATAATAAGAACGTTTCTATCTCATAAAGAGCTTTCAAATCTTCAGCTGTGCAGGTGAGAGCGGCGGGTCGTTGCTCACCAGGTGGTGTCTCCGGAGCTGGTCAGTATCTGGTTGTCGTCCAAGAAACGACAGCAGGACAGGTAACCTGGAGGGGGACAGCGGCAGCGGCAGCGTCAGACGAGGACAATCCACCACGTCCCGTCGACTACTCACAAGTGAGCGCTTACTGCCGCGCTTTACCTAAACCTTCAGGGAGGCTCTTTGGTGGCTATGGTATATTAATTTACTGTTAACAAGGAAATGTTTGATTAAAGTTATATCTGTGATCGTGCTTGCATTGCAGGAGAAAAGACAAGTGAAATGGAAAATTAACACATCAAGAAGACATTTAAGCCTAGAGACATTTATTCATATATAAATAAGCCTGCGAAAGAAAGAGATCGAGCTAAAAAAAAACCTAAAAAAAAACAGCAGGGAGAGTCTGTGTAGCTCTCCTTTGTTTATTAAGTCATTAAATGAGACTAAATTTACAGTCAGGGGAAACGGATCGGTCAAAGTTATTTAGGGTAAGCGCTTGTGTGGAGTCAACGCTGGGCTTTTATCGGTGTCCTGTCCTGGCTGGCCCCGTGCCTACCTGTGTGTCCGGGTAGCTCTCGGGTGACGCGCACGTTGCCCTCTCGGGTCTTCAGGCTGTATATGGAGCAGATGTTGTCCAGGCCTCCGCAGGCCACATAGTTCCCAGAGGGGGCGTATGCGCACGTCATCACCCAGGAAGAACGCAGCGGGATGGCATGCATCTGAGGACCAGGACATTCGGGAGTCATTTCTTTACTGAACGGGGGGGGGAAGCCTTCTTCCATTGGTCTAACCAACATGGTAACATGATTATATTATTATGATCAATTATATAATCTTAGCATTAAATGCAAGATGACATCACAAAACAGTCTGGGTTCATATTAAGTATTACAGGTTCAGATGGCGGGGAGGTTTAAAGAATAAATAAATAAGAGGGTGATATTATTTGCATTTTAGACGTTTAAAAAAAATTCTCAGATTCCATTGCCTAATCTTACCCTTTCACCAGTCAGATTGATATATAATCTTATGATTTATAAAAGAAACTCGAGGTCATTTTGATGCTAGCTGGTCCCATTTCCCTACGTATTTACAACAGTATTGCGCTTCAGAGACGACTCTAAGTGACAGTTGAGAACAGTGGAGGGTCAGTGAAGTCTTACAGGGGCAGCACATTTCTGAAGGGACCTTAACTGTCCTTGTACACATTACACAACCTATCATCGATTATCAATTATCTCACCTTGTTTGTCGTGTAGCTGTCCCAGATGATTAGCTTTCCATCTTGCGAGGCACTAACAAGTAACCTGGGGGAAAAAAAGAAGTAAACAGCAGCATTACAACCGTAGCACGTCCAAAAAAAGAAAGAAAAAGAAAACAGTACATGCGTCTGGATCATTAAAAGCAAATGAGTCAGCAGCCACCTAACGGAATGCTGTGCTATACAATACAATTAGTATAAGGTGCTCCGTCAAAAAGCATTGTGCGTGCTCTCTACCCGGCCCCGTTTGCCTCCATGTTCCTTCGTCCTCCCCCCCTCCTAGTGGAAGACTCCTCATCCAGGGAAGCCACTTTTAATGTCCCACCCCATGTAATATTCATTACCCTAGTTATGTAAAAAGTCCTACAGTGAAGCGGGAGCTTGAAGCCCGAGTTGGGGGAGCACTAGAAAGAAGCTGGGTGGGGCAGCAAGAAGGAACGCGGAGGAGACGGTGGAAGTGGAAATAGTCAGTACAGAATTAGACTTGTAGGTGGTACTGATGCCAAAACAGCTGGAACCCCTGCTTCCTTCCTTCCTTCCTTCCTTCTCTCCCTGCCTCCCTCGCTCCCTCCCCCTCTCCCCCCTGGGTGTCCCTGCTGATCCAGCAACAGGAAGTGGTTCGATGGTGCTATGCTACAATCAAGAGGAGAGCCATTGCGGGGAAAATGTCAGCGACTGTATACAAAATAAACATTAAACCTCCTGCTGGGTCACCTCTAAATTTTCTTTAAATCAAGTGTGTGCTCTTTGCTGTCTAAGATTTCAGCACGAACAAGCTAATTTTATTTATAGATCAGAGTGCGCTGCATGCATAATATTGGGAAAATATGATCGTTGCGTCAACCGGTTAAAAAAGCAGTTTTAAGCTCTAAATAGTGACAAACTGGATGCAAGCAGGCGCGTGTGCAGTCCAATCTGGACGAGAAGATCAACTGTGATCATAACCTCAGTGGGGGAAAAAAAAAACATAAAACCGAATTTAGATCTTACAAACTGCATTTTTAAGTCAATTCTAAATAAGCTTTGAATGTTGACCGTCTCTGTGCCCAACTAATATCACTACTGGGTTTAAAGTGAGGCCATAAAAACAGTGCTAGCACTTAGACGTACAGTATTAGTGGGGGTGACAGTCAATTATGGTGAGATTAGTCATATTAGTACAACAGTAGTAGTGGTGGGGGGGTGGCAGTGGTAGTGGTACTAGTAGTAGTAAAGCCCCACACCTGGGACTGCCGTCACTGCCCCAGTGCATTGCATTGGGAGACAGGTGGACAGAGAGAAATGACACAGACATGTTAAACACAGAAATAATAACACCAATCGTATAAAAGCAGGAGAACCTCCACACCTGTTGGTAGTGCACCGGTTTATATTTGTCGGTAATTTGTTGTGATTTGCTGCCATGATTTAAGCTTCACTGCGCAGCCTAGATGAACAGTCAGGTTTATGATATTACAACTGATGTGAAGCGCTTAGTACATATTCAAGCGTTTAAGTCAGAATGTTGATTTCACTGTAAAGGTCCTGCACTGTGGCTAAAGATGTGTCCACGTTCGCCTGGGCCTGAAACCTTTATTGCCTGTTATACACCCAGACAGTTATAGCTGTAGTACTAACACTCGCACTGTGGAAACTAAACAGACAAGAAAGGGTTTCTTAGCAGGGACAGAAATAAACACTGGCTCGTGGGGAAAATGACCTTCAAAGTGGATACAATCCTGATAGAATTCGAAAACAAAATGGACTACGGCGGTCGTGACCATAGCAGGATTCCCTTTGTGCCAGTCAAGCTGTTGAAAAATGTTCACTGAAGGCGACAGCAGGTCGATCCATGACACACATTTTAAATTGTGCTTCAGTGTCTTTGGGGATTTAAAAAAGACTATTTTGAATCTAAACAACCAAAGAAGTGAGCGTCACACAGCAAAAAAAAAGAAAAAAGAAAAACAATCCTACATAACTACTGCATCAACGCTGAACAACGTTCCAAAAGAGGTTGACGATGAACCAAGGTCGTAAAAAACGCTTCACTCTCTTCTTTAAGGCATCAAATGAAACACACCCGCGCACCAATAATTGGGTGTCTGCAGAATCGCTACCCTACCTGGAGTCGCTCCCCCAGTGCATTGCATAGATCTTGGCCAGGTGGCCCCTGAGAGTGCGCCGCGTTCGCATCTGTATCCGGCCCACCGAGTCCAGACCAGCTGTGATCTGCCAAAACACGGGAAGAAGCGTCAGAGTCACCCGAGGCCCACACACTGCCATCATCATCATCCTCATCATCATCATCCCCCCACCTCTCACCAAACTGGACGCTAAAAACAGACAGCATCGCTCAACAATGGATTACGTCAAAGAAAAGTAACGCTTTCATTAGCGTGTAACATCTGTATTAATGTGGACTTTGTGTGCGTTGGGAGGCATCCGGAGGGATTTTGAATGCCCATTATAAAAGCTGTACCTCGATTAGCCACCGACTTAAGACACTAATCAGTAAATGTTTATTTGCTGCAGCATTTTTCAAAAGGTATTCATTCACAGGTGAGATTGTGTCGCTCAGCTTCAGTGCTTTCGACATGAGTCTTAAACTACTTCCGAATCGTACGGAATAAATGCCTAGTTATTGGGCCAAAGCTTATAGAGTCTAGTTGGATCAGCCAGCAACCGCAAAAAAGAAAAAAAAAGACATGTAATGTAATTTGTTGTGCAGATGTATTTCATATGATTAAATGGTTTGGGACCATGAAGATTTACATTAGGTCTTAAACACTCCCTCTTATTTTTTTTATAGATATGTATATGAGCATAATGAGGTATTTGTAACCGTGATAATTTGTACAACTGTATAGGAGAATGCAACGCTATTATGCCCACAATATTTTGTATGTGGAGACAAAGTCTTACCTGGGACAGAGTGGAGTCACTACAGGCTTTCCTGGCATCCTGCGACAAAACACAAAACACAATAACCATGTTGACCAAACATGTAATAACACACACAAATAATGTAACAAAAAGTCAAGCTTACTAAAACAGTCGCAAAAGTAATATCTAAAACACCATAAGTTATTGCTTATGGCAGAATACTCCATTAATATGCAGAATGATCACACAGCACAAGTGGGAACACGAGTGACCCACACACACACACACACACACACAAAAACAACAACGAATCAATGTAAACAAACATTCACACGAAATGTCGCCGTACCCGGATTTGATTTCGTAGTTGCTCGGCTTCCTGCCTCAACTGTTCCAGCTCGCTCATTGTCCTTCTGTGATTTGTTCAGGCCACGCTCCGCTCCAAATACAGACGGGGCCGGGAAAACACACGCGCCTTCTTTCTCACTCACACACACACACTAGCAAGCAAACAAACACACACACACACACACACCTCCCCACACACACCCACACACACCCACACACACGCGCACTTTCCCAGCTGACACCTGCAAAAAGAGGGATAGAAATACTTTGGGTTCAACAGGCAGACTGAGAGTGAAGGATGTGAGGCTTCCATCAGACAAACATAGGTATCCTGTATGGGTTCAGAGCAAAAGGAGGGTGCTGCAAAGGGTGGGGCTGGGCGGGGGCTGGGCGGGGGCCTGGAGGGCGGCCCGGCTCTTCAAACACCCCCGGTCGGGTTCAAAAGGCCATCTGACCTTTCCTGACGCAATCGGCCTTTTGTGTAGTTCATTGCGCCGTCCGGCAAGCCCCAAACTGTGCAGAACGTATGTGCGTGTTTGTGTGTGTGTGTGTGGACAATGGGCAGATCTGGTAGATTTATTTGACCAAATCTCCAGACGGGTGTAAATTATGTGAGCGTTTCAGTGCCAGTGTAGGTTCGGTATGACAGATCTCTGTATGGTTTCACAGATCGGTTTGAGCGTGCACGCATCTGTGTGCATGCACGGGTGAGTCGCCACTTCCTTTACCTTGGGGAGCCTGAATGTGGGTCACAAAGCACTTTCCTCAGAAATGTTCGAACCCCCCCACCCCCACGCCCCTCCCTCCCTCCCTCCCTCCTCTCATTTTCCGGGCTGTTTTACAGTCTGCTGTCCAGAAGTCAAACCCTCAGAGATTACGTTCTCAGTTCCATTCTCTATAATTCAGCAATTACACAGAGTCCAGCCCTTCGTCCTCACAGGAAATCATGTTAATGTTAAGAGGCGGTGGTTCGGGCTTCATCTTCAGTTTTGCAGCAGCTTTAAAAAAAAATAAAAAAACATCCGCTCTTAGTCACTTATTCACCACAAAAGAAACCCCCACGTTTTACAAACTGAAAATAAGTAACTACTCCAACAATGTCCGAGCGTCAACAACTTCCTTTAAAAAAAAATTATTATAAAAAAAAAAAAAAAAGAGGCTCCGACATTCTCGGTTCACTTTGCCTCGCTCCCCAAACGCGGGAGGCGGCGGCTTTGGACCCTCTCGCTCGAGGACCCTCCCTCGGTCTTTGACGGTGACGAGGCGTCAAGGGCCGGCGAGCGTTTCGATGCTCTCAGCTTCCCCGGGAGTGACATCACTCTCCCCTCCGGCTGACGCAACTCCCCCCCCGCCCCGAAGAGAGGCTCTCAGCGTCAGGGCCGCTCCTGCTATGCCTCTCTATGTCGCGTCACACAGAGCGCCTTGGACGACCACAGCGCGACCTTCTATGCTTTCTGATTGGCTCGTGTCGAGGCGTACCAGAGGGATGCGCACTCCCATCGGAGCTCGGATTTTTAGACAGCCACTTTGCAGGAGGCCCTCATGAATAGTCACGTAATACATTTGAGTCATTTAGAAAGTAGAACCGGCCACTCATTACTGCCGATGTAACCATCAGAGGCCTTCACACACACACACACACACACACACACACACACACACACACACACACACACACACACACACACACACACACACACACACACACCAAATTTTAACAATTCAGACATAAAGCTTGGCGAGCGTTGTGCAACTGCGGCCGACCGGCCGGGGGCCACGCAGGCCGAGGGGGGCGCAGGGTTCGAGGTGACAAAGGCAGAGCTGTGCGCTGGCCATTGTTTACCACATCAGCTGCCAGCTACAGTCGACAGAGCGGCGTGGCACCGCGGCGGCCAGGAGAGACGTTGCTATCGACGGTGTCTCTCTGACACCAAGCGAGCAAACAGCCATCCAGACACGTCCAGCAAAAACAAAAAGTCTTTTACTGGTTTCGAAGGCTGCATTACGGCAAAGGCTCCAACTTGATATGCACATTAACAATGGCAATCCAAAAGCTCATTATTTAAAAAAAAAAAAGTGTTTTGTAGAAGCACCTCTGGTCAACCCTGAAATATCAATAGAGCCATTTGGTCAGAAATCTTCAAAATGATAAAATATTTAATATTAATATGGCCCAGCCACCTGTTAATATGTTATTAGCTGCCGCTGCACGTCCTCCTTTTTCACCAGGTTAACAATGGAAATGAAAAATGTTTCAGTCTCCTCCAACAAACCTTTCACTTTCGTTTTGATACCACGCAGGGAGGGAGGGTCAAACAGAGAGGTCTCCTTAACTTCGCCACAGTAAAGTCATTGTAAAGTCGCTATTTGCTCTGGTTGCCATTATGACGCCTGCAGACAATATATTTGTTACAGGACACACTGTTGCTTCAGTGCGTTTCGCTGCTGACTCCCAGACAGTTAATGTCCAGCAGAAAACAAACACAACCGTTAGACAGTGACGTCCAGAAGTGTTTCTATGTGTCTGAACCGGAGAGGATTCACATTAGACCATCGCAGCATATTTTCCATTCAACGTGAACTTGTCAATGAGGCCGTCTGTTCCCTCGGGGTCACGCATCCAGTAGAAAGTCACATCTGCCTCGATCGCGGACAAATACTGGTGAACCGAGCAGCAGGAGGTCCCGGCAGTGCAGCTGCACCCGGAGCCGCGGGGGGCCCGACGACATGAAACGGTCAGGAAGTTAAGGCGTTAACATTTTGAACGGATCTAATCCAATGACTGCCTGGTAGTCCACTGTGAGCCCCTCACACCAGAGATCACAGGAAGACTTCATCGCCATCAGTCATATGCCATTAAATCGGTACCTTTGAATTGTATGTGTTAGAATGACAGAATGCACTTTCTGCACATATTAAAGGCATTTTGATGCAGTTTAATTTCTTAGCCGTCCAGACCAAGTCTTCTTACGATGGTTACAATGTGTTTAATTTGTAATAAATGTGCATCTACAAGCTCATGTCCAAATAATGAACAGCCGCCATAGAGAAGCACATCCACTTAATATTTTAATGTATGATGTATACTCTGAAGGAGACTGAGTGCGCTGAACTACTGACGTTAGATGATCAACTATAAACTCTGCGAAACATCAAACGCAAAACAAAAAAATAGAATAACCGTACAATTGAATTCCCCATAACTGAGTTCCATTCTCTACAATTCAGCAATTACACAGAGTCCGGCCCTTTCTTCCCACGATCTCTAGTGGATCAGAGGTAAACGCTCTTTCAGTGCGCGTCAAAACTAGAATGCAGCCGGACCGCTCCAGCCGGTGCAAACTTGCCCAGGTGAACCCACCGAGCATTCCAAACATCTGGAGAATGAAGGAAATACCTGGTGAGAGGCCATATATCGCTCTCTTCCAGTCAGTGGATGCTGGTATTTCAGCATTTTGCCATGGAGATAGTCAACGGGGAATGAGCATTTGATGACTATGATCTACTTTGATTGAAAGTGTCACCCCACCTGCACCACAAAGAGAATTACACATCTGCAGTCACGACACGTTTTTTCCCGAACAGGCCCTAAATGACCTCCTTAATTTCAAGTGAACCGTGACCTTTTTTTTTTGCATGAAACGTAGAGATTTCCTGCTTGTGCGTAATGGGAACGGTTATAAAAATTGGTGTGATTGTGTTGTTAGCTCATGTTAGTTTCTGATGTTTGGTAGCGTGCAGTACATTAGAGCCGGTCGGTGTGGGTTAGATCAATATCATAACAGTACATCAAAAGTCACACAACATTTAATCAACATTACATTTTGTAACAGGATTTTTCCACAACACGTGAACCCAGATACAATTCAAGGGAGTGTTAATAAATTATATTGCTATGGTAAATATTTTATCGCCCACCCCTTAGCGCCCTACACACAATACCGTTATTGTGAGGACAATAAATTGTCGTTGACTGAGAAAAGCGATGACTTGTCCATTTGAGAGGCTGTTTTAAATTTTTCAGCTGTACAGTTAATTAAATGATAACTCACATTTGACCATCCTAAATGAACAGTGTAGGTTACATATTTAAAACCCGTACGTCCGGTTCAAGCCCAACATCTTTGAGTTGATGATTGAGGTGATTGAGTGAGAGAGTACCACCCTAAACCCTGCAGGTATTTACCAACAATCCCCCCCCTAAAAATAATCTGCAGATTGAGAACAAATACGTGGTTAAAAAGGGGGACTTCCGTCACGCTACCAGCGGCCCCATGAAGGCGCGATGGCATGTATATTTTATGTTTTAAAAACATGTTAAAAAAAGGGAAAGAAAGTGCGCAGTGTTTCGTGCAACCACTAATGATGAAGCCGATTTGTAAAAAAAAAAAAAAAAAGAAAAGAGACAGAGATGTTGCCACCAGTCGGTTCCGCGTTTCACAGCCTGCACAGAGGCCGCAGTCTGGAGCGGATTTTCACGTTCGCTTCGGAGGCAGAAACCCCGGCATCGAGGCGACAGTTACCGGGGAACGGCGGGGCCGAGAGCCGCATCGCTGCTTGAGGAACACGCGGCGGTTTTTTGGTGTTTTTTTTACAGCATTCCTGGTTCTCGTCCACCCCCTCACATTAAGAAACTAACGTAAATCCGCCGTGAGCAAAGCAGGAAGCAGCAACCCACCCAAAAAAGACCCAAATGTCAAGACGAGACTGCGCGTCCTTACCTGGAACAGGATTTGTTTTTGGGGGGGGAGGGAGTGGGGCGGGGGGGTGAGTCTGTGTCTGTCCTTCCAATCCGAGTCACACCGATCCGTTTTCACACGACAACCATGGTCCCAGCTGTGAGAGAAATCGCAAAGGCGAGGCGTGTTAGTGTTAAGACAATTTCATCGGTTTCAAGGGAGCAAAGGCGAACGCGGCTCGGCTCGGATTTGACTATAAATTTTCACCAAGTAAGCTAATCACCACACCCATGAAAGTGGGAACATGGCAACAGCCTACGCGGGGGGGGTGGGCGGCGGTAGATAGATCCAGCATTTGCATTTCCTAACCAATGTAACGCTGTATACAATACCAGACGCTTTTAAAAATCGATTTACATTGAAGTCGGTGTTTTAAAGTAATATATATTTCCGTTTGCTTGTAGCGTGGAAATATTTCCAAAACGGGTTGTGCAACGTTCCGGTGGAATGGTACGGTCCGTCAGCCCCCTCAACAAAAAGGAACCGAACGGGATACAGGAAACAAATTTCCTACTCGTAAAGTCTGAAGTAGTGGAAGTGACTCAAGCGTCCTCAGGTTTGCAAAGACGCAATTTAGTCCATATTTACGCACTTTGACTTGGTCGAATATCTATTTTGTGAGGAAAAAACAGTAGTTGTGAAGCTCCTGTTCTAGTGTAAAAAGCGAGAGGTGAGCGGTGTGCAGTTAGTTTAGTCTATACGTGTAATCTATTACAAATTGGGACTTTGATAGATTCATTTTACTGTTTTATTTATTTTGCCAGTCAAATAAGGTCTTCAGTTGAAAAAAAGTTTCCTACGACCAAACTAGTATTTGTGCATGAAGACACATTTCTTTGCTACTTTTCTGTTTCACATCGATGCAAATTGTTTATGGTTGGCAGGTCATGTAAATATGTCACCTCGGGCTCTGTAAAATGATGAAAGGCTTCATCAATTTAATTTCATGAACAAGACAAGTGGTTAAAAAAACTTATAGCTGTAAGGCTTGGTCTGTGCCAGGAGACATCTGTGCCAAGTCTCACCCTGGCACACCGCGGTTGGCCTGCAGTGGGCTCATTGAAAAGGACCTCTCCATTAGGACAGGATGAATTTTTAATGGGGCCAATGAAAGGGAGCTGTGGGATAGGCTTTTCCATATCTCTGCACGAGCCACAATCAATGGAGGGAAGATGAAAGTTGCCCAGCCCCTTGGTTTCCTTTCCGATTGGCATGTGGTCAGATTAAGTCTAATTGAATTCACTCACACAGCAGTAGTTTAGGTGTGTCAAACCAATTTCCCCCGAAAACACATAATGAGGATTAGGATTAGCATGGTAGTAGAAACACATGTTGTAGGCTGGGTTGTCATCAATGCAGCCTGGAAATAGCAAATTGTTAAAATATAAAGCACGGTAAAGTGCGTGTCAAAATGAGAACTATATGTATTTATTTCTCCACACTAGCGTATAAATCACAGCAGTAGGCTGAACATCCTCATATAGAAGTGAGAGAAGTAATGATACACACTAAATCATAACCACAAAAAAAAGTCCATATGTTCTGACAATAGTTATGATATCAGAAAAAATATTCTATTATTGTTAAATGAAAAGACTGGTGACCGATGAGACATGAGTTTACTTTTTTAAAAGATTACATAATCTTGGATTTTAAGTAAAAAGAAAATGAAATAGAACAATACTCTTTTAACCTTTTAGGATTATTGGTTCTAAAAAAAACAAAAAACAAGAAGGTGTCCACTCCTCTGCTCTCTGCATCTAGTCAGTAAAAAATACTGAATTCATTAGCCGGCTGAGAATAAGAGTCAAGGTGTCCAAATGAACATCCTTGGCCAATCAGGTCTCCTGGCCTATTGCTTGGCAACCAAAAGGAGGGGGAGGGAGCAAATTGACACTGTAAAAATAGCACATCAATAGCCTGGTGTAAGAAAAAAAAAGAGAAAGACACATGTTGGTCAGGCTATAAATAGCCTACTGAAGGAGGTATCGTGTATCTCAGCTGCATTGTTGCCCGGGAATATGACGTTTTTGCATTGATGTAAATCCAATACGGGTTGCGCAGTACGGTACAGTAGCGGTCAGCCGAATGAAATCATTTGAATGTGAGGGTGTAGGGCTCCAGTACCGCAAACTAACAACAGGTTGTCATTGGTAGACAGCGGTTTTCTGTTCTAATGTTTTGCATTGATGTAAAATCACAATGGCCTCGGCTGCATTGTTACATTTGAATTTAGTACAATAACCAATACATTTGTCACAACAATTTTGCATGCAAGAGGGAGTTTAGGGTCCTATTGCCTACATAAATAACGTGGATAAGATGTGATCTTTTCATATTACCTAATAGTTACATCTGCGTGCTGTCAAGAGGCATCGCGATGAACTGGATGCTTCATCTAGTCTTTACATATTATCTTGTCACTACAATGTCACATTGTGGGAATGGGTCGCACGCGCGCGTGTGTCCTCTGTGGAGCGGAGGGCTTCAGCAAAACGTGGCCAAAGATAGATCCACCACGTCCAATTCAGTGTCACGGGGGGCACTGCTCAAAACTGAGCCCAATGTGTGGGTGATCGAATCAAGTGGAGACGATGGGACGTCGATTCGAAGCAGCTATTCAATGCCTATTTTTGTCCGCACGTTCCCATTCATTTGCCCACATGGTGGTGATGCGGCCCGACAACTCCTATGTAATACTTCCACTGTATCAAAGGCAATTAAAAGGTGTACCAACAGTAGAACCTTAAAAGGCTTTATCGGGGCTGTCTTATCCAACGGACATCTCCCGGGGAGGCTGGCCGTTGCCAGGGTAACCCTCACAAATGGCAACTGACGTCAAGAAGGTAGGAGAAATACCAGGGAGAGCCGGAGCCGTTATGCATAATGGATTATTGAAAAAAAAGGGCCCTCTTGAAGAGTGCAAAGTGACTTAAAATATGCGTGCCTCGCTGGGCTCGCCACCACTTCTCTCCCTCTCTCTCTCTCTCGCTGTTCCTCTCTGTGAGATGAGGGAAATAGATGTCGACAGTTTCAGTGTTTTACTTGTTGACTGGCACCTCATGGGCTTGACTGGCTCAATCGAAATCATCCATCCTGAGTCAAACAGTGCTGATGAACTATCCATTTATCGGACATTCTTTCCCCTCAATATTACATCATTTTATTGTCAAACTCTCTTATCCTATGGACCGGAGAATGTGTGCTGCTCTATCTTGATAGGGACACAATGTCCGGCTGCTGGCACTGCACCGTAAAAGAGCACGTTAGCCATTACTATAACCCGTTGTTGGTCACGTCACAAGGATCCACAGTGACATTGACAGCATCTCACAAGAGATCCTTTCACATCAGGGGCAAGTCCAGAGCATAACTACCAGCAGTTTACTCCGTCCCTGTTTCAGGTTTTGGTCTAATCTCCTGGCTCAGACTGCCACAACTTGGTGAAGAGCCCTAATTGTTTCTGTGATAATGCCTGTCAAATTCTTTGTCTCACAAAGAGAATATATGCATTATTTAACGTTCAAAGAGGCCATCCTGTGGCAGACAGGCACCGTGTTCAAAAGGTGCAGCATCATAAATGTGTCACGTCCCTCTGTACTGGGATCTGCCCCGAAAAAAAAAAAAGCCCCATTGACTTGTAAAATGTACATGAAAGAGTCCAGTAAGACCAGAATGAGTAAGCAAGAGGCACGGAGCTTTTTGGTTTCAGGAGAAGCTGAAGGGGAAATGTGCAAAGAGAAGAAGTGAGAGTGTTTCAGTCAGGGGAATCCCAAACACTTCTGTAAATAGAGGGTGCAACAAGCCTCTCGGAGCATGAACTAACATGCTCTGAGTTTCCAGAGAAGTGAACCGAACATGTTGTGTATGGCGAAAGGAATTAAAGGAAGTGAGGAACAACCCTGATTTGCTAATGCCAACCATTTTATTTGCAGACGGCCATTCATTTATAACCACAAGGATTTTGACTTGACATTTTGGTGCGCTGCAGATTCAGAGAACAAGAGAAGGTATAACCTCCTTTTGACGAGCTCATAACCAGAATACCCCCAATGCTTCCTCCCTCAGTTCTACAGCTGCGGCTTAACTGTTAGTTTGGGCTCCACCCAGCTCTGTTTTAGCTGAGGCAGATTGAAGATTTTATTTTCATGGTCTGTTAGAATGAGAATAGCATTCCGTACTGTAGGAACATCCTTCTTCGTGCTTAACATGAGCATTTGACCAAAATGGTCAATCGAAAAATCCAGAGAACACACCCGACAAGGCGCAAACTAATGCCTGTGAGGAAAACTAGCAATTTATTCAAACAATTAAAAGCTTTTCTACCTTTTTCCAGTGAAGATGAGTAGCAAAAGAAGTGGGCGTTTTCTGCATACGTCCTAAATGGCATCGATCGTGGGTCGCTTCAGTTCTTCCTTCCAGCTGCGAGTGCAGATGCCGCTGGGAGGAGCAGTAAAGGCGGAGAGACGGAGCTGGAGTATGAGGTGGAGAGCTGCTGAGTGGGAGGGTGAGCATACGACGGGGAGGACGGGAGACGGAGTAGTATTTCTATTAAAGAGACAGGGTCTATCTCTCCAGTACTATAGCAACAGATATTACAAGATGTGTTTTGTCTTGAATCTCGCGTTAATCATAGAGAATGTGTCCTTTGTTTCAGGAAGGGCTAAACTCTGATCATTTAATGTTAAACAAAGGCGTCTACAGTACAGTGGAAATCCTATAGTGTATTAAGTTATAGTTTGCTAAAAGAATTCCTAAAATTGAGGAATTTCCAATGATTCAGTGAGATGAACCCTGTCCCAGCATGCACTGGGTTGAACGTCCAAGCATCAGCTGTAAGCAATTCTTCAAGGGATTATTTTAAAGAGATAACAGAACATGTGCAAAAGGTTCTTTGCATTGGAAAGTCTTGCTGACAAAGACCCCACACTGTATTTTGCCAGAATATCAAAAAGGTAGTTCCTATAAAGCATGATAGACATTTGCACCTCCTCTTAAATGAGAATGATAAACAATAGTCTTTTTATTCTGTGGCCATTTTGACATCCCACAATAGTTAAAATACCAGTGTAAATAATCACATGAGTGAGGGCTGAATTCCTTTCAGCTGCTGTAGTTTCAGTACTACTGCGCATGCTGGCTCAAGGTCATTCTTGAACACAACAGAGCCCTTGTTGATGTTGTCACAAACGCATGTGCATTTCTTACTAATCAAAATATCAGCTGACAAAAAAGGCTTTTGGAGAACGAGGGTTCCTTTGAAAATACACAACTCAATCTCTACATCAGAATTATTGTTGTGCCTGCCTGGCTGTGTAGATGCTGTACAATACACACATTTATGCACTGCTGCTATATAAACACAACCACTGCACACCCAGGGAAATTAAACAGACAATTTTTTAAAATATAATATAATATATTTAAAAAAAAAGAATCTCTGGAAGCAAAGTACAGTACATTAATGTGGTGGATTAAATGTGTTTCAATAGCTTCCTCATTTCATGATGATGGCAAGTATGTATTGAAATGTAATTTGCAATGCAATGTTTTCATCTTGACATGAACAAAGTCCACTCAAATTTTCCTTGCAAAATAAACAGGGATATTTATTTGTTTTTACACTGTATAAAGTATCCAGTACAGTCATATAGCACTCAAACTCTCCTTTGAAGTGCTTGTAGAAAGTGCACAACATTAGAGTGCTATTTTGAACAACACAAAACTATTTTCAAACCAGGATTAATATCCGACAGATAATACAGTAACATTTGATTTCATCAATCTGAAATTACTAAAAGTTTTGTTACAATTCAAACTGACCTTTCTGAATGCAACGATGTTTAGTAAGTAATCTAATGTTTAGTATTTCGCCATTTGGACTCCATGAGGATTACAAACAACCTGAAAGGCTTCATTCAAACTTGATTCCCTGGGCCAGAGGAAGATCCTTGCTGTAGTTTATTGTGCAGGTTGAACGCCTCATGTACTGCTTCCACGAGTCACTGCCAGACTCTCTTCCACCGCCGGTGTGTTTCTCTCCACCAAAGGCCCCGCCGATCTCAGCGCCGCTCGTAGGAATGTTCACATTCACAATGCCGCAGTCGGATCCTTTGGGCCCCAGCCAGCGGAAAACCCGGCCCATATCTTTGGTGAAGATGCTGCTGGACAGGCCCTGCTGGACCTCGTTGTTCCAGGCAAACGCCTCCTCTTCCGTCTTGAACTTGAGGACGTACAGTATGGGGACAAAGGTTTCGGTGTGGACAATGGCGGCGTCGTGAGCCAGCCCTGTGATGATGGTGGGCTCCACGTAGTTACCGGGGCGGTCCATCACCTTCCCCCCGCAGACCACGGTGCCGCCCTGCTGCTTGGCCTGCTCAATAGCTGCCAGGTACTGATCCACAGCTTGTTTGGTGTGCAGAGGCCCGTAAAGGGTGGTGGGATCCCAGGGGTCTCCGATGCGCACCTGTTTGTAGGCCTTGGCGACCCTCTCGACCACCGCGTCGTGAAGACTCTCGTGCAGCATCAGCCTCCTGGTTGTGGTGCAGCGCTGGCCAGCGGTTCCCACGGATGCGAAGACGGCGGAGGGCACCACGAGACTCAGGTCGGCGTCCTCAAACACAATGATCGCGTTGTTTCCACCGAGCTCCAGCAGCTTACGGCCGAACCGGTCCTGCACCATCATGGCCACCATCTTGCCGACGTGGGTGCTGCCAGTGAAGGACACCAGATCCACCCGCTCGTCCTTCGCCATGGCCGTTCCGATATCCGCGCCTCCGCAGGCCATGGAGCAGATGGCTCCGGGCAGCTTGTTCCGCTCCAGCACCTCGGCCACAATCTTGGAAACGGCAACGCTGGTGAGAGGCGTGGTCGGAGCTCCTTTCCAGAGGCAGACATTGCCACAGGTCAGAGCGATGGCGTTGTTCCAGCCGTACACGGCCACGGGGAAGTTGAAGGCGGTGATGATGCCGACGAGACCGACGGGGTTCCACTGTTCGATCAGGGCATGGCCTGGCCTCTCTGAAGGCAGCATGGGCCCGCCGATCATTCTCGACAGGCCGACGGCATAATCGCAGACATCAACGTATTCCTGAACCTCTCCCACTCCCTCAACATAGATTTTGCCCATTTCTAGAGACACCAGGCTCCCGAGGACGTTGATCTTCTTTCTCAGTGCATCTCCGATCTGCCTCACGATCTCTCCTCTTTTGGGCGCTGGAATATCTGCCCACATCTTCCAAGCCTCCCTTGTCTTCTGGACAGTTTCTTCATATTCCGCCATGGTTGCCTGGGTTACTCTGGCAATCGGCTCATTGTTGGCGGGGCAGTATGACGTGATGACCTCCCCGCTGCCTCCCCAGCTCCCATTGTAAACGCCGGGGTTGTCCTCAGACAGGCCCAGCTCCTTCAGCCAGGAGTACTTGGGCTGGTTGATGAGGAGATTTGACATGGCTGCTGACTGCTGGCAGTGGACAGATGCAAGTTTATGCCTCAAGAGAAGCCTGCTGTGCCGGGCAAAGGTCAGAGTTAGGCAGCGCTGCATGAGTGCTGAAAGTAAATCAAGTTAAATAATTATTTTACAAGTTTAAAAGGGTTTGAAGAATGTTCATAAAATGATAGTGGACTAAAAATAAGTTTTGCAGTTGCTAGAACGTCGAAAAATATCAGTAACCCCAACCTCAAAAAGATTCTAAAACAATCATTTTCTGTTAAAAACAATAAAAGTCAAATATCATTTGGTATTTTCTTTAAAAAATGAAAAAATTATGGACGAAAAAATGAATTCCTTTATTGATCCCACATGGAGGAATCACTTTCAATTCGCTATTAATAAATAAGAAGTTCCTGAATAAACTGGGCTATACTGTGGGCTTCACTGAATGTGTGCTACGAGCAGCGAGGGCAGTCAACAGGTGTTGACCCGAGACTGCGAACACAAAAATAGTCCCTTTCTAGAAACTCCCTTTCTATGAATTAAAGTATTTACAGAGAATACAGATAGTTTAACAACAATTCCTACGCTGATTAATTAATAAGTTGATTGATACACGATTAATCTGCAAACATGTTGTTAGTCGGCATTTGGGTTTCATATTTTGTTGAACCAAAATGTCACTGCTTCCAGCTCCTACAGGTGTGAATATAGTATTACGTTAAATTACGTGAATAGCTTTTCTCAGACTTTACCGATATGTCCAGTAAGTTAACTTACTTAATTATATCCAAAATGCGCGTGCGCAAACAGCCCAACGTCGGAAAACCACGAGGCTGTCGAACGTTTTTTTTATGATATCAACATGATACCGTTGTCACCAACAATGCAACTGAAGGTAAACCACAGCAATAATTTCAGGTTCGAGCTTGTGAGAGTTACATATCGGTAGGTCAGGTTGCTGCTTCGGCAGCATGCAGCGACATGGTCGCCGAGATCAGCGTCAATGTTGTTCAGCCTCAACGACCGCGACTCAAGGTCCCGCAGGTACCGCTCTCTGATATCGACGTGCATTTTTAAAACATACGACTACAATGTGTATATCTCGCTTTTTTTAACGATCAAACGTAAATATATGTTTCACTCACGTTGATATAAAGCGCGCAGGGCCACGTCCACTCCTGAGCATGGAAGTACTTGGAGTCACGACAGTTGCTTAAAGTTTCCGGCACAGGCGGAAGTACTCAGTCTGTGCTGCATTCTGATTGGACAGCCGCCTCGACGCAGTGTGGCGCCTGCTTTGTGAGATCGATCCATGCTAACAAATTCCCTTTGTTGTGATTAACCGTTTTGCGGTTGCGGTTCTGCTGTAATCATTTTTTTTATCAAGGGAATTGTCGTTGAGATCGTCTAGAGGATGAGCGGCGGAGTGTATGGAGGAGGTGAGTGGGATCTCGTGGAATAAAACAGTTGTGCACGTTGTTCCGGACCGTAGCTTTAGCATGCTTTATACTTAGCTAGCTATGCTATCTGTGCTAACGTAACGTTAACGCTCTCGGGAAAAAGCTGTGCTGTGCTACATCTTCATCCGCACACGTTTAAAGATTTTGTAGACTTTCTGTGCGTCATTTGACTGAGTTTAGTTTGTTTATGCAGCAACTATGCAACCTCGGTACCGCCTAGTTAGCAAGGAAATGAATGAAAGTGGGTCTGACGAACAGCAGCGTTACACCCCCAGTTCCTTTTGAGTAACGTTATTAGAGAATGCACGCATTTGGAGAGAACTGTACCCACTGTTTTTGTGTATAAAGGGAGCACGTTGTGATTACTCCGCATGTTGTGTCTTTGCTCAGGTTCACATAACTAAGAATGAACTTCACAGATATAACTTTGTGAAACTGAAGATCTGCTGCTCCGCGGGCTTTATTATACCATTCATCAGAATGTGCTAGTTATGAGTGGCTTTATTACAATGTCATTTCAACAACTTGAAATACGTGCCGCTTTTGTGATTTACATCTTCACACCACATAGTTTTAGGAATTTTGGTGCCATGCACCAAAATAATATCAATATAAATATCACAAAAATGGTCATCAATTAATAACAATACAGGACAAACTTAATACCAGACAAGCTTTCTGAGGCTGGAATCGGCCAACAACTTTACAGTCTGACGTTTTTGATATATCGTTTAATCAGCAATCAGAAACTTTTATTGTATGTTAGGAAGGAACTTTACATGGCGGGTGGTGGATAGCATCGGACAAATAGTAGTATATAGATATCTGATGTTTTGTCTTTTTCCCCTCTTAGTGCTGGTGTATGTTTGTATGATAATTAAATTGTTTCCTTGTATTCTAAATTTTTTTTTGTCTTTTTACATAATTGAGAGGATGAAATAAACTATATTAAATGCCATTTCAACTCTGAATCATAGAATCTTCCACAAATCAGGACAGCGTTTGTTGAGGAACTTTAATGTGCTAAACTTGCTTTCGGGTGGAGGAAATTTAGTCATTTTTTTTAATCCAATTCTAATTTTCACAGATGAGGTGGGAGCTCTGGTGTTCGACATTGGCTCATACACTGTAAGAGCTGGCTATGCAGGAGAAGACTGTCCCAAGGTAACAAATGACCTGATTAACTATGTGTCTTTTTGTCCTCCTGTGCATCTTCATCTTCCCGCCGGGTGTTCGACAATGTCAAGAAATGAGGGCTATCGGCCCGCAGAGAGACCGCGTGAATTTAGTTCAGATCATTCTGGAGTGCTTACTTGGTTATGATTCGTCTGATTTTTAGGTAGAGATCTTGATTGTATCAGTATGCGTTTGATATGGAATTTGTCAGAGATGCACGCTGTAATATCTATAATGCTGTAAATACCACATTATGTGCTAGACGGCACATCGTCATGGCCTACTGAGTCACCTGAATAAAACAGAGCCTTTTAATGTTATCAGAAACAGCGAATGCTTCGCCCGCTATGACGAGTCACGTATGACTGTCAGTACATGCCAGGTACTGTAACCATTTGCAATTAAAAATGACAGTACTCTTTGTTTTTGCATTCCCTCACTTTCCTTTTCTCAAAAAAATAGGACATGTTTGTTCTGATGATTCACAGGATTCTGCAAAACCAGGGCTTGTGAGAATGTGTCCTTACCTGTGTGGCGTCATGATTGTGTTTCTTTGTTTGGGCCCAGGCGGACTTCCCCACGGTGATCGGTGTGACCATCGACCGGGAGGATGGCAGCACGCCAATGGAGACGGACGGGGACAAGACCAAGCAGAGTGGCACCACCTACTACATTGATACCAACCAGCTACGGGTACCAAGGGAGAGCATGGAGGTCATGTCTCCGCTCAAGAATGGCATGAGTGAGTGTTGAAACATGCCGTGTGTTTGTTTTTGTCGTTTCTTCAATCCATTAAAAAAAGAACATTTTAGATAGACGTTATTCTATTAGTTTATGCCTGGTTGTTTTTCAGAATACGGTTTGGTGTTTGTGCAAAGCTGGAATTTTAGCATATTCACAATCCACATCAACGTAAATGGGTTGTGTTTAACCCCATGAGCCTTTCTTTTGTCATAGCCTGTGACGTAAACTCCAACGCTGAATATTTCTAATCCTCTCTGCGTGAACATATCTATATTTAGACTCTTGTTACTCTGACAGCTGGCTTTGTAGATGCACTCGTCACAGCCCTGACTGGCGTATGGCTAACTGCTGTTCACCATGAATATTAATGAGATTATTTGAAGACGAAGGCGACGCATTATCACAAACTCTGCCCTCTCGTTGGAGGCAAACCCGTCTCTGCCTCGGCTTCACCACCACGTCTGCTAGACAGTGATCATTTTTCCCCACCCATGTCTTGCATGTTTTGGTAATTCGAGGCCAGATGTGCATCTCATGTCCGAGCTGTTTTTTAAATGAAACTTTATTTAAAAAGAAAAAAAAAATATTTTTTAAATGAGATGTATATATATATATATATTCCATACATGTGTTCAATACCTTAACTTTATTGTGTTTCTCAATTTGACAACGATCGTCCAAAATTAGTGCTGCTACGGCTGATTTCTATTATTTACTATGAAATCCTATTCTATGATTTGTCAATGATTTGTTTAGTCTACATATATAATAATGAAAACTAAGGGCAATTCTCAATACAATTTTGCATCAACCCACTCTAAAGATTCGAAGTAACTTTATACAAACAACTTATCTGCAAAAGCCAAAACAATGACCAATTCTCAAAAATACTTTAATATCCTCTCATTAGCCAAGCTGTGATCCTCTAAGCCATTGTGTTTGATTTCTGACAGCGGATGTGAAACAGGCTCTAGTGCGCTGACCTAGCTGATGATGCTCATCATAATCTGGTCCAGTGGAGTTTGGCTCGGAGGCTATTTAGAGACAACTGTGACACCATTCTTAATTGCGGCAGAACAGCGTCGTGGGACCTCAGGCTCCCTCAGAGGGCTGACCTGGAACATTGGTGCCTGATGCTCAATTTCTATCTAAAAAAAGCCCACGCCGTTGCTCCATTTTCTTCCCACCTGACCGCAATGACGACGACTAGGATGATGAAAATAGATACAAAATGGTCTTTTTGTAGGAAAAACATATCTTGAATATACTTAGTTGCAATATAATTCCATGTCCTGTCTTGTGTAATAGCTGACAAATTGTAAATCCGCAATGGTGTGACCGTGCTTTGCTATTTAACAAACCCTGTTCGTCTTTTGCCTCCCTTCTCTTTTAAAGTTGAGGACTGGGACAGTTTCCAAGCCATTTTGGATCACACTTACAAGATGCACTTCAAGTCGGAACCCAGCATGCATCCAGTGCTCATGTCAGAAGCGTCGGTGAGTTTGCATTTGTGCGAGCTAGAGTCTTAGCAACACTGGCCGGTAACTAACTGATCCGTGTTTTGATTTATCCACACATTATGAGGTGAGAGTTTGTTCCCCTGTCCCGGCGTAACAAGTTTGGGTTGCGCTGACGGTAATCTGTCCTGAGTCTTCTGTTTTGTGTCCGCAGTGGAACACGCGAGCGAAACGAGAGAAACTGACCGAGCTGATGTTTGAACATTACAACATTCCTGCCTTCTTCCTCTGCAAATCTGCTGTGCTGTCTGCGTATCCTTTACTGCTTCGCCCATCCAGAAAAGCCAACATTAAAAAAAAAAATTCCATTAAATGTCAGATAATGCTGACAATAATGTTGAAGTGGTACTGTATGTGTTACCAGCTGAGCCGGGTTACATTTCCTTTACTCTGGAGTGTCTAAGCTTTGCTAATGGACGTTCTACAGGCCTGGTCCTGGACAGCGGAGCTACACACACCACAGCGATTCCAGTGCATGATGGCTACGTCCTGCAGCAAGGTATCATCATAAATCCTTCACCAGGCGGTTGATGATCTACCAGCGTAGTTTACTTTGTCTACATATTAACTCCTCACCCAAGAGGAGCAATGGAAATGTATAATGCTTGTGTTATTCGTCTTTGGTTAATGTTGCCCTCTGCTGGTTTGGAGCTTGAATCTCACAACAAGATGCTCTCCGTTACAAAGCAAACCACAAAGTCTGAGCTGCAGGGAAAGTAAAGCCAAGAGAATTCATTAAGGCAACAAGAGATTTATCAAGTCGAGGAAGTTTAAAACCATGTGTGTGGAGTTGCTTATGCAAACACTGTGTTCCGCTGAGTCATGTTTTCTCTCCGACAGGCATCGTCAAATCGCCCCTGGCCGGAGACTTCATGAGCATGCAGTGTAGGGAGCTTTTTCAAGATTTAAGTGTTGAAATAATACCCCCGTACATGATTGCATCAAAGGTGAGATAACACTATTGTAGAGGATCTCACTTCAGTGTTTCACAGGGGGAGCAGCGTATTTGGGAGAGAACTCAGAAAATATATAGTTTTGTACAGATTTTGATACAATTCAATTATTGTTACAATAAAAGCATCCATACATGGGTGTTATTCATATTTTTCCTCCTGTTATCATGAATTGATTGAAGATGTTGCCAGTAAATTTGATGTTTTAGGTAGTGTAATCATGATATTATGTTCTTTATGCTCTGTTCTGATGGATGGTCTGGAGGGTAAACATTGTGTACCTTGATTTAATAAAGTAAGCTAGCTCTAATCTGCAACACGCAGGTTCACGTTTTTAAATCAGATGGAAATGTTCAAATTGGACCATTACATTTATGGGCTTACCCAGTTTTTTTTTGCCCTTATTGTCATCTTCACTCATACCAGCATGTGAACCACGGTGTATTTCATTACAGGATGGAGTGCGAGAGGCTTCACCGGCCAGCTGGAAGAAAAAAGAGAAACTACCTCAAGTCACCCGCTCATGGCACAACTACATGTGCAACGTAAGCAGCAACGTCTGACTCCTTTTGTTGTCAACTCGCAGTTCTGAAGGATCTGTCGTTTTGCTCGGTATGTACCGTATCTGGTTTTGTTTGGGCCAACTTGTGCTTCTTAATATTTGCAGTGTGTGATCCAGGACTTCCAGGCATCTGTGCTGCAGGTGTCAGACTCGCCGTATGATGAACAGTAAGACCATTATTTTTAAACTGCAATGAATCCAGCATTAACGTAGACATCATTCTTTAATTTGGACAACGTTACTGAGCGTCACAGTATTGCTGTAACCGATGACGACATTGAAAAAACGATGAATTCTTATTGGAAAACGTACTCACAGAGGATCCCTTCACTGTTTCGTCAGGGTTGCTGCACAGATGCCCACTGTGCACTACGAGCTGCCCAACGGTTACAACTGTGACTTTGGGGCCGAGAGGCTAAAGATCCCAGAGGGGCTGTTTGACCCTTCTAATGCCAAGGTTTGTGTTATTAGTGTGTAGCTAACAGCGCAGAATATAATTCGCCCCAGAAAGCTCTACAATGAAAAGTTGTTTAAAGCATCCAGATGTGTTACGGAATAGCTTAATGGTCTGTTGATGTATGTTTGTTTGTTGCCGCCACTTCAGGGCCTGTCTGGAAACACCATGTTGGGAGTCGGCCATGTGGTGACGACCAGCGTGGGAATGTGTGACATCGACATCCGGCCGGTGATTATCAACATGCTTTAAACACGGGTTTCCCATATGTTCATTCGTTTGTTCTGTCCGAGACATTTGGCCTGTGGTACTTGCATGCAAAAAGTACAATGCAAGACAAATATCCTACAGGAGCTCAATGTAAACTCGTCTGGGCGATGAATTCATTCCTCGCTGGCTTTAGAAAAAGAAACCCTGGTTTGCTGAACCGGTTGACTTTGTTCCTCAGGGTCTTTATGGCAGTGTGGTGGTGACTGGAGGAAACACCCTGATCCAGGGCTTTACAGACAGACTGAACAGAGAACTCTCCCAGAAAACCCCACCGGTGAGCACGAACATATTATTAGTCAATGAAAGGCCAAATAGAAAAAACAAATAGCGACCAGAATATTGATGTGCTGCCACAATGTATGTCGTCTGATCATTCAAATATATATCCATCCCATAATACTGTGAGAGTGTAACATGTTGGTTTGTGATTTGCAGAGCATGAGGCTGAAGCTGATCGCCAACAACACTACGGTGGAGCGCCGGTTCAGCGCCTGGATAGGAGGCTCCATCCTGGCATCGCTTGTAAGGACGCACAGCAGTTCTAGCAGTGTGTCAACAACAGTTTAAGCTTTATGACCTAAAGAAAACTGTCCCTCACACTGATGGGATTTAAAGAGGGAGACACTGCTTCACACTTTTTTTTAAAGGGGTGGTTACATGGATGGACCAGCATTTTTTTTAAAAGTGAAAAACTTTAGTTAAGACAACTAAAACTTGATAAATGTGCAATAAAGTTGTGTTTAATACTTTGTATCCTGGTTACCTGTAATTAGATGTAAGCAGTGGCAAAATGTACGTGAAATGCAATTATTATCAATGAACAATTTCTCTAGTCAACTTTCTTTGGTTATATTTGTTTATTCCAGCCTGTCCTACTTTCATCCAGATTTATTGAAACTTTGTCAACACGTTGTCTGTGTCTTCCAGGGAACCTTCCAGCAGATGTGGATCTCCAAACAGGAGTATGAGGAGGGAGGAAAGCAGTGTGTAGACAGGAAGTGCCCTTGATTCGACACCCAACCCCACCTTCTCCAACAAGCTCAATGTCATGAGTTCACCTCTGACCCCAGACTCAGGATCAACCACCAAGATTCACTCTTGTTTTGTATGATTTGTTTAAAAAAAAAAAGAAAAAAGTTTGTCAATGTGCTGGCTGTCTGGGATTTATTTGGAAAATAAGACTAATATCTACAGAGTAAACCATCCCTGATACAAGATGGTTGAGTTACATAGTTTGTCATTACGGTCAAGTCTATTGCCTTTTATTTCTAAAAAAACATTTTGGAACTTGAAAGCTGTTGTCCAGGTGTCTTCTCCCACTTCATTGTCTGACATCTAGCTGTTCGAAGGATCATTGCATATATGTGTGGAGATATCCAATTTTCTCTGGTTTGTACCATATAGGGGCTGTAGAATTTGAGTGATCTTACTTTGGGGCAAATAATTCCTTTTGTCTAGTAAGTAAACTCAAAGGCAAAAGCCAGTTTTTGTCTCTTCTCATTTGTGTCAATGCAAATAAATCTGTATTTAATTTTCATTTTGTAGAAAAAGTGATGAGGAAACAAGTGTTTTACTTTTACGTGGTAATTTAAAACTATTGGGTATAGTGGTGTGGCTTTTAAAACGAACCTTTGTTTTATAATAAACGGCCAGTTTATTATACTTTATTATATAAACTTTTGATAATTAGAATTTACTATTTAGTTGTATCAACATTCTTAAGCAACATAATTTTCCGAGCATATGTTTGCTATTTGGCTAAAAGAAAATACCAGCATAACATATCAGGGTAATGTAGTATAGTTTATTGTATGATCAAATAACAGCTTGACAGCATCAACAAAACACCTTCAATGATTTGACATACAGATTGATTCAAATTAACTCCGTAGATGCAGAGAAGAACTTGTGTCAGGCTCACAGCTGTGAAATAAACCTTCGTTGTAAAATATGTACATTAAATTTAAGATGCAGAAATATTAGCGTGGGGAAACTTCTCCTTGAGTTTGGACTGAGTTCTCCGCTCTAAGCTGGTTTTCCTGGCCCTCTGTCGAAGATACTTCTCCAAGCGCAGCCTGCAGAAAAATAAAAATCAGTATTTATTTACTAAGAACAGGAGTTATGCACAACATAAGCGAGGGTTGAACTCTCACACGCGCCTTTTAGTCTGTACACAAACAAGATGTCAGGTATGCCGTATCTTACCTTATGTGAGGCTGGACAAACTTGGGTGTAAAGAAGGACTTTCGCTTGTACCTTCTGTTCATGTACCAAGGAATAGCATATTCTTTGAATCGATACCTGAAGGAAAGAAAAGTGTCATGACACTCGCAACATTTCATTTTCTTAAATACGGCCCTTTACATCTACTCTAGTCAGTTAACTCTCTAGTCAGTTAACAGACCACCTGCAGCAATCACAACCAGCTCGTAGTGGTAATATTAAGTGTGCATTCTTGGACTGGCAAAGACTTGGATTTTAGCTACTGTGCAACGTAACAAGAACTATATAGGGAACCTTTAAAATGCGTACTGCATTCCTCCAAGTGTACATGTGAGTTGGTGCATGTGTGATGTACCACAAACAGAGTGCATGGCCTTACCAGTACACATGTCCAAATTTGTCCCTCCTCCAGGCTCCTGGTCTGGCTTTCTCCTGTCCGGTCTGCAGCATTCGCAGTGCGCTCTCTCTCTCATTCACCACCGTCTCCAATCTGATCATTGAGCGCTCGACCTGGGAGGAAGAAGACAGCGGGATTTAACTTAGCAAGTGTGCCTTAATTAGAAACCCGTCCTCCCACCTATCGCTTTCAAAAGGCCAAGCCAAAACGTATCGGTCAAAGATAATTCCCATTTCAGCGTTCACGGAAGAGGCGTCACGAGAGCGTCGTACCAACCTTCCTTATTCTTTCTGGACTCGACATCGGAACCCTTTGCCTCTTTGCTTCCTGTTCAAGTGTGAGCAGCAAGTTCTTTTCTTTTAACAGCACGTACCTGGAGATACAACAGTGCAAAACACAGCTGAGAAATGCTACAACACTCGCCAAGTACCAGTGTGATCTGCACAGTGCTTACCAGAGTTTGTGTAAATCTTCATTGCTCTTTGTTCTCAGTTGCTTGGCAGTCCACGGTGCACCTGTAAAGTGTTCAAACAATGTTCTGTTATTGAAGCTACAAGCAGACCGTGCAGCCGTGCAGGTGAGAGAGGACACAGACATAAGTGTTTTACCTGACTTCACGGTGGTCTCTCCCCAGTTCTCGGGTAGGTCAAAGAACTCGTCGAGCCCTCTCCTGCTGATGGTTGTGTGCAGGGCTCGACACGGAGCCACAGAGCTGCTGGGACTGCGCCATGACAGGGCAGCAAGAGGAGACTTCTCCCTGCTGGGCGACACATAAATCCACATAAGACTTAAAAGGAAGAACCAACATTATTTTACAATCGGTACTTGTTGAGCTGAAATTGACTCTAAACATCAGTGTACTATCAAAAGATCAACCGAAAAAATGATTGGAGGTAGCACCGAACGTAAAAGACTTAATATATTGGAACTGTTATTTATTGTTTTCATTTCAGAGCCCGTCATTGAGAAGCAGAGCCGCTGTAAGCTGTGAACACGCTGACTTTTAAGACACCTGGATGTCATGTTTTACTCACTGCAGCAGCGACTTAACGTTACCTGTACTGACGAGGCGGGAGTTTGGTAAGAGCAGGAGAACAGCTCTGGGTATTTACAGCTGAGGATATCCTAACGACATTTTGAAACTGTTTGCAAAGACTCAAGACTCGTCCGGCTGATGAGGACGTCGCCATCTTTAACGTTGTCCTTCCAACATTACCCAGAATGCATTTCTCATCACCTATTCTTTTTTTTTTTTAACATGTTTTTTTGCTTTTCGGCTATTAACATATATCTGTGTAATGTCTTATATATACTATATCTACACAATAATCCAATTGAATTAAAATACAGAAAACGTAACGTTATCTGCCCTCTTTAAAGTTGCCGGTTTCCCCTTCACTGTCATCAACGAATCAGAGCCCGTGTTATTGAACTGCCACCCTTTGTAAAGATGGTGGGCATGAGCCTTCTCAGGTCTGCCGCTGCTTTGGCAGCCAGACTGAGTCCCCTGAAATCTGGAAATAACGTGGCAAATTTACTCACGCGAACCATCCCGAGGACAGATAAAGGTAAGAGACACCGCGGATGTGTACAGAGTCCCGAGTGCACCCTGAAGGCGGCCGTCTCTTCTTGTGACCTTGTGCCGAGGCTCGTTAGCTTGCTAATGTTAGCTAGTTGTACTAATACACAACGTTGGCGGGGTCGCAACGTTACTTTAGGAATTATAGGTAGCTGCTCACTCTTATTTGTCAGCAGATACAATTTTACGTATCTGCTTCTCATTAGAGAACTGCAACGGTTCTTAGGACAGCGTTAACGTATCGTCAATATACAAAACATATACATTCGTTGCCTCAGTACTTGTACCCTGTGCAATGACAATAAAGTTGAATCTAATCTAATCATAACAATCATAGTTTCTGTATTCATCTACATCTACTGTTAACTTCATGAATGTTTTTTTATTCTATAGTAGACAGCTATAATAAATTTATTTACACTATAACAATATACAACTTAGGGGGGATACACATTTTACGTTTAAAAAACGTATTAATGTTAAATATAATTTTATTATTGTATAAATAATAAAATTAAAATAAATAAATTATTGTATAGTATTATGTTATTATTGTGGATATAGTTAGCAGTTATCTTCGCTACTACAACCTAATAAGTTCATAACATTATCACAAGAACCAAAATGTGAGTTAGTAGTCAGGTCATGCTATAAGACCAGACAGTCAATAAAGCGTAGATCTTTTTCATTATTAAATACATGCTCACAACACTGTCCCCTGCGTGTCTTGCAGTGGCCGTTCGTTGGGGTCATGGAAAGAAAATGTTTATCGTCCAACCCACTGCGTTCTATGACCAGAGGTTTCTGCGCTTATTGGTGAGTACGGAAACACTGCACCCTTCATGTCCTGCGATCATCACGGATTAATCGTTTGCGTTGGCCTGTTCTGTGGCTGCAGGAGATAATTCTATGAATGCCAGTAGGAGTCTGTTGATAACATTCTGACTCTTTAACCGTTTTGACAATAATACTTAAAGCCACTAATCTTGCATTTTATCCCCAACACTATTTAAAGTTTTATTCCTAAATGTATTTGCATCACAGTTAATCTCATGTCCTATTTCTATTTTATAAATAACGACTACCCTCATCCAAAATGGAGTGTATTTAAGCATTCAAATAAGTTTCTACTCTGGTTTCTTAATTAAATGGAGTCAGTAGGCAGCCATGCAAGCATCAAATCCAAAGTGGACAAAATTGAAGACGTATAATGGAATAATAGCCATGCATAATTCACTTTTATGTTGGCTCTGTAAAACTTCCAGTCTTGAGCAACCCTCATGCAGAATAACACTTTTCAGTGTTGCATTTTTTTCCCTTTTCTTCCAGCGATATTACGCCCTGCTTACCGGCATTCCTGTGGCTATCATTGTCACGACTGTCAACATCTTTATCGGTAAGTGAAGATGTCGTTATTTAGATCAGTGGATAGTATTTGGTCATTTTAATAATATGTTATTTGAGTCAAAGGAACTTGTGTAATTCTCTGAATTCACTTTTCTGTGATTGGATTGTGAAGGCGAAGCAGAGCTAGTTGAAACTCCTGAGGACTACGAACCTGAGTACTGGGAGTACTACAAGGTACATGGGTTGCATATTATCTTATTAGTCCTCTCAGGAGATTTTTATTATCACTCATCTGAACCCTGGTTTCTAACAATATTGTCTCAAGCATTATTTAAGTTTTGGAATTGGCATCGGTATGTTTATACAATTTCAGCCTTTTTTTAGCAGTTGTGTTTGACCATACATTTTATAAGTGCGGAATAATATTTTAGAGAAATGTAAAAGGCTAAAATCAAAGTCACAATTGTTATTCACCTACTTTATTACTTTCATTGAAAAAATAAATCAGTGACTATTTATTTAGCTCAAATACATTTTAATAAAGAAATGTCCCTGTCATGACAGCACCCCATCACCAGGTGGATTACACGGACCTTCTATGATTCACCAGTGAAGGACTATGAAAAGATGATGGCTGCAATCCAAATAGAGAAAGAAAAGGCAGACATGAGGTGAGTTTTAGTACTGGTGTGTTATGTCAGAGTTTTTGTCACCTAAATACTGTTCCGTATGAAGGCCAAAACATTGTTGCAATCCACGGGTATAAAAACACAAGACGTAGTAGCCATAGCAGTGCAGTGCGGGATATGCAGCTGGAAGCATGCACGGCCGGCCTGGCTTTGTAAGCAATGCACAGGTGAATGCTGACCCCAACACACTGACTGAAAGCAACCTCATTCAGGTAGACAATGGTACGCTTTAGCGTTACACAGCAAGTAGTTGTTTGCTGCTGTATTACTGTGCTGAATATCAATTAATGTTCGTTGAATCACATGATTCATGATTGGCTGTTAATGAGAAGCGGTGTACAGGCAAAAAAGACGGTCTAATTTTTTCTAAAGAAAGAGGTCATTATTTTTGATTTCATTGATTCACTGCCAATTTGTCGTCAACAGACTGACCCAGCTTGAGGTGCGTCGGCAGATGAGGACAAAGGGAGACGGCCCCTGGTTCCACGTGGAGACCCTCAACAAGGAGCTGATTGATAATAGCCCCAAGTCATCACCTGACCATTAATCCAGACGCCTATGCTGTCAGTACATCGAGCCGATCAATCTCACTGTTTGTACATTTTTTCCTTTCCTGCGTAAATAAAATATCTATATGGACTACAATATTTGACCTGCCAGTGTCTTTTATTTGCTTCATGCTGCAAAAATGTATTTACCTATTGGTAGTATTTAAATCTTTGTGGGTTGGGTTGTATTTTCATGACTGAGGGAGGAAAGCTCTTTCTGTGTGCAGTGTGAATGTCCTCTTTGTGTAACCTGACATAAGGGAGAACTAGCGATGGCCTAAGGCCCCCCCGTAGCTGTGAGTGCAATTCAATTTTTTTTTAATTTTTATTTATGGTATCCCACGTTTGAGAGCCTGCAAAATAATGACCATGCAATTAATATTAATTTTACAAATTCACTCCGGTCCCCTTCATTTATCTGTAGAATTTATTTTTCCTAGATATACATATTTCTATCAAGAAGCCTACGGTAGTTGTCCCACACGCTTGAAAATAGAGTGAACGGAAGGGTTTGTTGTTGGAATCTACAACCTCATCAATAGAAGCAACTAAATCTAATTTACTAATCCTCAAATATTAACACATTATGCTTCAATAAAATCCAAAATTGATGTGTCTAAATATGGATAATGTACTGTATATGAATATCGCATGTCAATTGATTAAATCCAAGTCAGCCTTCACTCAGTGCGGCTTTGCAGCCACAAAGGTGAAACGCCTTTTGCCGGAGCCCACTAGAATAGTATCTTTGTCTTTTTTAAAATTTATTAGGCTCAAGGTTTTGCAAGGTTCAGTCTTTTGACAGGTTTTTGTGCGAAAAAAAGACTACAGTACCAAAAACCGGTTGCAGCAATCACCATGGCAACCAGCGACACATGTGCGACATCATTCTCTGTCCCCCTCCCTCACACAGCTGTTTGCTATTAGCCAGTTAGTGCAGTTTGACACATTCGTTATAATATCATAATCAATCCATTGCATATCTCCTTTCCCACTCTCTCACATACCAATTCTAATGTGATTGAGTGGCGAACACAAGGATTCTGTCTCCACTTACCCCACCCAGTCCCAGCCTTTCAAAATAAAAATACCAAGAATTAAATTAATATTCATTTAAATATCAAAATAAAGCTTGGGAAAATGTAAGCTTTTTTTGTTCGGATACATCGTCTAATTCGTTAGCTTTGACATCGCCACAACGCGACCGGTCGTCGCCCCTCTTGTCATTTTATTTTTATGTTGTTGTTTTTTTGTTGTGCCGCGTCACATCCCCTCGGATGGAGGAATGTGGAGACGGAGGTCTTTAAAAATAGCATCCTCTCGTGTGGCCGCGCTGCCGCGCGGCTCCGCGGCACTGTGGCGCGAGGAGCAGGAATGCAAAGATGGCTGCGGACCTCGGCGAGCTGCTGGTCCCGTACATGCCCACCATCCGAGTGCCCAGGACGGGGGACAGGGTCTACAAGAGCGAGTGCGTCTTCTCCTTCGACTCTCCGGTCAGTGCCTCTCCCCCCGCACACACTCACACACACACACGCACATATAGAGACATGAGCGGGTTGTATGGGGCCGCTGAATGCGGCATGTCTGGCTCAACAACGCACACGTGTGTGTGTGTGTGTGTGTGTGTGTGTGTGTGTGTGTGTGTGGGTCGCCATGGACACCTGCCTCTTGGACTTGAGGGAAAAACGAATATTTGAATGTTGTTTACATCTGAGAGCAGCGGGATGGAGGAGTTTCCCTTTGTGCGGGTGGAGGAAGGCGATGCAGCAGTTCACCAAATACATACTCAGGTGCACTAAGTACAAAATACAAAGGTGACTCGAATTAGTCTTAAAAGCTTTAAAAGGCCTGGTTGCAGGTTCGTTGTTGTTGTTGTTGTTGTTGTTGTTGTTGTTGTTGTATGTGTGTTTCAGTCCCCTTCAGGGTTGTTTTTGTTTATGGTAATTAATAATCTGACTAAAATTGGACTTTAAGTGGCTGAAAATTTGTAATATTGATACTATGTCATTATACTCCAAACCTTAAATGTCCTGTTTAACAATTGATTTGTGATGTGCGGTATAAATTCACTGCTTTGTGTTTGTGAGCGACCAATCCTATCTGTGGTATTGTAAAAACTGTATTTAAAGTAAGTGTATACTCAATAGTTTCTCTGTGAGGGCCTTTTTATATTAGTGCTACAGTTTGCTTTTAAGTTATTCTGTCACTAGAGAGTACATTTAAAATCACAACTTGTTAATTGACGTTGTATTTTGATCTATTTCTTCTGTGATTAAGACACGCGTGACTGTCAAACCACATATGTCTTGTTTTATATTATTTAAAAAAAAATCAAATTTTGAGAATCTGCAACATCCAACATAAAAAACAAGCATAATTTATTGACTGAAACAGTTTTAAAGGTGACTCAGCTGTCTGGAGTTCATCATGTTGGCCCGACGAGGGCTGGTTTATTTTTGTCCTTGCACTGTTGAAGCTCATATGTCACTGTGGGCCACTTAAACGTTTACCAGGGTGGTTCATAAGACACACACAGATTGCAAATTTATGTTACTTTTAAACCGGTATTCATAATGTATTTAGTCTCTAACTGCTCACGTGTGAAAGTTAAAGAGATCTCTGTCAGACAAATCACAACTTCTGAAGGAAGTCCCACTGTATTTATCCTGCACTTAAAAACACCTTAATGTTAACCACAGTTCACATGCGGACAGAGTGATTTATACATTTTGTATCCTGTAAGAAGTTTCAGATACAATAAGTCGACCTAGTAAGATGTTACATGTGTGAGCCTCGGCCTACAGGGACTAACCAGCAGTTTCATTAGGAATACGGTTACTGTGTTTTTAACCTACATACATGTCCCTCAATGCCCCCAAATCACACAGCTGCTAGTTTGCTGATGACGTTTTTTTAGTACGTGGTGGGTGGAAAAGGATGCTCATAATCTTAAGCTCAAATAAGAATAGCAGCAATCCTATTTTTGAAAGATATCGGCTAAAACAATGGCTGTACGATGACTGACGCTCTGGATTTAAATTAAAAGGCATTTTCTTGATTTAAAGTGAGATCTTCTTTCTGCAGATTTTGTTTGTCAAAATGCAAAAAAAGAGTATTTGAAAATGTGCTTGCCAAATTCTTGGCACATCCCTCCCTCACTTGCATTTCCACTGTGCATGTTGTGTTGTTTTGACTCATTTAACCTGAATGTTGAATAGTCAAACTTTATTTGAGATTCAGGGTCCAAATGAGACAAAACAATTAGTTGATTTAAAAATAACCTTCATAACAAACAGAGGTCAGAGGCCCACAGCTGTGACTGGTGGCCTGTAGTAACAAGCCTCATCTTTGATAAAACCCCAAAGACTTCATTGCCACAAAAGTCATTTGCTTTTACTAAAATTATTCAGTAAAAGTCAAGATTTAAAAATATTTGTGTGAGGATTGTATTAAATACACTGCATGAGGTATAAAACTGCCTGTCAGCCACTCTAAAATAAGGCAATTTAAAAAGAGCTCTAAGAGAACACAGTCAAGTAGATTTTCTGCCATTCTGTATTCAACGTGTTTGATGGTTCTTCACCTCGAGGTGTTGAGCTGTTCGTCATTATCGTTTTGTTTTGGCCCGCAGGAGTCGGAGGGAGGCCTTTATGTGTGCATGAACACATTCCTGGGCTTTGGACGGGAACATGTGGAGAGACATTATCGCAAAACAGGACAGAGCGTCTACATGCACCTCAAACGACACGTCAAGGAGGTACGTTTCACACACGCAACCACATATAATAAAAAGTAAGTAACACTAAACTGATTATAAGTAAGTAACAGTTAATACAAATAGACATATAGCGGTAGTATGACACATATCAATCATTAATAGAGGAGAAAGTTCAGAAGAACCCTCAGTAAAGTGGTTACAACTGATAAAACAGTTTTTATTCCTCAAATGTTACATTTAGTTTCAATGATATGGCAGATTTCTTTCAGCTATAGATAGATCTCAATTGTATAAACATACAATTTTTAAAAAAGGATCTATTTTTGTATGAAGAACAAAATGTGTAATCAGTGTGTTAACACTGCTTTATGACACTACTAATGTTTCTAAATGTATCTTCCATCCATAAGTGGTTAAACGTATCATGTTGTACATTAATAAACACTTGAAATAGTTGTTTACAACTATATTAGGGTGTGTTATGAACCATTTATTAAATGCTATTGTACACTGCTTGTAAATACTAAACAGGGTAAATTAAACGATCGTTACCCATTCTTCATTTAACAAAGTATTTTACCATTTTTATCCCACTTGTGGGGTTCGGGGTCATGCAGACATCTGATTCTGGATGGTTAATATGACTAAGTCATGCCATTAAGGAGCACTGGTCGGATGCTGCAGAAGTATGCAGCATTTAAAGGTGCTTTAAATTAAACATTGAGTGAACTGGGCTGCTGATGTCATCGCGCCGTTATTTCAGTTATTAAATGACATGGTGCTCGCTACGTACTATTGGAGCTCATATGCCTGTTAATCAACAACACTTAAATGTTTTATGCTGTGTCTCTTACATGTAACTATTGCAACAATAGGTTACGTAATCTATTTCACAGTTCCACCTTTCCTTATAAAAAGTTGTTGTTGTTCATGCAAATTAATTATCGGCAAAGACGTGTGGAATTCAATTTTCAGTCAGGTCACAAAAGAATACAAAAAATGTTTGCAGGCAAGCACTGAATCAGAAACCAAAGTTTCAAATAATGAATTGAAGACTATTTTCTTGGGGTTAAATGGAAAGTTTAATATATTTCCATATCATTTGTTACCAATTATACATATAGTACGGTCCTAGTAACTTCCATGGAAATAATTTATATTAAATTAATTGGAACAAAAGAATAAAATGAAGCGTCATTACTAATTTTTAAAAAGTACTTCAGACATTTGACAGAATATATTTATATCAGTAGACATGCTGGACAAACATATTGTAACATTTAAGTTTGTCATATTTGTTGTTGGGATTGAGTCAACTTGATACATTTTATAGGTTGTTTCTGTCCATCCCCGTATGTACTAAAAAAATGCCTCCTCAAAGCACTTTTTCCTTTTTTTTTGTGGAAAATGAATGAATGGAAAATGCCACATTCATCCCAAACAAGCCCCCCCCCTTATTCAAAAGCTGATGGTGAACAACAAAAGCTGCTGCCGTGTTTTCTCACCAGCTCTAATTGCCCTCAGATAAGCTCAGCTTTGTAAAGAGCTGCTATTTCCATGCCTAGATCGGGCCTGAAACAGCTGCTCGCATTCTGTAGGCTCCTGTGTCTGCTTCCCCCCCCGCTGCACCCACACCACCACTCCACTCGGCCTCAAGTGTGTCAGCATTCTCCGTCGCTCTGTCCGTCTGCCACCATGTCCTCCTCCTCGTCCCTGCTGCGGGGACGCGAGGCAGCTACCAGAGGAAGAGATAAACCGCAAACATGTCGGTGGCACTGAGATCTTTTTCTGCCAGCCAGTCATTTGGCAGGTTTTCCGTTTAATTTGGATTCACTGACAATGTTGGTGTTTTTTTTTTTTAAATCATTTGATGATCTATCCATGTGTCAGGACGGGAAAAACAAATGTTGTCAGACTGAAAATGTTTATCTATAGATCTGTGAAACATTGTTCCATTCGCCAGAGAGGAAAATGAGGACACACTTTGAGGCCAAAACAGGTGACGCTTGACGTAGCGTAAATGCTATCCGTCTCAAGTCCCCAAATCAAGCCGAGCAACTGAATCAGTTTCATTAATCAGTCTTTCTTTGTGACCTCGCCGCAGGCGGGTTTTTCCCCCCTCGCCCTTGTAACCTGACCTTGCAACTGGAACATCCAGCATCTATTTCAAAACGACCACCATCTGCACCTTCTGCCACAGCAGGGGGTGAAATCCCCACCCAAAGGTGTTTTTTAGAAGATGCTTTTATTGGGACGAGGGCTCTTTGACCCCATTTAACGTCTTCTTCCCTGCTTCCCACAGAAAGCCACAGGAGCAGCAGCAGGCGCCGTCCCCAGACGGAGAAACGGAAAAGTGTTTCTAGGTAAGTTGCAGGCGGCGGCGGCGGAGGAGGAAGTACTGAGACCCTTCACTTAACGCACGCAGTCTGTAGGATTTAGTAGTATTTATCAGCAAGTGGAATAATATATTTTCAACTATGTTTTCATTAATGTATGAATACCTGAAAGTGGAATTGTTGTTTTTGTTTGTTTGGAAGAGGCCCTCGTATCAACAAAGGGGGCGGGGCGTCTTCCGCCAAGACCGCCATGTTGCCCGCGCCGCGTTTCTACAGCGGCCCACAACCATCGACTGTAGATAAAAAGGTCACTTATTGGTTTGCGTTTTTGCAGTTTCATCTTTTTTTTAAACCAGAGAGTGACGTCATAAGATCCGTTCCCTGCTGGCCATACGAAATAATTCAAGTTAAAGGTCGATTCTGCGTAGCTTCTTTATTCATAATCATGTTCACCGTAGGTTGTCTGGAAAGCTCGTGGAGAGATGAGTGAGCAGAGGGGAGTTCAAAAGGAGCCCAAAGATCCCCCACACGGCTTCCTTAAGCAGAAGTGTCAACTGCACTCTTTATCTGTGAAATCTAGTTAATGTATCAAATGTAGTGTACTCAGAAAAATGTCCCCGGTGAGTTATGTATATGTGTATGTTATTATATGTTTTATAGACCTGATTAGATAACACTGCTTCATCGCGGTCATTAGAATGTTGCAGCTGGTCCAGGTGCAGATAGTAACTTTCTCTGCAGGTTTGTTCCTTTTAGTCCTTAAGTTTCCACATAAATAGTTTAACAGTCAACCTTCAAATGAGCTTAGAGGAAATGTGGATTTGGTGGAAGTGCTCATCTGAAATGTGACAGGGGGTTCCAAAGTAGACACAAAGTTTCCTTAACTGAGCAGTGCATTGTTTTTCATGAATCTTATTTTAAAAAGTAAATGGTAATTATAAGTCCCATGAATGTAGCGCAGTAACTGTGATTTCTCTGGTCCAGAACAGCTCCTCCTGCTAACAGAACCCTTCATTACGAGCTGCTGTTGTTGTTTGTTACACTGTGGCGACCCGCCAGCTGCCCGCTCCAGAACGCCTTCACCCAAAGCGTCAGATATTTCCCATGAGACCTCGCCTCCCGCGGTCCAAGTATAGCCCATTTATTTCTTCATGTGGTTGGTGACTGTTCCAAATCAAAACTGGGTGCCCCCCCCCCGACGCCCTCCCCCCCCTCTTCCTCCTCTGTGTGTGTGTGTGTGTGTGTGTGGCTCTCAGCTGCCACCACCTGTCAGCCTCCCTGACACACTTCCACTGCTCGGCGAGGACCAGGTGTCTTTGACCCGCCCTCCCCACTGCTGGCCTGGCAGGGGGAGGAATTCCTTCCATTCACCCTCAATGTAATGGATGTTTTCTGTGTGATCCATATCCCGATGGACTTGCTACCCGGGGGGTTTGCTGTTCAACGAGGTCAACCCGATACCTGACGTCTGACTCAGACTTTCCAGCAAGGTCGCCTCTGTCGCCCATTTTGGGTCTTTGGTGTATCCAACGTCATCCACATACCAGTCCAATGACTTAACCTAGCGTGTAACCACGGACATGACGCCAGTGGGAACAATAGCACAGTCAGGGATCACCTAATGATGCTGTTTTTCATGAGTCATTACACGACTTTAGGCGGGAGTAAACAGAAACAGATTGACTTAAGAGAAAAGACTCACTCTAGATTTCCCCTCCCAACAGGATGATGTCAGGAAGGAATTTATATTGCAAGTGTTTCAGCTGTAACTAAATGTCTTTAAGAGGTCATCATGGAAGAGTGCGATGCTTTTAAAGACCAACAGATTAGAAAACATCAAGCAGATCGATCAATAAGGAAAACAAGTGTGAAAACAAGTGGCAGCCCTATTTGTGACCATTTAGTCTTAATGATCTAATCCATAATGAAATGAGGGCACTATAGCTTCTCAGATTCAAGCTGTCATTAGTACTCCTTAGCAGTAATGTTATAAATTACTGGTCAGAAGCCTGTCTTATAAATGGCTAAATATAACTCTACGGAAATATCGTGTTCCTCTTATGAAGGCATCCTGTCACCTGAGAAAAAGATTGGTGATTCTCTTGTTCGAGCATGGATCTGTTTTTGCTCACTCCCCCCTCAACTATTATGGTATTACATTACATTACATTGTCATTTAGCTGACGCTTTTATCCAAAGCGACTTACAATTAAAACAAAGCGGGCACCCAATAAAATCACAGACTTTTGCTTTTTGAGAGCAGGAAAGAAGAGAACGGGAACTAACAATACAGTAACACACCGTGTACTTCCTCTCCCGTAGATTTAGAGCTAAACCGTGATTTTAACGGAGAGGACTATGAATACGAAGACGAGGCCAAGCTGGTCATTTTTCCAGACCACTTCGAGATCCCCTTACCAAATATTGAGGAGTTACCCGCCCTGGTCAGTGAGTCGGTGCTGCACGAGCTCTTGTGTGTTTCCATGCATGTTCCATGAGGAGGGCGCACTCCGTGGTTCACTGAACACGCCGCTCGGACCCTCCGGTCCTAAAGCGCCGCGAAGCCAGACTCTTTTGTTTATTTGTTAATGTTGAAGTGAGTGTTTTACCGGGTCACACGCTTTAAACGCCGCACTCAACGCCGTATATTCTATTCTGTGGAAGCTCAGAGTTAAATGGTAAATGCTCGCTCACCGCCATGCTTCCTTTTTGGGGGGGTTTTGGTGGCATTTATTTATGTGGCTTGAGCTTCTACTCTGATCAAGGCCTTTTCCATGCATGTCATTGGGTTTAGATTTTCAAATTGTTTTATACGTGTTTCATCATTTTGCCACCTTTCTTGTTTTGCATGGTTTGTTTCTGCACCACACCTGTCTCCTCTGCTGGATTGATCCCGTCACAATGTCTTGCACAGATTTTGCCCGTCCACTATTGTCTTGTCTATAAACCGTCCTTGATTACCTGCATTTAAGGTTAATTCATAGATGTTTAATGTCTCGGCAATGGTAAACAATAAGTGTATATCTGACAGATTCACTGTCAAGAGAGAGACAGAGGTTCTTAGAAAGAATAAGCTCGACGTACAGCATGTTTTCAAATCCACTTCCAGTAGTTCATTCTGTCTCTGCTGTCCCCTGTGACGTCCAGGTGACCATCGCCTGTGATGCAGTGCTCAACGCGCCATCAGCTTACAAGAAGCAGGAGCTTGAATCCTGGGAGGAGGAGATCCAGGTGTCCAGACATGCCAGAAGTCTCAGGCAGCTGGATAATGGGGTCAGGATCCGGCCCAGGTACAAAGGCGCCAAGTCGCGTACAGCAGGATTTAAAAACAACAACAGTAAAAAGAGGGACTGTTTCTCTGCCATCAGCGGCTGGAAGTGTCAGAAGTGCGAGATGAGGGAAAACCTGTGGCTGAACCTGACGGATGGAGCAGTGCTCTGTGGGAAGTGGTTCTTCGATGGCAGCGGAGGCAACGGCCACGCGCTGGACCACTTCAAAGAGACCAAATACCCGCTGGCTGTCAAAATGGAAACCATCACTCCAGACGGAGCAGGTCTGAGACACATGGCTTTATTATCTACACTGCAGAGTTATTAGATTAGGTGGAGTTCTTCAGTCACTCAGTCGGTGTCCTTTTTGTTCTACCGCGTTCTGAAGCGAGCCCATCCTTGTGACTCCGCTGATCTTTTGCTTTTAGACGTCTACTCATTTGAGGAGGAGGAAGCCGTGTTGGACCCTCACATTTCGGAGCACTTGTCACACTTTGGAATCGACATGCTACAGATGCAGAAAAAAGTGGGTTGTCAACGCTGTGAACAAAGATACCCCCAGAAAACAATACGTTAGGCTCCTCAGTGAAGCTTTCACTATCTCTCTCTCTCCCTCCCTGCAGACAGAGAACGGTCACCACACAGACAATAACTCCCGGCCGCGGGTCAGTGAATGGGAGTGATCCAGGAGTCGGGCATGAAGCTCAAAGCGGTGTTCGGTTCTGGTTACACAGGCGTCAAGAACCTGGGCAACAGCTGCTATCTGGGCACGGTGATCCAGGTCCTGTTCAGCATCCCGGACTTCCAGAGGATGTGAGTACACGGCGATGAGTCATTCATTCTGTGCGGTATGTTATCAGCTATGTCATTTGGTTTGTCGACTTCCGTATATTGAGGCTTTATTGTTTTATTTATAGAGTTATTCAGTGATACTACGTCTTTATGTGTTTGGAATCGTCTCGTGTGTGTGTGCGCGCTCCGTCCCAGGTGAGCGTGTGACATGTGGTTTGATCTTCAGGTACGTGGGTAACCTTCAGAGGATATTTGACTATTCTCCCCTTGATCCCAGCCAGGACTTCGCCACACAAATGTAAGTGACTCCAATGTTTCATGATGCAGTGTTACATAATGAAGCTAATCCTTCATTACTCCCACAGCGGGAAAATTTGCAGGATTACAGCAGCAAAGTAGATTGTGCAACATTCAAATGTCTATGTGTTGTTAAAATGCTTGAAATGACTACATCATGACTCTGCAGTTTAATCAAAGGGACACGTCTACAAATCTCCATATAGCTAAAAAATAATAGGCATTTTGTTTTTTGAAAGGCTTCTTCCCGACTTGTTCTGGTAAACACGTGTCACGTGAGCCAATGTGTTGCAAGAGGTCAGTCAGGTGCTGTGGTCACGATGGGGGCAAGTGGAGTCTTAGCAAAGCAGGGGATTCATATCAAGTGAAGCAGCAAATGTGGCATATTCTGAGGCACAGTGCCAGACACGGACATTACTCCACCTGCCTGTAGGGGTCTGGAAGTGAGTTGCAGTGTCAGTGATTGTCCGGCGACCCTCTAAGGGTCTTTTATAGCGGTATAAAAAATTGAATGGAAAAACAGATGGCTTGCATACTTCTTACGTGGGAAACAACACAGAGCTTACATTAGTCTTAAGATAAGGCACAGTTACTGCAGTGATGCAACTGATTGTGCTGAAAAGAGGCAGAGTGACTCCCACGGTACCTAAATTGTAACTGCTTTATAGATTCATGAGATAAAATATACTGTTTGCAAAATACATTTTAGATACTTGTCAAAAAAAGAGAGTAGAAAAAGGATATATTCCTGAAAGGTTTGTTACTGAGTATAAATTAATGTCAGCTTTGTAAGACTGAACAGTTTGTAAGATTCATGGTGGAAAAGGCCTCCGGTGCAACAAATCACCTCTGGACAAATCCTCCTTCATTTCAATCAATATAAATACACTTTGCTTCATGTTGTTTTAGTTTGCATACTTTGCATTCGGTGCATTGTCTTCATTATTTAATTTTCTAAAATAAAAAGTTATGCTCTTATTATATTGTATAAAGATTAAGCAACTTTTAGTTTTTTGTGATTACTCCTTAACTTAACATGCTGCTGCTACAAACAGTTTCCCCCCATTGGATGAATGAAAGAAAAAATCTCTCCATATGTTGAACTGTTTATGCCTCTTTGTTTTTGTCCGGCAGGGCTAAACTGGGACACGGACTGCTCTCAGGCCTGTACTCCAAACCACCCATGAAATCTGAGCTCATTGAACAGGTGATGAAAGAAGGACACAAGGTATCAAACTGGGTACGTCCAGCACTCCAACCGGGTCCGTAAGGGACAAAGCAGGTTTTCATGGAGTCCAAAACCACTTTGGCGTTTTCCAAGTTTAAACATGAATATTGCATGTTATTAATACACCTGACAGCTACGGAGATTGGAAATAAAGTCATTGATTTTAAATATATTCTTAAGTTTTTTTGTGACCCTTTTGTCTAAAAACAGCTCTTGTCGAATATGCAACTCAAAATATTTGTGAATGCAGTGTTTTGTGGGTAATTCCCCAGATCACTCAATATTGCCACAAATATGCGCTGGCTTAATGTTGGTCCTGTGCTTCATGTAATCTGTTGAGTCCTTGGGTCTATTGATTTGTTTTGGTAGTAATGCTTCACAGATTAAATGAACATGATATTAAATACTAATCATTAAAGCATAATGGGTCGAAGCACTTGGTCTGTAAGCCGCAGGCTTCTTTTAAGCTTCCAAGCCGTAGTAATTGATAGCTGTGATCCTGCACCTCCTACACATGTGATGACGGGGGTCATGTTTGGACATATATTGACAGCTGTGAAGGGGCTTCCGTTGGCATGCTGTGGTCAGTCTGTTTTTAAGGAAGCATTATCCATCGCAATTATTTATTCTCATTAAATTGATTTTTTAAGTCCACCCCTCTCACCCTGTGTGGTGTGGCTGGAAGTTGACCCACATAGGGTGATGTAGGTTTGTGTCCACATTGGCTTTATGTGTTATTGATTGATAATAAACATTATGCGGCTTGACTAGTATGAGATTAGCCACTGAAGAGAAAATGTTTACCCTTGTTTTTTCTGCACTACATGCATGCATGTATGGGTCTGCCAATTCATTAACTAATCAATTAGTTACCTTAATTGACACAGTGTGTGTGTGTGTGTGTCTGTATGTGACGCCCAAATGTTGTCATTCCAGCACCAGCAGAAAGGCGTCTCTCCTCGTATGTTGAAGGCATTGGTCAGCAGGGGACACCCAGAGTTTTCCTCCAACAGACAGCAAGATGCCCACGAGTTCCTCCAGCACATGGTCAACCTGGTGGAGGTGAGCGGAGCTTCTGTGCACGTCAGACATATAAGAAATGTGCACCGATTAGTGTGGAGAGGTCACGTCATGTATGTCAACAAAGCACGTGTTGAGTTGTTAGAAGCTGTGGAGTTTAAAAAAAGACCTAGCACATGAATATAAAGTTGCTGTATGCAGATGCAGTCCAGATGTTTTGTCTGCTGGTCTGCAGTTGATTCATTAAAATAATTGTTCACTGCAGTATTTGGATGGTAGACGTCATTTCATGGTCTTTATACATTTATTTTTGAGCACACAGCACAAACCCGACAAAAAGGGAAGCCTTTTCTCCTCATGAAATGTTACATTTTCTTTTACAAAATGTCTGGGCTACATCTGACCCCTGGCACACGTGGGCAGGCAGCTGATCCGGAGGGGAGGGGCAGTTTTTGACTAAACACGGCTCACTCTCTTTGGTTGGTACGTACACACGAGGTGCCGTGACGCGTCTCTCTCAACCTGGATATAAATAGCTCTGTTCCGCGGGGAGTCAGATAATGCTTCCTATTTTACCTCGGCCGCGATGCGCGCCCTGACTGGGACCCGACACTTCCCCAACAACACGCCGCCGAGAGTCGCCAAGCCCTCATTTCTAGTGCGTCCTATAATCTGTCAAAATCTCACAGCTGATATTCAGAAAAGGGCCGTTACTTTCTTACCCTCCTTTAGTGCACATGCTTTTCTCTACAGCTGCCTGCAAACATATTTAGTTCTCCACACAGCAGCATGTTCTTCCCTCTGTGTCAGTCTGCATACTCGACCTGAGTCAAATTATAACTCATGTATTTCTGTTATCCCTTAGAATAGAAGGGCTGGGTTGCAGAAACCTGCAGCGCAAACCAGTGTGTTAAGTCCCGATGCTGTCCTTCATCACCGTCTCCAAGCTTTCAGTGTAGACTTCTGTGACCCCCGTTCATAACAGTGAGGAGACACGGAGAAGCTCAGCTGCCTGTGAATCTAAATTGATTGATAGTTCATGGTCGGCTGAAGCAGTTGAGTCATCTACTTAATAAATGACCGTATTAAGAGATGTGGGTCAAACAGCAGGGCGAAGTCATTCCAATAGACCAAAGCAAAGAGAAGATTTATAGATGAGGTTGAATTAGCAACCTCGGGCGGTCATGTGTCACAGAAGCTCTACATGTTCATGCTACATGTGAAGCTTCAACACATCTCTACTGGATGGCATGCAGTGTTTTTAAATAAGGAAAGTTGGTTTGGACCGGGACCTTATAAAATAATATCCAAAACTAAAACATGCCTAATCTCATTGACTCTTTGCGTTGGTATTCAGTCCTCCGTGTACGTTGTCGCCTCACAGAGGAACAGCGCCGGCTCAGAGAATCCAAGCGACGTCTTCCGCTTCCTGGTGGAGGAGCGAGTTCAGTGCTGCCAGACACGTCGGGTTCGTTACACACAACGAGTGGACTACTGCATCCAGCTGCCAGCTCCCATTGAGGCGGCCACCAATCGAGGTAAAAGGACCCCCCGTAAACACACACACACACACTCACACACACACACACAAACCCGATCTGCTGCAGCAGGGAGCCTCGGCTCGACGCAGCTGCACGCCGCTGGGCTCCGGTGGCATCAGCCGCTGGGGAATCAGCGGGTTCTTTTCTGAAAGGGCACAGAAGGTCCTCGTGTGCCAGACGGAAGGCTTCGTGGGACATGTTACTTCTCATGGTGTTGTATAATTGCCATGGTTAAGATGATTGTCTTTGTCGGATGCAGACTGATATCAGCCACACAACACCTTGAACCATTTATTTGATATAAAATTGTAGCTTGCATTGCCCTTTACTTTGCATTAAATATTATTTAAATCAAACATGTTTAAATGCAGAATACCATGGAGGTTTTCAAATTCTGCACACGTTGTGCTGCTCAAAGTGTGTTTATCTTGGTTGTCATTCTACCAGAGGAGCTGGTGGCGTACGAGACCAAGCGGCGGGAGGCTGAGGAGAACATGCAGGCTCCTCCCGACCCGGTTACAGCACGGATCCCCTTCACCGCCTGCCTGCAGGCCTTCACGGAGCCGGAGAACGTCCCCGACTTCTGGAGCTCGGCGCTGCAGGCCAAGTCAGCTGGGGTGAAGTAAGCAAAGGTCCACTTGTTGTTGGGCCATGAATATGTGTTTGTTCACCTCCTCAGACGTTTTAGTTTGAGTTGTATTAATACTGTGTTGCTAATATGCTAGGTCCTTTCTTTTAAATTCTCTTGTTAATTTATTTTTGTTATTTTCCTCTGCAGAACTTCCCGTTTTTCCTCCTTTCCAGAGTATCTGGTTTTGCAGATCAAGAAATTCACATTTGGGGTTGACTGGGTGCCAAAAAAATTAGGTAACTGTCTGTTACCCTTCACCCTAGGATTTAAACCTTTATGTATTTTAGGTCACTGATGTTTTGATATTTGTACTGCTGTAAATGTCCAGCAGAGGACGCCATCAAACGGCAAGTTATGAAGTGAAAATGTTTGGTCTTGGCTACAAAAGTGTGTTAAAAAATGGTTAAACTGTGCAGTTTCCACCAATTAGACATGACCATTGTGTAATTTACACAAACACTTTTTAGGAACCTTTTACTTCCATACGTTTTTCAACAACCCATTGAACAATTAATACATGTGCTATGAGAAATACATTCAAAAGGTTAAAATAAAAACCAGGGCTTAAGGAAACTCGTCGCTCTGTTCATCATGCATCTCAATGCCTTCCTCAGTGAACTTGTATACACGTCTACTCCCGTATAGACTTGGCCATCGACGTGCCAGACTTCCTGGATCTGAGCAGGCTTCGGGCTACTGGGCTGCAGACGAGTGAAGAGGAGCTGCCTGACCTCCTGCCTCCCATTGTGCTTCCTGAAGACACCAGAGGTACTGAACAAGGGACTTTATTGGTGTGTGTGTGTGTGTGTCTATGCATAGAGGTATAAATGTGTGCCTTAAGAGACACGTCCATACAGTTGGGAATACTACATCACAGTATAATCACGTAAATTAAATGTGTTTCCCATTTAATCTGACCCTTTCTTTATTTGCTTTATAAATTAGTAATTGTAAAAAAAAACAGTGCTGCTTTGGGAACTAACTCTGATGTATGTTGTTCCAAAGCGGCTACCTAACATCCTTTTCAGGGGGTGTAGGGTATTTTTGTGACAGAGACAAACGATCCGTGAAATTGTCTCTAATATGATGTTCTGCTCAAAGCCACCCAGCTTTTCTCTGAAGGGTATATTGAATGGAATCCCAAGGAAAAGGCATGCTCAATCAATTACTGCAAATGTGTTGTGCTCACAGTGTAGCTAAGCCTAATAAGAATGATTTCATAAGATACACTTGTAGTGCACTATAAAAAAGCTATCCAGTGCATTTTGCAGCCCAAAATGTATTATTGTTACTCTTCTTTACACTTTATTGCCTCAGAATGTTTGATGCTTAGTGACATTTCCATCATGACATACTGAGCCCTTTTTGTGCTCTTTTCATGGAAGACAAAACTACATCGTCCTTCCTTCAGTTTGTCTTTCTTTTGTCTCCTCTGTGATTGTGATTCTCGCCAGCCCCGTCCCTTCGTCCGTTGTTTGCAAAGTTCAGCTACATCAAGTTATCAGTGTGTTCCTTAATATTTTAGCAGGCGTGAAGCACAGAGTGTTCTGTGCCGTCTGGAGCTCCAAAACGCAAACACAAAAAAGGGGTTCCGGTGCAAAGTCACAGTAACATCAGCGAGCAGCCTCTGCACACATCAACAGACTTTGCAGGGGGTTTTCTCTGAGAGCTTTACAGAATCGTTTAGGCCGATGCTTCTAAGGACAGGAAACTCGATAAAAAGTGAGGTCTGAATATGGACGTCTGAGTAAGCCTTAATATTGTGACTGCTATGTGATGTACCTGCTATCTCAAACCTCACAAGGCATATAAATGGATTTTTGGAGGATAGCTTTTAGTTGAAAATGTCCAGACTGTCACATTAAATCATCCTTGAGGTGCCTTTGCATTGAAAGCACTGCATATCTACGTCTGACAGCAGCGAACTACAGTAAAACCGGTGCATAAAATATGTGTAAATGTTGTCTGGATGTAGTAAGTTTTCATCTACTTGAGTCTCGTCGTGTTCTCCTTTCTATAGAGCGAGAGGTTAAAACATGTACCAGTGTGTAAATCATCGTGAAACGACGTGATGTCTTCAATGCATTGTGAGGCATTTTATATGATGAGTATCATCAGGCTAGCTTGAGCAGTGATTGATCACTAAGAAGCCTCAGTGCTTCTTATTGATTACACGGTACAGCCCAAATGCCTTTTCCTGTATGCCGCTTGAACCACATTATTTCTGATCAGTCGGTGTTTCATCCATTCACTCAATTATTCCAGGCCATTAAGGTAATGGAAGAAAAACCTTTCATCATGGCTTTTTGTAATTCTATTTTTCTTCTTCGAATCGCAATGCAAACAATTAAAAGCCTGTGTAGACATTGATTTGTTTCTTTGCTAATTTGATTGTCTCCTTCAAGATTAAACTAGAAAAATGCATGATGCCTTTTCTATTTAAAATGAACCATGATCTGTCAAAAAGGGTAACATGACAATTTTGTTGTAGGAATTGCTCAAGTTGTAATTGGAGTGCCCGCGTAGAGTTGGGGGAAATCTGCTCACTGCTCCCTCCCCTCCCCCACCAAAGTATTTTCTGACATCTAATTTGTCGGCCCCCGTCGATACCGATGATTCACCATGTAGGCCACTTTAATCAGCTGTGTCCATTTTACAGAAATATATCCAGCCGTTTATTATTTACCAAATCAAACTTTTGTAAAGATTCTCCAGGTTTATTATATATTACTAGTTGAGTAATTAATATTCTTGCAAGTGTATAACGCCACACATAAACAAAGTTCTAGTGTGTGATCTCATTGTGTGCCGTCTTCTCCTCTTTCAGACAACTCCATGGGCTCCATAGACTGTGAGTATTACATTTCATATTCAACAGATTTTACTTATACTTTCTATATGAAAAAGCTTTAGCCATGCAAAATGTATTTTGGACACCAAGCATTGATTAATGCTGTGTAGGTTTAGCTACACAGCAATAATCAATGGCCATGTATGCTTGTGCAGGTGCAGCAGCTGCTCTTAACTTCCCCAACAAACTTTTTCAGGTGGCTCTGCATGTTGGCCGCTCTCATTTTTCTCCTTGATAAATCTTTCCCCAACAAAGGTGACCCCCCCCCCTTCCCCGAGGCCGATTCTCCCATGGTCTGTTTGTTTAATGAGCTCCAAAGAGATGCCAACCACAGTCCTGTTCGGTTGTTTCCAATTGGAAGGATACCGGTGGTGTAGAATCAGCAACTGCTACGTTTTCAGTCATTGACGTCGGCCCGTTGTGTCCACAGCTCCAGAAATAGACGAGGCGGCAGTAATGCAGCTGGCAGAGATGGGCTTTCCACTGGAGGCCTGCAGGAAGGCCGTCTATTACACCGGCAACATGGGCCCGGAGATGGCTTTCAACTGGATCATTGCCCACATGGAGGAGCCCGGTAAGGGAACATCACTGCATTCAAACGCAACGTAAACATGAAGAGATCGACACAAATAAAAAAAGAAAGGTTGTGACTTGAGCCATTCTTGGTCGAGTTGAAAAACATTTTAGTCAGAGTAAAAAGTAGATCCTCAAAAATATCTGGCCACGTCGTCTCCAACGATGTCCAATGATTGAATTAATTAGTGAAATGAATCCACTGTACGGATCGCATGATCATAAAAGCCCATGAAAGGATCTCATGATCAAAAAAATAGTCACGAGAAGAAGAAATAGAGCAGGGCTGCGAGGGTGTTTAGTGAGTGTTAAAGGAGAAACCGTAACCCCAAAATACTGGTGACAAATGATCAGGACAGCAGCTGCACTGAAAGACCGAGTTATCCACCATTTTAAATAAGTCTGTGCTGCAGAAGACCGTCTGTGCAGACCTGCTAAAAGACATTTCTGCAGCGCGTACACAAAGCAAAAGCAACTTTATTTGTATGGGACCTTTTGAGCACAAAGGTAATTCACAGTGACAAGTCATTTCTCCACTTCCTCCATTAAAGTTAAGTTGTTTTTGCAAGGTCCAGACTTTTGCATCCCTTTGTGTAAGCAGGTGTTAATCGCTATGTGGGTGCGTGTGTGTTTGTGTACATGTGTGATCCTCAGCAGAAACTTTGTCGAGGCTGACTTTGTGTCTGGCTGAGCCTTCTAGCAGAGCAGACGGTCCCCCGAGGCATTGGCTCGTGTCACTTTTATTTCCCTGTTCGGCTGTGAAGGGCCTCTACAGTGGAGGGAAATTAGAGCAGGCTGTTGGTTTTTAAATGGTACTAATGCGTCGGCAGAAAGCGCTTCATTCAGGCTCAATAACCTCAGTAAAACGCTCTCACTGCCTGCTGCACAAAGAATACTTCTCCAACACTGTTTGGTTTCATTACTTTGCATTATTATTATTTTTTTAGAGCTAAACTTTTCACCTAATCATTTTTAGAGAGATCTCTTGTTGATTGAGGTGAACCTTCAGTGCTGCATTTACATCAATAAACAATGACACTTGCGAGAGGTTCGTTTCCACATATCTTATTTATCGTAATTATTTTTATTATATTAATTATAATATATTATTCGGATTTTATTTTTTTGCTAAAAAATTTAATTGAGCCAGAGTTCAGTAAACTGCATGAATGTTTATGAGTAAAGGCTTTGATGAAATCTAAAGCCAGACTGAAAAGTTTGTGTTTGAAGGTAAATTATTTTCTTTCACTTAAAGTGCAAACACAAGCTGTTCAGTTCTGTCTTGAATTTCTTTGACTGCAAGTCAGTATTTTTCCTGTCGCATAAAAACAACAACGTACTGCGGGAAATCAAAAGGACACGAGACAACGAGGCTGAGATGGACACAGGAGCGGGAGATAAGTGGTCGGCATTTTACTTGATGGCAGGGACGGTGATGAAAGCTCCGTTTTTGACCAACAAGCGAGTGATTACAGCCAGAGTGTCCTTGTTCCTGTGTTGGGTCACTTTACTTTCACTTCTATCTGTCGATAGTGGACGGAGCATTGGAGTTCACTTAAAAATGTGAAAGTAGCCAAATTGTTTTTTTCCTGACACTTTTCCTTCCATGAACAAATTTTTTGGAACAAACAAGACATTTTCAACCTTTTTTTTCAATATTTTTCTCGTGGTATTTGGATTTTTTACGCTATAATATTTTTAGAATTTTTCGACCAAATTTTTTTGGACTTCATTTTGACATTTAATAACAATAACTGGCAATAAACATTTTTTCGACCTCATATTTTTTTACTTCCCATAATCATTTTAAAGTGTAACTTTTGTCGCCACAACAAACAGAAAATACTTTGAACGACAACACAAATATATTTCTATATTTGCTTGAATACATAATGAGAGCTACGGCATCTCACTATTTTTCTCTCCCTGCTTCTTTTTTCTCAGACTTTGCAGAACCTCTCACTCTGCCCTCAGAAGCCCTGATGGATCCTGGTCCGTCCACCAGCGAAAGCCCCATGGGGGGCACCCCGCCGGGCAACTCGCCCCCCGAGGAGAGCATCTCCATCCTCACTTCAATGGGCTTCCCCCGTGCTCACAGCATCCAGGCACTCAAAGCCACGGTCAGTCTTCTGCCCTCTCAGTTCACGTCTAAAATGATCAGAGTGATGAAAGATGTCTTCTCATGGCAAATGGGACTATTTACCAATAGTCCCAGCAGCATGTGGACGCTAATGCAGCCTTAACAGGATCTGCCTCAAAGATGTGTCAAACCATTTTATCATTACATCTTACAAATTCATTTAGAATAAAGAAAAGAACAAAAGAATTGTGTTCTCTTGTGTGTGCGTGTGAATCAAAAGGAGCAGCTGCAGCAAATTCATCATCTTTTGTTTTGAAATGGGCCCCGATTCTCACATTTCATTATTCATATGTCGAACTGCACCCTCAGCAAAAAATAGCGCAGCAGACTGTTTATTAAGGCCCCAAAATAGACACCAAGCTTCCTTGTTTATCATCCCAAACACCAACAAACTCCCTGCCATCCATAGTGTTGTTGAATTGGGAAAAAGATAAGGTTTATTCCTCATGAGGTGGATGTAGGTGTGAAGCAGAGAGGGCTCACTTCTTCAGACGCCATCAGCTAATCAAGACTAATCCAGGAATCACACCTCTATTTTGGATTAAAAGCAAACATCCTCAGATCTTACATACCTACTGACACCTCCCCAAAAAAAAGATTTCTCATATTCACCATTGCCTTGTTTTTTTGAGGAGCCACCGAAATATACAACAGGAAAGGAATGAGGGAGAACCCCCCCCCTCCCAAGATAGAACATGAACATTTCTTCTTCTTTTTGAATAACAACAAACTTACTCGCTCTCAGAACAATAACCTGGAACGAGCACTCGACTGGATCTTCATCCACCCGGAGCAGCAGGAGGAGGAGAGTGACGCTCTCTCAGACGAGGCTGACACGCAGCCGAACGACAACGCCTTCTCCAACGGCAACAACACGCACAGCGACTCCACGCTCTCCCCAGACAGAGGCGCTTCAGGCCCGCGGGTCAAAGACGGCCCGGGACGTGAGTGACTCTGAATCATCTTGTTGATTGTCGCTGTTTGGATTTTTATTTGGGTGTTAATCTTATCGTTAATGTTAATTTTAGTGTTTTTTTCAGATTGTTCCTGGCCGTTATGTACCTTCAAACTCACTTATATTTTCTTGATTTTTCTTTGCTATCCACAGAAACATGCAGGCATTTTCATCACAGCGACGGCTATTTTATTATTACTGTGTTCACCTTTGTATTTTAGACAAGATATTTGCTATTTGTGAAACACTACGTTGTCTGACTTTGTGTTTCCTGCTTCAGGTTATGAGCTCTTTGCTTTCATCAGTCACATGGGAGCATCTACAATGTCTGGACATTATGTTTGTCACATCAAAAAGGAAGGAAGGTGAGCAGCCCACAGTTTCTCCTCTGCATATTCATTCAGACAGAAAATATTGATTATCACCAATTATAATTACCCAGTCAGTCGAAATAAATGTTTTTCATGGTCTAACCTTAAATGCGTTTATCTATTTTTTGGTTTTATGAGTATTTTATTCAAACCGAGTAGAAAGAATAAATGGACCCATTTCCTCTCATGACAGTTAGTTCTGAAACAAGTGAAACGTTGAAAGCATTTCCCACGCTATCTTCTTCCCCTGCAGGTGGGTGATCTACAACGACCACAAAGTGTGTTTGTCAGAAAGGCCTCCAAAAGACTTGGGCTACATCTACTTTTACCATCGACTGTCTAGCAGTTAAACTAAAGTTCCCGCCCCTCCACCGTGAAACCTTAGAAAGAACCGCGGTCTTTTTTCCCCCCCGAAAGACCGGCGATTTGAAATAACCTTTGAGACCAGCTACTCGCCTTAACGTGATGTCATTGAGGAGCAACCAGGAGCCCCGGTCAGAAAAGGGAAAGCAAATGAGCTTTTGTGCATTTTGGTTCTGTTCAGCTTTAAATGTATAGTTGAGTTTATGTTTAAGGAAATACGTTTTCTTGGCAGTGCAGGTACGGACGGATGTGTGTGTGTGCAATCAGCCACTTCTGTATTCAAAATAATGTCACATATCAAATCTCCTTCTCTATGCCATCTGCTACTGTGCCAGTGTCTTCAAAGTGGTACATTTTATAAATGTAAATTGCTTCACTGCCGTGTCCTGAGATGCTGTGAAAATGCGACAAAAAACTGTAATCACTGCTAATGTTGACTTTGAAATCCCAAAGGAACGGGTTTTAACACAACTGTAGTTAAAAACACAGCATCACTGGTGGGAACATTTCTCAGACCTGCTCCAGTTCTACCCGGAGTTGACGTGCAAGTTTCTCCCTTTTTTCTTTTTTTTAACCAGAAACATCTGAGGCAAACTGGCTGAGCTCCTCATAGAAATGTTTTACTCCCCTGAAAGACCTTTTGACTTGAACAGGTCATATTCTGCAGCTTACGCAGAAGATATTCTTCAGCTGTGGGCAATTGAATGTGATGTCTTGAATTTCAACTTAAGAACTGCTGAACCTATAAATCCTTCAAATGAGTTATAACAACATTGCGTAAAATTGAAGACTAATATAAACAATGCTATACATAATCTTAGATTGTTCTAAAATCATAAGTGCAGTGGGCTGCTTTCATTATGTTTGCCCAAATTACCAGGTATCTTTTCATAGCTGGCAAAACTTTAACTCAGCTGTGATCCAGTTTAGTTCCTTCATCACTCTCGACAGATGTCCCGAATGTCCAAAAGAATGATTTGCCTTCAGCAATATATACAACTACAACCAGATCTACTTCCGAACCTACTGTAAAGTAACGCTGACCAGTATCTCTTGTACTAGCAGATGTGGTGAAGTGCTGAACGTATGACCACAAGGTGCTCACAACAACCAAAACCTCCTGCTCAGCTTTTTTTTTACCCTGAAACCACCGTAGGACCGGCCCTTTACCTTTTAAGTTCCCTTTTGTTGGATTAACTCTAATTGACTCGGCACACTTCACATTATCAACTCATTATGTTCAATAGGTACGAGACAGATTCGTAGTAGACATTACGTGGCTTTGACATGTCGGGTACGAGTGCATTTGACTCTAACTGGATCTTATTGTTTCTGTTGCACAGTAATTTTACAAAGTATTGGTGTTTTTATTAGTTGCCACAAACACTAGATTCCAGTTTGATGGATTGGAATTAAAGTGTTTTGCTGAAAAATGCTTTCCGAACATTGAAGCATTCTGCAAAAGCCAATACCTTAAACAAGAAACCTTTTTATAAATTGACCTCTCAACTCCATCTGATCCTACTTGATCCGCTTGTGTTCCTGCAATACAACAAAACAATACATTTGTTTTCTTGCCAGAAACCCTCTCAAAGCCTGGTCTGTAAAAGCGTCTCTCCCCTTCATCACCAACGCACGGGTGGACTCGTCATCTTGCTCGATAATATTTATGTCTCCAGATTTTATGTTCAATTTGATTCCCCTCCCCAGGACACACACATCCTCCCGGCAGCGTTAATGTTTCTGTATTTGGTCGTTTTTGTTTAAAGCTTCAGTTTGTCGCAGAAAGGCTCGCTCGCTGGCAGCATGTGCACTAGACGTTGACATTTAGTCATTTGGATTGAACAAGTGTACTTTTGCGAGTTGTATTCTTTTTTTTTTCTTCATTTAACTAAATGTCAAAAAACTTCTGCCATTCTGTAGCTGCTTTATAAGTGATTATTTTAAGATGACTTTTGTAACGTATGCGTTCATCCAAAATGTGGCTTGGATGTGCGTGAATAGAGTCGTGACCGTATACTCACTGGCACTGTTTACTTACAATGTTTGGATCATTTAATAAACTACACCTTTGTTGAGACTTTGCCTCCTTAAGAACGAACAAGAAGCTGCAGTACATAAATAAAGACACAAGAGCATAGAATATATAACAAGTTTATTTAAAAAGAGTACTTTGATATTGTATATTTTAAAGGTGCTAATGCTTTCCTCGTGATTATACAGGGAGAGTAATATGCCTTATAGTAAGTGGTGAAGTTATTCATACTGCATTTAAAGTATATAATCTTCTACGATCATTCATCAAAGTATAATTTTGTTCATACATGTCTGATTCATCAATAAATAAACCCGAACAAACTGTAGGATTGAAGAAAGAAATGTACACAACATGTACTGATAACCTTTATGAACCCCAGCCACTGAAGAACTACATTGATAGCATCACGCTCACGAAGCTGTATAGATCAGGAGCGCTCATGGCGTCTGTATTGCAAAATGTCTTAAATTTCTCTGTAAATTTCTCACATTTGAATAATTTAAGGCCATATTGTCCCTACTTGAACTACTCTAAAATAAGATCAAATTTCATAAATACAATTAATAATGTCATATACATATAATAATTAAGCACTAAAATAGTAGGATTTATTAAAAAGTTTCATTACAAAGAATAAGCGATTGAATTGCAGAGGAATTTTATTATTTAAAAATTGTATTTTAAAGTATATAATGATAATCATACGCTTTTGGATTATTTAATGGTTAAATATGTCTGTATTTATTCATGATCAACATGTTTATTTTGGGAGCGCCCTACTTTTAACAGAGCAAAATGATATGAACGTGGCACTGAACATATTATCATGGATTGTTGTTTGGTTCCGTTTACATGTGTAACCAGAACTAAAGGAGCTGCAATGCTTAGACACATCTAACATATAACAATAATTAAACAACGTTTTATTTGTGACTTATCTTACAGTCACTTTAGGGATGCGTGCAAAACAATTCATGGATGTGGTGTTGATCAAGTGGTGGATGATCAAGGAACACCAAAGGGCAGAGGGCAACAGCAGGGAGCGAGCTCTACTGGCTGGGGTCATGGAAAGTGTTACCAGTACATTCAGCATTTTCAGAAGCTATAATTACAAAAGTTCCACGGTATATAACTATGATTAACCAGTTTTAGCAATGTACCAGCATTCAAGCTCAAGAAAGTGCACGTTCGTAGGATGAATTAGGTCTCTCGCGCGCCGCGCACGCTGCCTAGTTCTATGCAAGAAAAAGCTATTTGTGTAGAATATTTACTGAATACATAAATTAATTGTCAAGGTTGCAGATTTTAAAAGTGCTTTGTAAAAATATTGCAAGGGAACCTCGGGATATATTTCCCTTTTCTACGTTAGTGGGAGCAAAGAAAAGCGCTGACATGTTTTCCATGCGTACAAGTGAAAAACTGCATTCAGAAAAATAAATATAGAGGCTCTAGCATGCGATCAGCCTCAATCTGTTCCTCACGGGCATGCGTTAAGCTAGGTCAATTCACCTGAGAAGGTACAGTAGGTAGGCTCTACAAATATAAATATGTCACCAGGCATCCCATCTCAATACGCTGCAGTATCATGAGGACGTTTACATTTTAATCTAGACATTTACTTTCTTTAAAAAAATACACTTCTCAATTTTTAACACAACTACAGTCTCTTGAAATGCATAAAAGCAAAAGGCCTACAACCTCATAAGAAAAACTGCAGTTGATTGGGAAAATCACAGCACACATCTTGTTTGGTGGCGTTTGGTTGATGGTGATGCTGTTCGAACAAACAAAAAAAGTGCCGGGGGATCAGCATATACCCGTCTGAGGCGGGGCGAGAATCTCTGTAAACGAAAAGTCATGGCAATCCGTCCCACAGTTAAGAGAGTCGGCATTAGTCATCCTCTGTGTCATCCATCAAACATCTCCAACATTTAATCTGAACCACAGGATCGGCATTGTGCTGCTAGTGCGGCTTCAAATAACGTGTTTAGTAATTGAATGACAATGAAATATGCAACAGGAGGAATGCTGGATACCACCCATATTGTTCCAGAAAGGAATTCTTTCAACATAATAAAAAAATGTGTGCGTGCACTTCTGCTTTTAGGCCTCATTGGCGCCGTGCAGCCCTCTGTCAGCCCCGTGGACTGATGCGGATTGCTAGTGGCGTGCACATATGTGCTGCGTCTCCCCGGGCTCCTCTGCCTCCTTGATCTATTAAACATCACGGTTGGCCACGGGGACTACAGGGACCAAAAATGTTTCCAGTATTTGACTTGTTTATGCGGATGGCGTTAATGGGCCCGGCTGGAACACGGTTCAAAGTTCATCCCCCGGCGAGTTTGAAAGATAACACATGCGGTGTAACGTGAAATAAAGCTTCTATCTGATTACAAAGCTGGACACACTGAATGTCAGCGGACTTGTTGATGCACAAAGTCGCATTGTTGTAAATCATGACGGCTGACCTTTAGAAGGCCGCTGCATGTGTATCGACCACGGTTCTCTCTTAAAAAAAGAGCACTTGTTTTTGCCCTCCACCAGTTTCCTGATGAAACGCTTCTTCTCATACAGGCCGTGACATCCGGGCTGTTGGGATGATGAATAGCTCTCGTGCATTTTGGCCCACCGAGGCGGACTGAACATTCGGAACGGCAACATAAAAGCAGGACCTCTTGCAAAGGATCTACTACTTTGTTTTACAGCACACCCCGACCGGGGACACGACCGACAAACACAAAGGTGCCCAGCTTTTCAGAGCGACGCGTCTTCTTTAATTTGCTCTCCTGCGCATCCCAGGAATGTTGGCGTTGGAGTAACAGGGACGTTTTTAGAGCATCCTGCTGGCGGACAAAGAAACCGGACCAAAAACACGACATCTCTGGTGGAGGTGATTGTAACTAGTTCCGTAAAATCGGGTGTTTTTTTAGATTCACATCTTAATGTTTTCATGTGATTTAAAGTTCATAGACGTGTGCGGCATCCTGCCGGCGCTTATATAGAAATATTAATCATGCGTTATGGATGAGGCAGACTAACTGAATTCAATGTATGAGCTTTGTTGCCTGTGGAGGATACAAATAACTGCATGAGGAAATAGTCTCGGCTTGCAGCTACATGTGCACTCCCTGATAGGATAGTGCGCTTTATTGAAAATACTATCGTAAATAAAATAATTGGGTTACCAAAGCCATCACAGAAGAGGAAAGAGACATTTCTAAAGCGGTGAAAACTTGTTGTTTTGTTGAAAGTTTCCACACTAATGAAGGATTTGCAGATCAATGTTGCCGAGCTTGTATTTTTCCACTCAGTCAGCAGAAAGGGAACAAAGAGAAGCTTGGAGCCAACACCCCCACCCCCCAAATAAAAATAAATAAAATAAAACAACAAAAAGAAAAATATAACAGCTCAAAACGCTTTTAAGTTCAGAATATGGCAGTTTTTTTTTAAAGAAATCCAAACCAGCCTGTAATGCTTAGTGTGTTCACTTTGCCATTAAAAGAGTATAAATAGAAATATTGTTGTTGGCATGCATTTTGAGTAAGGCTTTACAACCTGGCTTGCACATTCCGTTTGGGTTGAGGAAGATCTGTTTGTGTGTGCAAAGGGAAAACTTCTACTAGTATGTTCATTTTAAACAAGAATCCATCTATGAAAATGCTTATTCATGCAGCGGCATTGTTTCGCAACGTGACAAAAACGAGCCAGCGACTGAATTCGGAGCTCCAGGTCACACGGTGCAGTCTTTATCATTTGCTCACTAAATCCATCCTTTTGGGAGCTTTTTTTTGGGGGGGGGGGGGAGACGATCTTGAGTCTTTGAAAGTAATTGGATAACAAACCTTTTCATTTATTTCTCAAACCTCATCTTTTCTCTGCAAACAGCATGCGAGGTTCCTGCGTGAGATCCTCCTACTGTCCGCCCGCCTGTCTCAGCTCGGTTCCGCTGGATGACTCCGTTTTTAATTGATGTGTTCTCTAAGGCATTGCCAGTACAATCTTTGCCCGTCCTTGTGCTCTTCGGGGAAACCACACATTTCAGTGCGAATTCTTCACAAAGCAGTTACTTCAAGCACTCGGAAGAACGTGTACTCTAAATGAAACAACGTTTGACGACTGGTTAATCTTGACGTGCATAACAGCCACATTGTTGTCTCCGACATCAGACTCAATCTATTCCGATGAGTTTGGCCTTTCTGTTGGGTAGAAATTGAAGGGGAGGGCGAAAGGGGCAAATGCTATCGTCACTACCTCCCGTCCCTCAAATGTCTAGGTTGAAGGCCCGCATGAGAAGATCCAGGTCCCCAATATTTGCAGCCTGGAAGAGTTCGGGCTGGTCCATCATGGATAAAGCTATCTTCAGCGCAGCCCAGATGTTTCCAGACATCACCTGGTGGGACTGCTGGCGACTCCGGCTCTTCCTCTGAAGGCTCAAGGCGGTCAGGAAGTTACTGGCTGCCTCTCTGGGGAAGCAACAATGATGAGAATATGTTTGGTTTAGGATCTGCCGTGTGGGTTAAGATGAGATCAGAGATTATAACCCTTCATTAGTCACAGATGGGGGACATTTACACTATTTCTGCAGCAGAGGGGATCGAGCCAACGGACAAACAGGAGACCTACGTACTTGCTAGATGATGATTTGGTGATTTAGCGTAATTCAGCTTAGTTAACATGGATGTTTGCCGCCTACAATAAACACAGTGGCATCGATGCACAAAAAATGGCCACCGCTCTGACCGCTTGCTTTCTAATGAATGACGATGTCCATTTTACTTCTGTTCAAATTTTTCAATTTGTCTTTTACTGCACAGGGATGTACAGATGAACCTTGAGGGGCCTCTGTGGAGCGACTGGACAAAAAGCAATTAGCTATTTCTGTGCTTCTCATCCTTTCATCTGCTTGTCACAATACATAGTAATTTAAGAGATTGCGTAAGAATTTTATAAGCAACCGTTTTAATAAATACTTTTATGTTTCAGGAATTAAAGTCACCCTTTAGTACAAAAGTACAAATGACAACATTAACTGGTTGCAGCCGCTTCAACGTGAGCATTTGATGCTGACTCATCATATAAAAGGTTAGTACTAGATATATTGTATTGTAATCACTTATTGAGAACATAAGCATAACAACATAATAACAAAGTATCACCCGTTAATCCCAGCCTTGATTTGAATATTTGTGTGTATCTGCTGCACAGTTGGAAGGTCATAATCTATTCATCTCACTTCACCAGCTTGTACATCAACGGACGTGCTGCACTAATTACCCCTCCTGGTCCCAGGTCACTCACCTGTGTGCCCCCAGGTTAATGCAGCTGATGCCCAAGTTGTAGCGGGACCGGATGAACCCCGGTTGCAGCTCCAGGGCTCGCGTATAAGCCTCCACCGCTTCCTCACTCCGGTCCCCGTTTGCCAGTGTGGCCCCCAGGCGGTTCCACAACAAGTAGTCCTGCGTGGAGGGTGAGTGGTGGTGTTAAGTGACAAGCAATGTCAAATGGTGAAGATGAGATGATTAGTCAAGTGCAGTGACGCTTGTTATTAGACGCCGTCAGGGTGGGTACTGTTGTTTGCAGCTAACACACTGGCAAATTCCTTCCTGCATTAAAAACTAATCAGCGACACTTCTTCAGTTACCGGATTAAACGAGTGACAGTGTCTCTAACAGGAAAGTGTGAGTGAAATGGAGCTGAATAATCTGCTACTACTCAGACTATATGCAAACACAGCAGGCTGCTCGTGAGACATAATTATGTTGTTCATTTTGTATGCACAAATAACAAGGGAATGTTTGGAGCGTTACGCAGCTCCCTGCTGAGGACTAAACCAACACGGGTATTTTTAGGAGGGCCGAGATAGATCACCCCGTGTCCTTGCTGTTGTTTCCCACCTGCAGGTAGACACATACAGAGGTCACGGCCTACTACAGTAAGGGGGTCCTTCATCTCTAGCTAAGCCCAGCAGTAGGATGTAATTATCTCCCTTTGTGTTCAGAGGGTTTCTCCTGCAGGGGAGCAGATATTACCAAGTGAAATGGGGCAGGTTGGATTCAACAGTGAGTAATATTCTCGCCGACCCGGGACGGTGCTGCGAGGACAGACGCTGATTTGCATGAAGGGGATGCAGAGATTGGGAGGGTGGGGGGGTTGTAATGATCCCGAGTTCACAAGGCCAGATTTGCCGGCTCTCTTCTTCTCACATATTGCTGTGACAGTTTGGTGTGCTTCATCGCATCTGTTTGCATGAGCTCTCCCTTGATATTTATTGCTGCATCTCTCTTCCTGCTGTGAAGTGTTTGCATGGGAACACGCGGTGTGTGACAGATGTATGTGCTTTAGTGTTGCATGTGTGTGTTTTAAACAGATCTTTTGGTACAGAACAGAAGTCAGTTTAATGAGTTAAGTGTCCAACGTAACAAACACGAAAGTTTAGTCAGAAAATCCATTGTATATTTTTATCCCAATTCGAGTTAATGCTGCACGTATAATCCCACTATTACTACAAAGTAAAATCCATAAATAAATTAATTTGAGCTCGTACTCCGAGATAACAAATGGAACGGATTATAACAAATCCTCGATTTAAAGGAAGTAAGTATATCATATTTGCTATTTGGATGTCCAATATTTATTCACAATATTTCACGGAAAATAAAAAATGTATGTTGTGCAATAATTAAAAATAGCTTGTGCATAGAACAGTATTATGGTTAGTTTCATAAGGCAAGTGTAATTCAGAAGGATAACTACCACTATCGCACAATGCCTTCCAAACCCCTGTTATTTTTGGAGAAAAGCACTGTTGCAGAACAGTGGTTGTCGTTTCTGTTTTTAATATTGTGATCATTGCAATAAAATAGAATGAAATTGTAATGCCAGAATTTATATTGTACAGGAAACCTTTTGGAAAAGATCATGTGTGTGTGTGTGTTTGACAACCTTTGAACACCCACCAGCCAATTTTGTCAAATCTATCCGCTGTGAATGTTTGAATGAGCCTCTGATCATCTGTGAATAGTGTTCCATAAGAGGCGCAGAGTTTGCATCTTTGGCACAACTCAGGGCCAGCTGGAGTCACCCAGCTGTCGGACATGTCGTCTCTGAGAGGAAACCATTGCGTCCGTGTGTTCGGCAAAGACGCAGTGCACAGCTAGTCGGGCTGCTTTTCACATCCCCGACAGTGAGACACCAGCATGCACAGAGAAGAGGCAAATATGTTCTAATCTGAGAAAAGAAGTCAAAGTAATTCCAAGACTGGACACCATTGGGTGCAATTGTAAAGTGCCGTATGTTTAAAGGTGAACTGACTATATGGTGACCTACAACTTCAGCGCCTGCATCGTATTGTATGGCACTCTCTCTTTTATGTTGAACATATTCTTATTGAAAACAACACATTGTGATTGCACAATTACGCTATAAATCAGAGTCCCAGAATATTTCAATTTTGTTCTTTCACAATATACTGTATTTCTGAATCCTTGTTGTATTTAGTGATGGCAGAAAAGGAAAAATATACAATTAAATGAACTGGCGTCTCTTGCATTTTGCATCTCTGCCTTTCGACGAGTGTTTCAGTCTCATTCTTTCTGGTCTGCGTGTTTGTGTGTTACTGTGCTTGTGTGTCCTACCTCGGGCCTCACTGACAGGGCTGTATTGAAGGCCTCGACGGCTTTGTTAAACTCCCCGCTGAGGTTGTAGAGCACTCCGAGCCCCGTCTGCAAATCCGGGTCGATGCTGTCAGAGTTGTGCTGAACTGCTTCCAGAAAGAGCTCCTTGACCTCTGGTAGCAGGGCGCTGTGCACACACACACACACACGCACACACACACACACACACACACATAATAAGATTATAATAAGAAAATAATAATAAGAAGGAAAATGCTTAGAGTTTAGTAGAATAGTAGAAGAAGGCCCAGTGGTGTCCGGTAATGTTTTTTCGTCTTTGTTTCATATTATTTGATCGTATCCTCAGCTAGTGATCTAGATCTAGCTAGTAAATATTTGTTACAAAAAAAACAAAAGACTTCTCAGCCGTATTAATACTTTTTAAATATACGCTGCTTAGAGCTAGTGTTTGCAAGTTAAACAGGTCAAAATTCTTATTATTAATTATTTATACATCTAGTTTTTTGTCGAACCTCAATTGGACAAATGACATATACACAAATAAGTGTGATAATTTCCCCGTGCTGAATACAGTGAGTGAAGCTTGAACGTGTCCTTAATGTGAACATCAGCTGTTAGCTCCGGTCCAAAGTAAAGGCTCGTCCAGAAGTGAGACTGACACAGTGGCCGCGTACAAGCGTTCCCAAAAGTCCATTTATTTTCAGGGGAAGCTAAAAATAGAGCGACTTTTTGAATGCTGCAGCGTGCGCCGCATCTCATGAAGCGAGGGACAACGAATCCGAGCTGGCAGATATTTTTTCTCCCAAGACCCGTTTGCTCCGTCCGACTGGCTGTTTAACGTACTCGGTCCAACGAGCTCACAGCTCGCGGCTGAAAGGTCAGACAAAGTGACACGGACAAATCGAGCAGAAAAATCACTGTGAAAGATTTACGGCGCTAGAAATCCATTTCTCTTTGTGAGACTTACTGCTAAAGTACGGCCTTTAACCATGCCATATTTACCATGACTCAGACAGGCTCGTGCTGCCCGAGCAATGTTGTGTCATGTTCAGATTATCAGACCTAATCACTACATGTTTGGTTGCTGTTGAACTCTCTGCATGCTCTGTCCAAATACTCCACCTTTCGTATCTGCCCACGTTGGGAGCCGTGGACATCTTGCGCTGGGAGTTCGGGGAAGCCACCAGGTGGGTCTTTCCCTTCAGCAGCTGCTTGGTCTTCGGATTGTGACGCAGCCAGCGCAGCAGCGCCTCGCAGGCGTCATTCCGCATACCGGTGTTGGTCAGGCTCACTGCCAGAGCCATGAGGGCCGGGAGGTTGTTCGGGTGGAGCTCCAAACACCTGGAGGCAGACAGGTCGCGGGGCGCGGGGGCGGAGGAGAGATGCTGTAAGTCGCGCACTTCAAAGGGACGTCCAGACGCGGCGGGCAATAATTGGGACAGGCCAAAGCACGGCGACATCAGGCGGGGACCAGCGATGGATGGATGAGCTGCTCTCCTGCAGAGCACAAGGTTTGCATGCTGCCCTCAGCAGCAGGGCGACTTTGCATCAAGTTCTTTTGACTACCAGTGAGAGAGCTTTTAGCGGGTTATATAATTCGGACGACTGCCACTAAGATGTACGCTTGCTTTTGTAATTGAAATGGGGAGAAGAAGCAGCTCTGCGTTTGAGGAACTACTTGGATTAGTAAAGAAAACCAGCCAAAACAAGGACGGGCCAAAGCAAGTTTAACTTCATCAAAACGATTTTCAGGACAGATTTGCTTCGGACTTCCTGAAAACCCTCGTAATCTCAGTCGAACCAAATTAATTCAGTCCCCCGCTGCAACTAGCTGTGGTTTAGGATTATATAGACTTTGGTTAAGGCAATTCAAATCCACGGCACACACTAAAGGATGTGGTTCTCCAAACGGCATGTGCACCATACGTACAAGGTGTAAAAATGAAAAGATAAATTCAGTTAATCCGTATTTAATCCTTAAGTAAATCCAAAGTGACCAGAGAACTGTGTTATCCAGGGACGTGTCCCAGATTTAGCAGATTTGTTTGTGTAGAGAACTGGCTGTCCGTTACAAAACGCAACACAACCACACATCAGTCACATTTTCCTCTTCAGTTACCCACAGTGCTTCAGAACATGCTTCAAACCTGAGGAGACAGAGCTCACATATAAAGTAAAGCACAAAATAACCCAAACTAATCAAAACTAGATATATGCCAAACAAAAGGTGGATTTTTCTTTGTCAGCGTGGCCAAATTTTATGAAGTGGTTAAAAAAAAAGGGGGTATAGCAGGACAACATGTTGTTTGCCAACTGAAGCTTAGCGAGCCAGTGTAGCAGCAACAGGAGTAATGCCAGTTAAACATCTAATCTCACTTCGTACCACAACACCGCCCGCTCACAGATGGAGCTATCGCATAGTAAAAAAACACCATGCAAACTGTCACGAATACCGTTCAGAATATTGCAGTCTATTGCAGGAACTGAAGGATGTATTATTCACATCCTTTGGAAAGGACAGTAATTAAATAAAAAAAAATAGTTATTAGTATTTCTGTTTCACAGCCTTAAAAAAAGAAAGGATGCGTTTTCTGCTGAATGGCGGAATGAATCGTCAGTGTTCACACCCTCAGATAAGTGCAATTCCTTCAGCGGTGTTATGAATGAAAGTGGGCCACTTCCCATTGAGGACTCACACTCGGGCTCCGTGCAATCACCATCCACGTGGAGTGGTTCTATTTTAGGGGGAAAAGCCGCAGAATGTTTCTTTCCAATATTCAGTCTGGTAAAGTAAACCATAAAAAGTGAAAAGGGGGAATGCCGTTGGACAACGAATCAGAATTTTGAGTTATCTTGCTGACAAAAACTTAATTGAAACCTCTCAGGCTGAGTCTCATACAAAGCGATTTAATCTTTATTTCTGGTTCACGGCGAGTCCCACTCGTGCAAACATACGGTGTCCGAGCAACAGCTGACACTCTATTGATTTTGGATTCTGAACGGGAATTAGTTGCAGTTGTTTCTCCTCACCTCTGGAGGGAGACGATCGCCGCCTGCTCGTTCTCATTTTCCGCCTGTGTTGTCCCCAACACTTGCCAAGCCTGCGGGGGAAACAAACACAGGTAACAGCAAACAGCAGGACGGAAAACCTGGACGCCACAGCCGGTAATCGCAAGGGGACAAAACCGTTACCGTAGCTGAGCGTCGTCTGTCACGCACAATGAGTAAATGTTGCCAGTGTCTCAGACACGTCACCACCGAGCAGCTGCTGTTTCAGTATTCACCATCAAATAGGAAGCTCGGAGGGTTTTCCTTCAATACTTAAACCAGCTGAGCCACGGAAAGCACTTCTTATTCAATGAGGCTGATGTGGTCATATCTTTTCAAAAGAAAAAGACAATTTAAGTGGGGACAATAACTGAACATTTTCAGTTATATGCAACATCTCTTTGTGCTTCAGAACGTAACCGCCGCGAAATCAGCTCATATGGAATCGGGGAATAAACTTGCTGGTGATGGAACTTCTTTCGTTTTGAAATGGTAAAGTGAAGCAGCCAATTATCACACCGGGGGAAGTTTAAATAAGCAAGTGTTTTGGCATTTCTTTGCTTGAAACATACTTTAAATGATTAAATCCTCCCTAGGATAAGATGAATCAACCAGCCCTGAGTGGTTGAGTTCCTGCTCAGTAAATGCTGAATGTGACCCTGCGAGAGGCAGCGTGGTTGATCTTGGTGCCAAGGGTTGGTCGGCCGCAGGGACACGCAAATGGAACGTACCATTGATCAGCACAAGAGGGCACACAATGACATAACTAACCCTGGAATCCAAAATGTAAGATTATGGGACTGCTCCTCTGTATTTGTGCCTGTAAGGGCAGACTTAATAACCTGTTCCAAAGCTAATAGATGGATTCGTTTTTTTTTGTTCCACTCAAAGTGAAGGTCAAAATTATTTCTGAATGATTCCGAGGTCTTCACAGTGGGGCAATAAGCCACTAAGCGCCCTAGGTGGAATTTTGGAATCGCATTAGTTCCATACACTGTGGGATAATCCTCTCCCCGGAATAACTGGCACATTTCTACATTCCAGTGGATTCCGAAGGTACTTTGTATGAATGCTTTGCTCTTTCAGCCTGCAAGGAGGTCACTTATTCAGAAACAGGGAAGAATACAAAAGGGAGAAACACCTGCAGATTGAGCCATTATTCGGCTCACTGTGCAAATGGAAAATTCTCATCAAATGTATGAACAATGGTAATTCTCTTGCTCCTGGTAAATAACTCTTTTAACGAGAGGGGGAAAGAAAATCCTTTGCCTTTGGGTTCTGTCTACTGCATCAGCTTCACACAGACTGTGTGGACAATAAGGCCTTCTTCCTCTCTAGACTCTTTCACTTTATTTCGCTTTATTCTCACTTATGCCCCCTCCCCCATCCCCTATATGAAAATATGAATGCATTCGTGGTTAACTTGCCTGGTTAAATGTGAAAAAAAATGTGTGTGTGCTAAATCAATTCACCTCTGAATCTTGAGGGTCCTGCAAGACGGCTCCTTCCAGCAAGAGCACAGCGTTTTGCAAGTCTCCCTCTCGTGACTTCCTTTGTCCCTCTTCGAATGCGTTAGGCAGGTCTTTATAAGGATTATCTGTGTGGAAGTAGTAGCCCTGTCAGCAAAAAAATAAAAAAATAGGGACAGCGGCAATGTCAGTTTCTCTCTCTTCCGTATTCAAATGCAAACCAGGGCGAGCGTCCTGTGCAGTTGTACGTTGGGAGCAAAGCTCGAGCAGCAGGAATCGATCTTTTCCACTGAACATCAAACCCCCCGGCTGAGCTCCCCGGGATTTGTCCGTTCTCTTTAAATGTTACACTTTGCATTTTCAAACCTTGAACACCCTGGTGTGTTGTTGACCGCTTCTGAGCGAGATGACTTTGAAACGTCTTTTTCTTCAAATGCAAGTTCTGCACTGGGATCAATCAGTAAGCCCAGAGGTCTGATCTTGCATGATTTCATTACATGAGGTCAGCTGATGAAGTACACTGCTGAGTCACATGTCCTCTGGGACCCACAGTCATTACTTTAAATCAGAGGGGGTGATGCTGAATGTACAGAATAGAAACCATGTAATGTTCTGAATTCAACATTTTCTACATGTATTCCTTTGGGGATGATATAGTACTTGACCCTAAATCTAATCATTCAACCCTTTTAAAGTAATGTTGAGAACCTAAATTCAATAACTTTAAAACAAGACAGCTGTATGCATTTTGGGTTCTGAATAACAGCAAACCAGCAGCTTCCACCTCCATCTTATAATGTCTAGTTTAGGTTTAACATCCAGTGGAGAGAGACATTTCCACAACCAACATGTTTAGTTTGACAATTTGGGAGTCTCTTTTCTTTTTTCCTTAGGTGAGAGGATCGATAAAACTGTCGTCTCCTCTCTCTCCATAAATGAAGTATGACGTAAAGCCCTTGAGTTGATCCTATTACTTTAGCATAAAGACTGGTCGCAGCTAGCAAAAGAAAAAAAAGTCTAATTCAATTCTAAACATTAGTAGGGCTGTCCTTGTATGTTTGATCTTATTCTGTGATACTCCCTCACGTGGAAAGCCGGACACTTCTCCTGGTACTTGAAGAGTTTTTAGCATTCAGAGAATCTACCGACAAACTGCACTGCAAGGTTCACAGCGACGCCAGTAGATAACTTCATATTCACCTGCTGACAAAAACCTGCCCCGTCTGAAAAGAGTGTGCCGTGTGCCTCTCGTCTCCTCTGACCTCCTTTTGAAATGTGATCTCCTTCAAGTACCTGATGCTACAGCAGATCAACAACCGGTTACTGCCAACGGTATCAGTCATACTTGCCGACGTCTACAACGCATATCACCTTCCAGTACCAAAAAAGACAGATATCTTGTCAAATTTGTTTAGTTTCAACTGGTTGCCCGGCAACCTGTTAATTGTTTTGCTACGTGCACCCTGCTTTCAGTCGTGAGGCTGAGCCTGTTCTCAGCATCATGTACTCTGTGAAACAGACATAGGTGAGATAGATCTTAATGGATTTCCCTACACGTTGAGCTATTCTTTTTAAGTTGGGGTGGTAATTGTGTGCTTCGTCCGTTTGAAGTCACACTTTTTGTAGTTCTATACAAAGTATTATTCAAAAGAACAGTAAACATACTGCATCCCTTTTTATTCCAAAGGCTGGTTGAATCATTCCTACATTGTTTTCTCTACAGAGGCTGTCAGAACGGCGTATCTCAACATCGCCGTCAACGAGACACATCTGTGCACATGCTGTAATGATAGTGACCTTCTCATGTGGAGAGACGGAGGAGGGAATCTGTGCCTGCTCGTTTTCAGTCAGCCAGTTCCGCCGAGCGAGCTCTTCCCACTCGGCCTGCATCTTGTCCCAGAATTCGGTATCTGACTACAGGAGACAGAGAGAGAGAGACAGGCAGATGGATAGAAGAGGGAGGGGGAGAAGGAGGGAGAGATGAATGAGGGATTAGTGCACAGTAGAATAACAGCTTCTGTAATGTCCGGTCAGCCTAATGTTGGAAATATCACGTCCGTCTGGCTTCACTGGCTGTGACCACTGGACCTCCACAGGTACAAGGAGCTACTCGCACTTACAATGCAAACAGACGTGTGGCCCCGCCACAGAAAACAGAGACAATAAATACGTTTAAAGTGACTATAAGTATTAATATTTGTGGTTAAAGGTGAGTTTAGATGAATAGAAAATGGTATTTCATATTTAATAACATAAGCAAAGGGACAAACTGCTCATTTCTCATCTGAGAACCATCAACCATTTCTAATTATGCATGAGAATACATTTCACATTTAGTTGGTCAAAAATGTCAGATTTGGACCTTAACCTCTCCATTGGTTTGACATTTCAACTGACACGTGTTGGCAGTTGGCCGACTGATCCGTGAAGGCTACGAATTTAATCTGCCAATCCAACTTCGAAGCAGCTTTTCATTTTTCTATCTGTACGGAAATTAAGCCTGTAGCATGAACCTACAGACAAGCTAACCCTATTAAAATCAGTCCAATTTACAATTTTCCTTTAGAATTTGATTGTTTGATTCCATGCAACTTGTGTGAAGAGCTTCAGAATTACAGTGAACACTAGAACTGTTGAACATAGAAAGGATTTCTTTATTAGCCGTGACTCTCACAATCAGGAGACACACTATGGCCTCCATGTCAATCACAAGACGTGAAATGTGGAGATGAAATCACCTTTGACACGAACAAACACGCACACACACACATACAAACATGGATGTTTTCTAACCCCCCACTTCTCCACTGTATATATATATATATATATATATATATATATTTACAGAAAGAAAGGTTGCCCTAAAATTGTGTAGCCTGTTACTCTTGTTGTTTTCAGTGGTGAGGAACACCAGGAGCCAAAGACAGGAGTTTAGTGCTCACTAAATGCCAAATCATGACGCATGTTCCGTGAATGCCAAAGTAACGGTCACACGTCGCCAAATTGCCTCCTGAGGCCAAAAAATGTGTCATTTAAAAGGCTACTTTCTAAGTCCGGCGAAGTGCTCGTTTAAAACCAACATGAGCGACTCATCACTTCACCAGCAAACCTCCTTTCTACCCACTGTGGTGAAAAACCGCACAAACTGTTGTTTGTGAGTCATGCCAGCGTGCAGCATCGTCACTCCAGATGAAGTGAACGTCATGCTTGTGTTTTCATGAGAGTTTTCTTCCAGCTGGCTGAGTCGATGCCTCTGGCAAAACAAACCGGGGAGAATAATGCCAAACGGAGCACAGCAGCCTCCTGTGACTAATGGAGTCCTCCATAGCCAGATACCCACCAGTACATGACTGTTCAGTGTATAGCAAATGTGTGTGTGTGTGTGTGTGCGCCGTGAAACTCTAAAGGAGTGCAGAGTTAGGAGACATATGTGTGTGTGTGTGTGTGTCAAAGGTGATCTCCACGTTCCAGAGTCTCGTGACTGACATGGAAGCCACAGAGTGATCGATGGCAGGTAATCGCAGGCTGCTGATTCTCACACAAAGTGAGTGAGTCGCTGCTGTCAGACTCCCTGAGCTACAGAAGCTACTTGGATGGTGGCGGCTGTAGACCTGGAAGAGTCCAACAATTTCTAGCAGGATCTTGTCTCTATGTTTAAACAGTGTTTTTTTCCTACACTGAAGCGTTGTACGTTCACGATGATGGTAAAACCCTTATGTTTAATTTATTTACTTGCATGCAAGTCCAGCGCACATGAATATGATATTACGTCTCAGTAACACACTTAATAGCTTTTGACAATTTGATCTCATAGTTGAAGTTGCTCTTCAAATTCTGAATTTTAAGGAAATATGTAAATGATACTATTGGATTATTACCAGCAACAACATTCGCTTGAAAAACGATCTATTTATGTCGGTAGCTGCTTGCTGCACCGTGAAAGGTCAAATCCTTTGACGGTGTAATCTGGAAAGGATGAAAAAAATACTTTTTACAGTCTTTTCACTGCCGACTTTGTTGCCGTGTTGAATGTCGAACACAAGTGAGTTGCTGGATATGACTCACACATTGCTTGAGAGGTTGTTTTAAAATAGAGAGAATACATGGGACTACGCTATTTTTGCCTCCTTTTTATTATTAGAATGATTTGTGACCAGACCGGCTGGCAGCTGTTCTCTGTTGTCCTGTAAATATTGATGAATTGTGAAGGTGTCTCATGAGCTCCTGAGGGACGGGCAGGACACAATTCATTCAGATGCTTGCAGCGTTTTTTGTGATGTACAGTAGCTCGTCAAGATGGAGCTATTTTTAAACTAATCCATGTAGTGTAACCTGTAACATTATGTGATCACGTGTTTCGGGTAAACACAGTGGAGTACAACATTTCCCCTTTGAGATGTGGTAGAAGTGGAAGGATGAAGTAACATAAAATGCAAATACTTTTCATGGCAGTAGTGGATGCGTGTGGATGTCGTGTGTTCGAGTCTACACTTTGGGTTTCATAATTTCTCCATTGTTGTGGACGTGTATGAACTCAAGTAATCATCTTGTTATTTGCAACTCATAGACGATGGGTTGTTTCATCGGGAAACCCATCTAGTGTGCTACTCGTTTCCCCCTTAATGCGTCACGGGCGACATCTAATTGCTCGCAGTATTAAAATGGGAAAAATATGTGTACGTTTTTTAATTTACAAGAAATCTAGTCGTATCTTATTAATGCTGTGACGGGAGCTTTTTTTCCGCTGGCATTGGCAGTTTAATTATGTGGAACAAGACAGAGATACAGCGAGGTAATTTATATCAGTAGCTCCGATGAAGCGTTACAGGAGATGGATGGAATCCAGAGCGCTTCCTGCCGCCGAATACGTCACCAATGTTTGGAAATTAACTGTGGCTTGGAGGGTGGGTGCGGGATTCATTAGTTACTTCGTGAATACATTATTGAAAACGTAGATAATCATGTTCAAGGTTACACACACCCTCGGCTGTCGGTGTCCCCCACATTAGCAAAAGGTGTATTTATATTTTGCCTCTGGAATCCAATTAGTGTGTCTTAGTCAGCTGAACTGATGTAATAAATATAGTGAAAATAAATATACACTGCCGGGACAGAGCTTCATAATCGTGTCTACTCCGGTCAGCAAAAATACACAAAAGGATGTCCCGAAAAAAGTGGTGCAAAACAATTGCTTCAGAATGGATAGAACTCTGACAGTAAAAAAAACAACGGATGGACACGATGGTTAATGATAATGATCATCTTTAACCGCGCTCAAAGTACCATGTGGTCAAAGCTTACCCGTACTAATCAACACATTCATTTGTTCCCAAGCAAATAACGTTTAACATTAAGCTTTCTTAATCTGATCCTTCTATGAGATGTTCAATAAAAGTACTTGACCCCAAGTCTCCGTGTTTGACTGCTTCTCCGCTGAACTTTGACCTTATCTGGTTCCATCAGTTTGAGTTGTGTTAACCTTTGTAGGAAATTAAGCACATGCATGGGGTTTACTTATCCACTTCGTCTATGGGACTTGCACTACAGAAAATCTCATTATTTACCAGTGACATGGAGCAACCCCCCCCCCCCTCCTCAAAAAGAACCTATTCTCATTTCCAGAGCCAGACTGGCCTTTAATGTTAATGAGTCACCCACTGCTCTGCTGCGTGGGCCAAGTCCTTGGTCAGCGAGACAAAAATAGGAAGCTGGAATCCCGATAATGTCACTCAGAGATGAATAGAATACGGCCAAAGTGCTACCGATACATTTGGGCAGACAATGCGATTACACGTGGATGTCTGTGATAACAACTCATTGAGCTTCTGAGGATTTATGCAGAGTTGTGATATTTGTCGTCACCCGGTAATTGTGGGCTGCATGAATAATACTTTCACGGTTGGTTTTGTCTTTCTCTTTACGGTGGTTGTAATGTCCAAATCTAGTCGGGACATTCCTGTGTTTACTTTCTCTCTCACGGGGCGGACACGCCTCGCGTTCCACTTGGCGTTGCTTTTAATGCCGCGTTTTGGTGCGTCTTTTCCAATTGGAAAATAGATGCTGAACAGCTCCAAGAAATACACACCGAGACGCTTTTGAGATCATCTTTTCATCGTCTTGCTGTGGCAGCGTTTTATCGTGTCTCACAGTGAGAAAGTCTTAGTTACTCTAGTCTTTATCTATGTTATAAAATTATTACATTGTCATCAGCTCAGAGTTATTGTCCACGTCACATGAAGATACCCTGAATCACTTACCTTCTCAGAATTTATTATCAGTCTCTTTGTAAAATAATATTAAATTCCTTCTCATGGCCCATTGCCATCAGTGCCAACTTTTTCAAATGGATATTTGGAAGCTTAGTCCTTGTCCTCTGTGGGTCCTAATTTTCTTCCATTCGGCCGCTTCGTCTAATTGAATGAATTGTGTGCTGATTTAATGTTCCCCTCCAGCCATCTGAGCAGTCTCTATCACTCTCTTTATAAGTATGAAAAAGCATGCATATGCACAGCCACTACAATGGAAATAATCTGATTACGGGCTTTGACATTGGTGGTTTGAAGCCCAAATGGCTGACCGCTTGCATCAGAGCTCCTCCAGAGCGGAGGCCTGCACTCAGGCCGCTCGATCGACGCCGTGAGATACTGTTACCGGTCGATGCTCCATGCTCAGGCGCCTGCCCAGGAGCATCTCGGACTCTCATCACTTACCTGCCCTGCGGCCGACGCTTGTACTCTAAATTATTTTTGGGAGGATGGAGCTCGTGGCTTGTACAAGATGTGATATCTTTGCTAATTTTGAGAAGGGACGCCCAAATAGGCTTTCCACTCTCACAGTCTTGTTGGCCCTGCTGTATTATTTATTGACCACACACATAGCTCAGTGTACAAAGGTCTCCTGTAGCCCTCAGTAAAGCTGAAGTAACTCAACGGAGAAAGCTTCGCTCCCATTTTCCGGGAAAGGAGATGTCCATTTAGTGGTAGAGTGGTTTTATAGAAAGTAAAAAAACTTTCGGGTTGGTGAAATTTTGGTAAAGTACAGACGCTGCTCTTTTAGTCACTCGGGCAGCTGTTAGGGCCAATGTGATGAAACCTTTCAACTGAGGAAAAAACTAAAATGATAAAGCAGTAAAAAGCAGAAAACTAAAAATCAAAAGGGTGATGAAAGTGCTTTTAGCTTATTCTCTCTCAGATACGGGGGGGGGGGGGGGGTAACTGCCCTCGTTGTCATGGCAAACAATCGTACCCTCGTGAGCATGAGATCGTCAGGCAGACTTTACAACTCAACACGTGGAGTGTGTAGGTACACAGTCTTATGAAGAATTAAGCTATATCTGATTACTGTAATTCTACCTTCCCCTCGGGTAACATATTTCTGGCCGTAAGATTGCTGACCTATTTACCTTCCTATTGTGAGCCAGCTTCCTTTCTCTGAGTCAAATACCCTGTGAACTTTAGCGTGTGTGAATTTAGCAGGGACTATTAAGCTGTCAGCTAACACCGCAGGGGTGAGTAGATGCATGACACACAGTCGGGCTCATTTGACAAGGACATAAAAAGACCGGTGGAGGCAAATGGAATTCGGCTCCACAGGGCCTTTTTTAGATGCATTTAAATTGCACAAACAATTATGAGGCTACATGGGCAGAGACTAAGGAAAGGTAACAATTAAAGAAAGGCTTTGTGGCTCTTTATTCAAAGCACTCAGGGCACCGTTCCATTAAGTTGAATACTTATTGGCAGGGTATGTTTTTCTACTGCGAAAACCAAACAAAATGATTTAAAACTATATGATATATCACCATCACCCCCAGGATTGGAACCCCCGGCACTGACTCGCTCAAATGGGGCGACGGAGAACTTTGGGCAGCTGCACCTGGAACAATAAAGCTTCAAGGTCTTAATAATTAATTGCAAACTGCTGCAGCTGGGAGGGCGAGCTGGTTTGGAATATGAGCAACAATGGTTGAACATTTATTGTGTGGGTCACTTCCAGCAGGTTTTCTCTTTTCAGGAGTTCTCTCAGTGACTACTGTGACCTGGCCACCGATTTCTTGAATATATTATAGATGAGAGACCCGGGTTACTTAACGGTGCACAGTGGCTTTGGTTCATACAGCGCGTAAAGGCGTGCTGAGCAGAGAGAATAGGAATACCACTGTAACAGAGGGGTGAATAGACTTTTGTATTTTGCTGTACTCGTATTGTAAAAAGCCGAATCCGATTCTGCTCCACAGTCATTGTGGAGCTGTTAAAAAAGCGCCTCACAGCGGAGTGGATAAACTCACACTCGAATCATTTCGGTGGATTGTGTCAAATGCTGGGAGCAATGAGGGGCTTAAAGGAATTCCTTATCTTGGCAAAAAGAACTCACCACCACCAAAAGTGTTGAAGATTTTGCAAAGCGCCAAAGGGCTGGACCTC